TGCAATCTGCTGGCTCAACTGCAGATTCAGCCGGAGATCTGAATCGCCTCTCGCGAGAGGCCCTAGAAGCCGACGATCGAAGGCGTGCGTTGCGCGAATTCGACCGCTATTGCGAAGAACCAGTGGTGCAAAACGGAATCGAGAACGGATTGGATCTCCTACGGTATTGGCAGGTGCGCGAATCTCCCTTTTGTGAGCCGAATAGCTACTAATGCTGCAGAACAGATCAACAAGCATTCCTTCCCCTTGCTTTATCGTGTAGCTCTTGACATTTTACCTGCACAAGCGTCCTCTGTAGCTTGCGAGCGTCTGTTCTCGTCAGCCAAGGAGACCGACACTCTTCGCCGCAACCGGTTGTCTCCAGCAGTCATGGAGGCCCTACAATTCCTCAAGAGTTACTACCGCCGCGAGGCCCTCAGCTTCACTGATGATTTAGTTGCGGACCCCAAGGATTATGCCATTGATGGCCTTGTCACGAATCAGGCTATGGATGAGCTTTTGCATGCCAACAACATCGACGAACTACGTGACCTGCTGGGGAACAGATCGGAGATTTGAAGGTCGCGCCTCAAGACCTATAATATATTCTTGCCAGCTGTAATGTATGGACTCGTAACAATACATCCAAGCATTAGCTCAAGTAGCTAGACAACTCGCGAGTCAACTCGACCTCGACTCGGAAGAACTCGAAAAGGCGAGTTCGACGAGTGACGCAACTCGAACTCGACTCGACTCGACTCGCGGCAACACTAGCCAGGGCTTGCCGCGTCAAGACGTGCAACTTGCAAGACGGAGCCGAGATCAAACAAGTGCTCTTTCTATGCTATAGCTATAGCTAAGTATCCATCACAATACATTCTCTTTGTCAGGGTCAACCCGTCGCGAAAGTCAACGGGACCTGGTGAGTGGTCCACGAAGTTGTGTTCTGAAGCTGCAGCGTACGGCCTTCTCGGAGTGGTCACAGCTTCCGCTACAATGTCCTCGTCCGACACGCATTATTGGCTGTCCACGTCAAAAATGCGGTACAAAACCTCGACTACCTGATGGTCGACGATACCCAGCGCAACACTCTCTCCATGGATAGGTTCATCCGCGGCTATATCGCGACCTACTCCCCGGGCACGCTCTTCACCAACGTGTTCCCTTTCGCCCTCGCGCGCAGAGCCGACGTGAACCCGGCTCAATATGCGCTTGTGACCACCACAGGGCCCGACTTGCCCGCGGTGCGCTACATCGCCACGCTCAACGACTCGTCGTCAGTCGGGGCAGCGTCCTACTCGGAAGAGGACAGACCGCTCTTGTGGATTGAGCCAGACGTGGAGGCCACACGTTCGCAGGTGCCCGGGAGCACGCTCGACGTGTTGCTGAACGAAGAAAACCCGCCGTTCCGGTTGACGGGCAGGACGAGGCGGAATGGGCGAGACGACGTGATCAGAGAGGTGGAGCTGATCCTAAACGAGGATATGCTCCTGAGGGTGTGCTGCTATTGCGGTAGTCTCGAGAACGGGTACTGGCCGCTCTCGGATCGAATGGAGAAATATCGAGGGGATGGGTACCTTTCGCGGTACTGGTGTTACGAGGTACGCATGCCTTTGCGTTCGTGTCCTGGTATCTGAGTACTGATCGTTTGCGAGCAGTGCGCGAGGAAGACGGTTGTAGGCCGCGCACTGGCTACACTTGCACGCAAACATTCCGTGTTCAATCGTCGCGAAGAAAACGATTAACGCGTTGCTAGCTGCTGTACATTTATATTATTACAGGCACAATCAATCATTGATAGTTTTTATCCTGCACCGGCACATCCTTGCCTGCGAGCAATAACGATGAGCGTAGTTTGCAGTTGTTAACAAGGTTGCTTACCAGCCATCTTCTTGAACCCTGTACGAATACCGTCGGAGATCTTCTCCGTTGTGCTATGACTCTACGGTGTCGCTTGAGATCAATACAGGAACAGGGACGTGGAGGAGGTGCGGCGTACCTGCTCGTGCCCGGCCTTCTTCTCGAGGAAGTCGACGCCCTTATCGAGCGCGTCACCTCCCGACGCGGTGGTGTTGGTGGGCTGCTGCGCGGTGTTGGTCTGAGTCGTAGAGTCCATGTTAGTCGTACGTGGAATTTGGATGATCGTGAAGGATTCGGGTAGTGGTGGTGTGCGGGGTTGTTGTCGTGCAGATGAGCATGGCATGCCCACTCGAGGCTTTATGTGTGCGATGTCAGACAGGGGCTCCATCTTCTGTCGGAGGTGGTGTACAGTCGAATGACGTCATGCGATATGACGTGCAGCGCGAATGCAGGGGCGCGCTGGTGCGCTTGGCGGCTGGAGCAGATAGCCTGGATTTGAAAGTACACTGTAGCCTGATTAGGGACCTATGCTCGTAATCCACCACCACCACCACCTGCGTTCACAGGTTCTTCACCTTGCCATGACCGGTCCAAAAACCTCTCGGACGACTTCATTTAATTTCGCGACGTTCGCTACTAGTATACATTGACAACGTTGATCGTGGTGCGACGATCATTATGAGTACTGCTTGTCCTGGATGGGAACGTCCTTGCCTGTGATTCCGATGAGTCGTCAATGTCAACGACGGAAGATCGGCCGCCACCCACCCGTCGTATCTTTGTATCCGGTGCGAGCAGCGTCACTGATCTTCTCGGTCGTGGCATGGCTCTGTTCAGTCACGAATATGTATGAGCGTGAAACACATCGCAGGTACCAGTCAAAAAAAATACGAACCTGTTCATGTCCCGCCTCGCGCTCGGCGAAGTCGACGCCTTTGTCAAGCATGTCGCCGTTGCCCCCCGCGCCCTGGTTCATGGGCTGAGTGGTTGGCTGCTGGGGTTGGCTGTCTGAGTTCATCATCTTGAAGTGCCTTGGTTGAACGTTCAAGGCATCGTCCTTCGCCTTATGTACGTATTTTTCTTGGAGCGAGGTGTGGGAGTGGAAGTCGGGGAACTTGATACTGATGTCAGTGCAGCTCGAGGAACTTGACGATAATAGTTCTCAAGGTTCGACAACCGTTTGAACGTTTGTGTGAGGAGGCATGATCATAATCCGAGAGTCCGTAGTAAGTCAGCGCTGGATTTTCGGGTACACTGGGCAGGGGGATAGCAAAAACAAGGAAAATCGGATTATGAGGTAGACATAAGGAGGTCCACAGGTCGGGTCTGTGCTAAGTTACTCTGTGGGGGGCAAGTGCGGGGCCGTCCGTACGCGGTTGACGAGTCCCACGCACAGCCGCTGCTTGGCCCTGCCTGCACTGTGCAGCCCTACGTCACTGTGAGCTACTCCTCCGGAACCATTACCTGGCCGGCGGCGGGTGGTCATCGTACTGCGTATCGCCTTGTTCACCACCGTTTGCGGTCATGAGATTGTCCGAACCGCTCTCATGCGGGCCAAGGTGGAGTACACAAACGCTATATAACCGTCATGCGAGTTGCGGCGACCCAATCCAAACTGAATTCTTCGACCCATACCAAGCTTGTACCCAATAATCACTTTTACCACCGCAACGAACGATCAACATGGTACTTGGAAGACATCACGCTGCTGAGGTTCGCTTTGACCTCGTGTCCGTCTTCAAAGTCGTGCTGATGGTCAACGGGTTACTTAGTACGATGCTGCCAACACTGGCAACACAGGCATGACCGGAACCGGCACTGGCATGACCGGCGGACGCCACCACGCCATGGGCCCCACCGACGCCGGGACGGGCGCGAGCACCATGACCGGCACGCGCGACGGCGCCGTCGGGACCGGTGGCGGCCTCACGGGCCGCACCAACAACCCGATGACTGGCGGCAACGAGTTCCGCAGCGACGGCGGCATGAGCGGGCGCCACCACGGCGCGACCGGGACCGACGTCAACACGGGCAACTTCCCGCCCGCCGGTGCGATGAACAACACGAACCCGACCGGGCACACCGGCGGCGGGGGGATGAAGAACCTCGAGGGCAAGGTCGAGAAGGCGCTCGGGACGATCACGGGCTCAGCGACGCTCAAGGCCAAGGGTATCGAAAAGCAGCAGTACGTGTCCTCTTCTTATCGTATCTGTCGCTCGGAACGTAGCTAACTGATTTTGTCGCTACGATAGGGAGGCTGCCGCGGTGAAGATGCAGAACACTCACCTCACGGAGGCGGAGCGCCTCGAACAGCAAGCCGCTGCGCATCGCGAGCGCGCCGTGGTCGGTAGCGCCCATCCCGAGCAGCGCCATGTCGGAGGCGTACGCCCCTCGGGTATGAACAGCGCCGCGCCTGGTACCCAGATGGTCAACCAGCCCGGCACCGGCGGTATTGGTGGCAACCCCATCTTACCCGGAGGAGACGCCGCCCAGGGTAGCGCGTACTGAGTGCTGAATTGATGGAAATCAAGAAATTGAAGAAGTTTATGTCGCGGATGAATAACCTAATGCGCGTTGTATACTATTAAATTGCTGATTGAAGGCATCTTCGAATGCACACTTTGATATCGAGGACATTGGCTGTTTCCCGAAATGATAGAGCACCGGTTAACTCAGTTACACATGAGACACATTTCACCTCGAGCTCTACATAGATCTCTCGCGAGTTCCAGTCTCGTTAAGACGCAGATTTCATGTTAAACAGCTCCACGCGACATTACGGCTTACGCGGAAGCGACAACGTGGGCACCGTACGTTACAACGTGCATATCCCTGGCTCCCTCTAGGCCGACGAGTTCTGGATTTCGCGTCCCGGTTATATGGATTGTTTGCTAGCCAAATGACGAAGGGTGCTCACGTTCATGGAGTGCTTGCTTTCTGAAACTACAGATACCTTACTACCATCTTGGAACATCACCAGCCGCGGCTGCTGAACCGCCTGGCGGAAGTCGGGACGTTGATTCGCAAGGCTCAGACTGAAACGCCGTCCGGCGTTCAACCTGCCACGCAGTCATAGCGTGAATGACTCATACTGGGCTGGGAATAGAGAGCAGCTTACGACGCGAAGAGACTATTGGAGAATACTGGAATGAAGTTCGTTAGCTATTTGTCACAAACTCGGCCGAGTATACTACTACTCACTCTTGGCGTAAAACATGTCCACCGCGATCCATAGCGCTGTACGAGTCAAGGTGAGATCGTTAGCTGATATCGGAATATATCGTGCGCACCACCTCGCGGCATGGCTGCACACTGGAACGCGATGACATTAGAAGGTCCTTGATTCACGGTGCACCGTATAGAGACACACCGATATTAACATAACGGAGCACACTACGCTGTTCAGCGACTTGAGCTGGGCAACGTGATGGGTAAAGTCAAGAAATCGAACCTGGTGATCAAGCTCGTCTCTGTGATAAGGTCAGGTTAATGACTGACGGATGAATTACATATGCATCTCGTACCCAACGTCCACGCGATGATCTTGTCGAGCATAGGAGAGGGACTGAGAAGCAGGCGTCAGGCGCGGATCACGTCGAGCAAACGCAATACACATTCACCAACCTGTCGAATCCAGACTGCTGAGCGTTCAGATAATAACACAGGCCGATGGTATTGAACACATCCAGCAGCAGGGAGTCCGATATGGCGACCAGAGCGATCCACATATATTTATCCATGAATGCACCGAGATGTGCGCTGTTCATGGCAGTCACACCGGCGGTGACTATCGCGGCGAAGTGTATCAAAGCCAGCGTCCAACCAATGATTGCGAGATGCACAGAGTGAGACAGTCTCCATAGACGATATGTGAAGAAGGCCTGCGCATCAGCATTTAGCAGCGACACACGACAGCACGTAGTGCGGACTCGCCTGAGCTACGGTAGCCACGGCTCCTCCGATTACTACTGCAGAAGAAAGCGACCAAGGAATGATGGTAAGGTAGGCAGGCTGCCCATAATGAATGACAGTGATGCTGTACAGGTATATCCAGGATACCACGACGTGCAAAGTTTCAAGAAACCTAACGTGAAAGGTCGAGGGTGAGCTCGAGAAAATAGCGGAAGTTGCGCAATGGAACGCACCAAACAAGAGTAGCCAACGCCCGAACACGGCGGCAGCCCTGTACATCGGTCGTATAGTACGTGTACGCCTGCATGTTCATGACGCCGTATAGCAGCGTAGATATCAGCGCGCCGATCTGCAGAACACCGAGGGAGAGATCATAGTGCGGAGCCATGCCGGGGCGGGAGCGGATCAACCGTCTCTGAAGGTGAGGAGTATCAGAGGTCGCCTATATGTACCGGGTGTTGCTGCGGCAGATCATCGACGTTACGCGTCGCGTGGTGTTATTGGATTCGTGACACGGAGAGCATGTATTCCGGGATGTCGTTTATAGCTACATTCCGAGGATAATTAGCGGCTGTCAAGCATAGAAAACGATACGTACACATCAGATCTGCTTGAAACAGATGAGTCACGGCGAACCACTCCGAGAGGAGATTGCGCAGCGCCTCCTCCGAAATCAACGGACTGCAGGTGCCACGTTTCGTTCAAGTTGGTGGAGGATGCCTGGAGAAAGGTCCACATCCAGAAGCGTTAGATGTACAGAGCCCGTGCGTCCTAGCTCTAGCAGCAACGACTTGCTTTCACATTCGCCGCAGCTTCGCCAAAGATACGCGGACCGTCATTGGTTCACCACACTACCCAAGTGCGCGATTGACATGAGAATCGTGCTCCGGGTGGCACTATTCCGGGCTCGACAGCTCATCAAGTTGAAGAAAGGTCGCAACAGCGCCCGCGCCAGATCGAGCTTCCGCTTCACCGCTTCAGTGTGACGACATTAATGTTGTGATGATATTCCCATTTGCAGAAATGTGATAAGTAAGCGGAAGAGAAATGGGATGAAGGTGTAGCGAGGTCTCCGTTGAAAGAAACGGCTGCGTTTGGGAATAAGGTAAGATAGGGCTCATTCAGTTTCAACAGGTCCCACGGGTCTTGCTAGTCTAATAAAATAATCTACACTCAAAATTCACAGAAATCGCCGCCACATATCTCAAGATAATGTACATCCAAAGAGAATTGTGGTTTTAGATTTAGAGAGTGTGCCCCGTAGCGAGTGGAATTCGCTGCGCAGCACGTATCACACCTGTTGAAACTGAATGAGCCCTATCTTAGGCGCTGTACGGTACAGGGGTGACTCAGAAGAATCACCCGTCTTTGCGACTCAGGGTTACCATTATCGGCAACTATGTCTCACGACGTTGCCTTAACCGGAAATTTCTAGAGCCATCTATTGCCTTTCATGGAAGGTCAAATCGCAAAGACGGGTGATTCTCTCAAATCACCCGTGTACCGTACAGCGCCTTAGGGCCAGCGCAAACCCTGGTACATCACGTGTCGCATTTGTCGAGAAAATGTCAAGAATTGTTGTATTTGGTGCGCTGCACAGAAGCTGCAACATATCTACTACCGTCACATCATAGCTAGACAATGACTCGATGATATGACGGTCCTACATATTATGAGAGAGCGCTGGGTGAGCGGCGATATCCTAATCAAGCTGCCCATTCTCTGGGAATCCCGCTCATCCGAGGGCTGTGATTGGTCGAGAGACCATTGTGGCGCCAACACGTGATGGTGTGATGTACCAGGGTTTGCGCTGGCCCTGTCTTACTTAATTCTGCATTCTGCAAGAATCACACGATTTAGACACGATTTACTTGCTATAAGAGGGAGGACAGTGAAATTAGATAAACATATTAGGACAGGGGCTTGCCGGTTTGGTACAGAAACGTCAAATCAGGTCAGAATCGGGTCAGAATCAGGCTAGTCTGGAACGAGAGAGCAACGATTGTCCTTATTTTATGATTATATAATATACTAGGGACAGCTCCCGTTGCTACAGTCACCAGAGCACTCGCCCTCAGCGCTCAGCATGCAGCACCAAGAGAACAGCCATAGCCAACTCCGATCGGTGGTCTCGCTCGTAGCTCAGGAGTTGTGGGATCAGATCATCGGACTCATCAACGACGATGCGACTCTACGGGCCTGCTCACTAACATGCAAGAGATGGGACATGTACCGCCGTCGGTGCTCGGTGACAGGCCGAGGAGTATTGACAAACAAATAGGAGTACTGCGTGTGCTCGATCTACAACTGTAGTCGGTCGATATGAAGCATGGTTCGTTAAAACCCGAGATCGCTTGTGGATCGACGCATTTTTCGAGAGCAATGCTGCGCCATAGCCTTCTCTGCGCATAGACGAGTACTTGTGTACAATCGAGAGCGCAAGATCGAAGATCGGCAGTATCCTTGACATGACCGATGATCACGCCCAGGATTTCCGACAGAAATGAGATGAGAAATCATTGTCGCACACTTTCTCGAGAGGCTGAGGCCTTCGCGAATAGAGGCTCTAACGCGCGCGACTCGAACGTTCCTCTTGCAAATATGCGGACGTCGTTAGCAACACGCCGCAGGCGAGCGCTTTCCTGCTACGCATCCCTCCCCCGTGCTGCGCTATGCAACGAATTTTGATACAAGCAGAGCTTCAATCATTGAGATCGATGGAGGTTACCACATAGCCTCGTCGGTGACTACAATGAGCGTGCGCTCAAGGTGGCAAGTAAAGGCCCACCATTTCTCGATCAATGTCTCCATCCATAATGGTTTGTGTAAAGATTGCGCTGGTTGACCAAACAGGGAGATCAATGAGATATGCGTGCGCGTTATCGCTGATCACAGGACTGGGGCTAGTCGTTGTATAGCTGGTTCTATATCAATTTAGGTCGAAGGGTGAACATGTGTATCGTGATATGCGCATGACAGTCCGGCGTTCCGGGCACTCCATACCTGTTGAGGGTAAAAAAATCCATGTATCAACGGACTGTCCCGAAGAACAAAGAAAGATCTATGCTCAGCGCGATGTAGAAACGATCGGTAGCAGAGGTGGGGGATAAAACGCAGCCCATATCTGGTCGTATTATCACACGACGTACTGATCTTAATTAATGATTATGACTCGCCGTGATACTTCCTCGGACCCACTGCCTTCGAGTCGCTGCCTGGCGTTCAGGGCGAGGCAGTTGAGCCCTTCGTATTTAGAGCCTCGGATCCTGCGAGCAAACGATCCCACGGTTCAACGTTCACAGACCCTAACCCATGGTCCTCCCAGCTAACGCGCCACTCATCTCGTTCACCGACGCCGACTCCCAGGCGCGGGCTGCCGACGCTCGACACGGCGGCGACACTCCCCAAACGTCCACTCACCACTCGAGGACAGGCGCTCCGACCTTGGACCACATGAAAACCGTAGTAGCCGCCGAACTTTACCAGCATACCTGCACCGTTTCCACTGAACAGTTCCTAAACCGCATTCTTCGCGTCGACCGGGACGTCGCTCAGCGTGTCTTGGACCACCTCGTCCTCAAAGAACGCTACCTCAATGAACGCTGGGTAGAGTTCCCGGAACGGATCTCCGCAGAGAGGGAGCTTTACGAGCCGTTCATCAGTCACGCGAGCGAAATCGGCGCCGTTCTGGAACAACTTGGAGAGACTCCGGAAACGCATGTCGTTTGGACGAATGGCGCGAATCTCGTTCCGCTTTCCGACAACGAGGCGGCAGCAAGGCTCCGTCCCGATATATTGGTCACACTCAAGGCTCAGCAGGAGCAACAGCAACAGGTTCGTGTCACCGTAGCATCCTTGGTCTGTTTGATGGGTTTTGCTTACGTGTCATGTGATACCAGCCCCATCCGCATTGGTTACGCGTTCAAGTCCCTGTGGAGGTCAAAAAAGACTCGGACGAAGCTACCGTCGCAGACGCCCTTCCTCAACTTTGCAGATATATACGTCTAATCCTCAGCGAGCAGGTCAATCGACGCTTTGTTATCGGACTTTTATTATGCGGCACAAAACTCACGGTCTGGCTGTGCGATCGGTCTGGCTTAATAGGCACGCAAGCCGTCATCGACATACACAAGGTTGCACCCTTCTCGCTTCTTTTTCCAATCTTTCCTGACGCAGTCGTGCCCAGGAAGCCCTCTCCTTCGTTCGGATCATCATGTCGATTTCTCACCTGCCACCTGCCCATGTTGGCTGGGACCCGGATATGAAGCTGCTGCGCAGGGTGAAGGGCTTGGATAACGCGGATGGCGGTGCTGAAGACCAGGAAATAGACGAGGACGATTGGGCGGCGATCGAGCCCACGGACCCATCCGTCGTGCCGGCCGACTTCGGAGGCTCGATCTATCGCACACGGTGGCAAATCACCGTACGCAGGCCTGATGGGGCTATTCAAGTCTTCCGCACTGTGGAACCTCTCAGCCTCTCGCGTTCGGCAGTTATGTGCGGCAGCGGGACTACTGTTTGGGAGGTGCAAGACGTTGACACCAAAGAGGTAAAGACGCCCGCTCTACCTCTGTTTCTATCCGTATATCTGACTACGGCGACATGGTCAGTTCTTCTCACTCAAGAGGATGTGGCGCATCGCCGGCTCTCCCTTAGAAGCAGATTTGAGACCCGATCTCCCTGATGATGCCCCTGTGGTCAAAATCTTGTATTCGGTGGATGCTTACGTCGGGGACGCTCTCGACAGCACTCTAAGATTGATTCGGCAAGGCGTAGAACCAGACAAGCCCGCGAACATGGGCGATGGCGACAAGTTGAAATCGAAGAAGAGGACGTACGAAGATGTGAACGTGAACGATAAAATCGTTCATATCGCCATGGTAGATGATAAGACGCTCGAAATCCTGAACAATCACCGCTCGCCCGACGAGCGCATCCGCACGTACACGTTGATGGCGACGCGTGGCTTTGCTATCAAGAGATTCAAGACTGTCCCTCAGCTCTTCGATGGAATGCGCGATTCTATCAAAGGTGCGAAGATCTGCCATGATACTTACACTTTGGCTGATATGAGTCTCGTCGTTTCGGACGTAGGTCATCGAATGCTGTGGCTCAAGGGTCATCTCCATAGAGATATTAGCCCGGGTAACCTCATCATTCCCCAGTCAGATGCCAAGTATGCTGGCTGCGTGATTGACCTTGATCACTCAAGGAAACTGGAGGGGACAGTAGCTACGTATCCGTTTCCACAGGCGGATGTTGATGATTGCGCGACCGTCGTTCAACTGGCAAGCATTTACAAGATCAAAGTCTCGCCCACCACTGCGTCAAATCTGATGGCCGGCTTTCCGAACGCATATGCAGCGGTAGATTTTGTGAGGACCGTACAGGATTTCTTGTCCGACAAGGTACGGGCCCGCTGTCTTACACGTGCTGCAGTCACGACTCACGCAATACGAAGCGAAATGTGGAAGGTTTCATACCAACAGTGAGTTTCGGGCGCATGGTCAAATCGAATGTCTTGTTCACAACATACTAGGAATCTTGGCCCGAGATGGATGACGGTGAAGACTCTTTTGTGCGCACGGTGCGGATCCTACGGCATACCAACAAACCAAGGGCTGACCTCTTTTGTAGGGCACTAAGGCCTTCATGAGCGCCGAGCTCTTTTCGGGTCAGCGATACTTTCCAAAGATCAAGGACTACAAGTTTCTGATACCGTCGGAGGAGAATGTCAAGCAGACCGTCATCCACGATATCGAATCGTTCTTCTGGGTTTTGATCTATCTGTGCCTTACGCGCAAGGGTGACGGCAAGTGGCGCAAGGAACTGTGTGAAGATCCCCCAGAGGGCGATGTTAAGGCACAACGCCTGCACACCATCGTCTATTGTCTTTTCGACTCCTCCTTAGATCAGGTGCTCCAATACAACAAGAGGCAAGCCTTTGAGAATCCCTCCAAATTAGTCAAGTTCGTCATTCCTGCCTTTCACCCGGACCTGGCATGCTTTGGAGAGCTCGTACTGGACTGGTGGCGTCTCCTCATTTTCTCGTATCAGAACTATAACTACTTTACACCCGGAGTCATACACGATCAAGTCCTCAAGCTCTTCGACCGTCACTCGGATGCCATCAAGGCTCAGTTCGCCGCAAGGATGCCGCCCACCGAGGCCGGTCCGCTTGCTGGCCAAGTGTCATATGCGTCGGGCGAGCACCAGGACGCCGCATTGTCGCAGGAGATCGACGGAAAGCTCCATCAAACGAAATTTGAGACTCCTCGGAAACCGCAGACAAAGGCTGCACCGGGTAGTTTTGGTCACCCTATACCGTTCAATCCGACCCCGGACGTCAAATCCTCGAATCCTGCCTCTAAACGGGCGAAGGTGGGACGGAAATGACCTTATGGTGCGCATGTCGTCATAACGATTGCCTGTCGATGCTTACTGGAGCTGTTTCTGCAGCATACTTCATTGCCTTGTCCACGGACCCGCGTCTGCTTTCGTCCCCTCATCGCTATCTTTTCTGCACGTGTCTGCTTTTGTCTCCTCGTCGCTGTCTTTGAGGCTTCCTCTGTCCACTTCGCCCGTTGTACTGATAGTCTTCCTCGGTTTCCGCTGGCAGCCGACGTGTTGCTCTCCGCCTCAGACGCACAACAGACTCTCGGAATTGGACTGAGCTGCATGGCGCGTATTGATGCGCTGCCCCTTGCTGCGCGCGCGACGTTGTGCACCGGCGCGTTCCGAAAGGGTGTCAAGTGGTGTTTTCAGTCTGATACCGTGGCACGGTGTCCCGCTCGTTGCGTCGCAAGATCATGGATGCAGATCGTAGCCACGTCAATGGCGGAGGAGGTGGAGAAACATGAGGATGAAAACTCGGAGGCCCTGGGGAACGTCCGTCGACGTGACACCTCTCTGCAATGGAAACAACAAAAAGAAATTTTGCTCGCTTCGTCGTTGATCTAGGTGCATAATGTACAGTAGTTTCGATGTCACCGTTATGTTTGACCAATCTGCACTTGTTTGGACGACGAACTGCGAGGGAACTGACGCCCGAGAACGCGTTTGAATCTTTGCGTAGTTGAGGCGTCTTGGCGCAATCATGGGACGACCCTCTACACTCCCGGCTATTCCACGATTATGTCGGATGCAGTCAGCGGAGGATATACAAGACTTGCGATGTGACCCCCATCACCTCAGGCCTCAGGCTCTAGGTGCGTCAGAGCTTCCTTGCATGCGGCGACAATTTAAGTCGTACATATACTCTCTGCCGATTTTAAAAATGGCAGCTCCTCGCGCGCGTTATGAGGATCTGCTCCACGTATGGTCCCACTGCACCCTCGGCCTTCGATACGACTCGCGTTCGTACGCGCTCCGACTGCGCTCGACCGTCACGTTCCTCTCCACGCGGACGTGCACGTCCAAATCCGCCGCCTCCTTCTCCGGATCGAACTCCTCGCTCCGATCGTGCGGCGGCACCCGGCCGTCCTCGTCCACCACGGCGAACTCGTCGTCGATGTGCTTCCGCTGGCTCTCGAACTGGGAGCGGAAGGCGTGGCTGATGGCGGCGACGGTGGTGAGCTTGCGAGTGAAGACGATGCTTTCTGTGAGGCCCGACTCGTCGGAGGCTTCTGTTAAAGGGGTGCAAAGAGGTGGGGCGGTGAGACACCGCGCAGCCATACAGGACATGTCCGAGACGTACTGCGCAAGCGGAGTATGATACGCTGGCTCATGATCCACGTCATGGCATAGTAAAGCGATACACTGTAATGCGAGTTAGTTACACTCCGTTGCATTCCGAGGAACACGGTGATGCCTACCCTGCAGACTATACGTAATAATAGATGAGATCGAGTTGGATTTCAGCAGAACTAGGCGCTAACCTGCAATCCCGAGTTTACCGACTTGTAGAGGATGAGGTTGACCAGGTTGATGGCTGTAGCAGCGTACGCATCAGCCAGGTACGTTGGTTATATTAAAGAGCTGCCTTACCGGTTAGTAGTACGAAGTACAATAGGCCGTCGTAGAGCATCCTGCAGATCGTATGAGGGCGCTCCGAGGTGAGGAAGCTGCGAGCGGTATCTTACATCTTGACCAGGTGGGACATACTAGATCGGATATATGAGCACTGCGAGTTAAGGCGCAGAGCGGCATCTCACGAACCTTCCGGACAAAGACGGCGTCCGATATCGCCACAAGTAGATCGACGAGATCGTCAACGTCACGAAGTCGAACGTCATGCTGAACAGGTTAAAAACCCATGCCGAAATACCGTGCGTTGCGGATGTCGCGCTGCAGCTATCGTGGGAAGCGAATGAGGAATAGAGCGAGTTGAACGAGATTGCACAACTCACTTGCGACGACTGGCATCGACCCATGCTACATACGTTGTGTTACAGACATAGCATATGGTCAAGAGCATTGGCTGCTCACGTTTACGGTGGAATGTGTTGGAGAAGCATTCCATCTAAATTGATATCATGTCACGGAAGGCGACCGGGTCGTGTGGAATAAGACCTACCACTACGCACACTGCAAAGAGTGCCCCGAAGCCATAACCTACATATTTATTACGTCTTGAGAGATTGAATGCTCTTATTGCTAGGATAGCTTGCGATATGATTGTTTGGAGGACTGCAGGGAACAACTATCAGCCGGATATGGCAGGAATAATTATCGGATGTCACACCTTTAAAGATTGGGGCAAGGAGATAATAGCGTCGGCAAGACTCTTGCGTGAAGTTGTTAGCGAAGAAGCCGTAATTGCTGACGACGAGCACCGCGATGCTGACATAGCGGATCGCGACGAAGCAGCAGCATGCTAAGCTAAAGGTAAGGCGCATGAGTGGTTCGGTATCGAATCGCCACGTTGAAATCACGACTCACCTGGGCCGAAGGATCGACTTCTGCGCGCGGTAGAACCGCCACTCAGCCGGCAGAGTCTGAAGGTAGCTGTATAAACGCGGATGACCCCGGTCAGCTTGCGCTGTGAGACCCTTAGCGGGGGACCGAAAGCTGACTCGTAAAGAGCGATGCTGAGCGACGCTACGCGCAAGAACTCCTCATTGCGGCTGGTCACTTCCACCAGGTTAACGTCGGCCATGAACAGGGCGGGGGAGGCGAAGGGTTCATAGGGGCGTGGTGCACGGTCGCGATTTGTTTTTAAATGTCGGAAAGTCGGACCAATATGCGAGGGCACGCAGGCTATGTGAGTCACGGTTGGACACATTTAGGCGTGAAAACCCCATTGACTTGCGCTCGGCGTGAGAGGCCCACCGACATACGCGCGTGAGCACGCAAGGTTTGGTCGGCTGCAGCCCATTTACGTCGGAGTTTGCCGACTCCAAGTTTGATAGCGCGGTCATTCATCAATCCTCCGACTGATCGTCTTCCCTCCGTCCTGCGCGAAAAGCGACACCCAGCAGGAGAGCAGGACACTGCGTCTTCTTCGATATGTTGCCCTACATCTACATTGCCGTATCCGAAATATGATACATTTTTCGTTCTAGCTTTTAGGGGTTGGCCCCTTTGATTACGCCCCACTACGTCCGACCGCTCTCACTTCGCCCGATCGATCGAGCGCCGGCAGCGGCACCTGAGCGTCCCGCGACGACGGCGCAGGCAGGAACCCCGCCTCGACCAGCCAAGCGACGTACTTGCCCATCAATTCGATCGACACCGTCATATTCGGCTCGCTCCCGTGATTTCCCAAGAGCCTGACCATGTTCGCGTCGTTCAGCTCCGGGGCCTTCGTGCTCGTCGGCAGATCGTCGAGCACAAAATGCAGCAGCGGGAAGAGCGCGTTGTCCTGGACATCCATGACGTGCTGCTCGAGCTTGCGCCGCCAGACCACGTATTCACACGGCGCGGTGCCGTAGCCGTACCGCGCCAAAGAGGAGAGGATGTCGTTGAAGGTCGGCGTCGGCCGCGCGGTGACGTGCAGCACGGTCATGCCCGGATCCTCCAGCGGCGAAACGGCCGCGAGCGCGGTACCGCGCGCGACGTGGTCCACAGGGACCATGTTGACGGTGTTGTTGATGTCGGGGACAAGGCCGAGCTGCACGCATCCCTTGACCAAACGCCAGATGAAGTCGTCCGTATTCGTCACTATGCCGCGCCACCATCAAGGGCCGTCAGCGCCGTGCGGGGGAAAGTCTGAAGAAGTGAGCGCTTACCGGCGGTTCGGGAATCTCCCACGACGTAGCCAGGCCGCACGATGTGCCCCTTCAGCCCGCGCCTGCCCGCCTCGAACAGCAGCTTTTCGGATACCCACTTGCTCTGCCCGTAGCCTGTCTTAAGCGAGGACCGCGCGCCCTCCAAGTCGTCGTCTTCCGGCACACCGCGCTGCCCGTCGGGGTTGCCAGATAGAGAGTCGGACAAGCGAACGTAGTGCTCGACGTCGATGGCCGAGGTCGACGAGACGAACACGAGAGATTTCGGCTTCCCAGTGGCGGCGAGGTCCACGGCCGTGAGCGTGCCCAGTACGTTGGGCGAGCGCAGTTTCTCGTAGGGGTAAACCCAGTGCACCTTCCACAGCCATAAGCACCCGCATCCCGGAATACCACAAGAATATTCTTACCAGAGCCCCGTTATGAAGGACCACATCAGCCTCTGCGGCCGCTCGCTCCCATGCCGCCTGGTCGAGCCCGAGCCTTTCCTGGCCCAAATCTCCGATAGCGACGCTCAGCCTTCCAGACGTGACCCACGCCTCGTCCCAAACACCGCGATCGGTTGATAGCTCCCTCAACCGCGCCAGCGCCTTCTCTTCGCTCGACGCGCGAATCAAGCATATCACCTTTTGCACCTGGTCGTGGCGTCTAAGCAAATCCGCGAGGATGAACGCGCCCAGAAAGCCGGTGGCGCCGGTGAGGAACGCCGTCAGCGGTTTCGTGCCAAAATCAGGCGGAAGCGGCGCATAGGACGCGCGTAGCTTGGACAGGAGCGTGTCGTAGTCCTTCCCGTACTCCAGCGCAGACGAACTCGCCGGCTTCGCGGGCACAGCACCGGGCACCGCCAACTGAGAGGAAGACGGCTGCTGCTGACGCTGGCCGTTGTCCCTGTACGCAAAGGCCAGATCCGAGTTCCTCAGCGCGTCGACCTCGGCCGCGAGCCCGCCGATCGTCGGCTGATCGAACACGAGCCCGAGCGGCGCGTTCACGACGAACGTCTTGCGAATCTCGAAAATGAGCCGGGTCGCGAGGATCGAGTGCCCGCCGAGGTCGAAGAAGTTCTCGTCGAGCGGGATCGGCGACGGCGCGTTGGGTAGGATGCGCGCCCAGATGGCTTGCATCGCCTGCTCGGTCGGCGTGGCCTCGCGGGTGGGGCCCTTGGGTCGCTCCGCCGTGGCCGCCTGTGCGGTATCCGGGAACGGAAGGGCGGGTTTGTCGATCTTCCCGTTCGGGTTGAGCGGCATGCGCTTCAACGGGACGAACACTAGCACAGTTGTGATGAGTGTATCGTACTCCGATGACAACCGAGCAAAACGTACGGGTAGGCACGCTATAACTCGGCAGCTTCTTCTTCAGATGCTCCCTGATATCCCTGATTAACCGCCTGTATCGCCTCATCCCTCTCACGAGCCCTCGCTCATCCTCGCTTTCCGGCACGTCGCTCTCGTACTCGCCAAGACCGGCCCCCTCGAGCGGGACAAAGTAGCTGACCAAGATCTTCTCCTCGTCTTTGTCCCTCCGCACGAGCGTCACGTTCTCCCTCACGAGCGGGTGCTGGCTCAGATGCGTATCTATCTCGCCGAGCTCGATCCTGAACCCGCGTATCTTGACCTGGTCGTCCGCCCTGCCCGTGCACTCCACGATCCCGTCGGGGAGGTACCGCCCGAGGTCTCCCGAGCGGTACATCCTATCCCGCACGCCCTTCCAGTACTTCGCCTCAGGGCCGGGCTCGCCCCCACCCGGCGGATGCGATATCGTGTCCTCCGGCGGCGGCGCGCCGTCCGCGAACCAGTTCCCCACAAACTTCTCCGCGGTCGCCTGCGGATCGGAGTACCCCTCCGCGAGCCCGCCCGAGCGCACGTATATCTCGCCGACCTCGCCCACCGCACATAACACGTTCCTGTCCGTCCTGTTCACGACGAGCAGCTGCACGTCGACCATCCCCTCCCCGGCGGGCATCACGTCCTTCTGCGTCGCGAGGAACGTCGCGTCCTCGGCCACGCTCGGGATGGCGAAATACGACACCGCGCGCTGCGTCTCCGTCGTGCCGTACATGTTCACGATCCGCACGTTCGCGGCCAGCGCCTGGAGACGCAGGCAGTCCCGCTTCGTGAGCACGTCGCCGACGAAGAAGGCGTTCAGGAGGGACGGGATCTGCCGCGTCGCCTGCGCGGAGAGCAGCTGGCCCATGGCCGGCGTCAGGTGCGTCACCGTGACGCCGCTGTCGGCCATCCACTCCGCGAGCCGGCCGGGCGTGCCGATGTCGTCCGCCGTCGGGACGTGCAGCTCGGCGCCGAAGAACAGCGGGGTGAACACTGGCGGGGGAGCGGAAAAGAAACGAATCAGCGTGACATTCGACGCGGGGGGTTCAACCAAACCGATTGGGAGTGGGAGACTAACTGTCGCGCTGGATGGGATCGTGCGCGATCCCGCTCAGCATGGTAAACTTCGAGTGCTCGCCGAGCCCGAACCGCTCGCCCATCCACGGGAAAAAGTGCGTGAGGCTGTAATGCCGGCCCTTGACGCCCTTGGGAATGCCCGTGCTTCCGCTCGTGAACGAGAGCGTGGCGACACTGTCCAGGCCGAGCACGATCCCGGGGTCGGTCGTCCCTAGCTCCCGTTGAGGGGCAAGGGCATCGTCGGCGTCGCCCAGGGACCCGCCGAGAACGGTCCCGTCCGCGAGAAGCTCGAGCGCGGGCACCTCGACGCGGATCTGCAACTCGGTGGAGATGAAGTCGCGCACGGACGGGCTGATGGTGCCGGCGCCTTTGAGCACGACAAGACCGCGAGGGGCGGCCACACGGAGGTAGATGGTCTGGCGAGAAGGCGGGTAGGCGGGATCTGGAATGGTCACGGTAGGTCGTCAGAACGAATGTATGCGTATATATGCGCCCATACGAGAAACGTACCGATGACCGAGAACGTGGCGCCGACTTTGAGGATGGCCATGACGGCGATGACCATCTCCACGCTCCTGTACGCGTACACCATCACGACCTCCTCGCGCTGCACGCCGCCCTTGATGAGATGGTGCGCGAGCACGTTCGACGCGCGCCAGATCTGGCCGTACGTGTACGACCTCCGCTCCTGGCGCACGTCGAGGCTCGGCGCGGCGTAGCTCTGGATCACGCAGGGCCGGTCGGGGAAGGCGCGCGCGTTGCGAGAGAAGACGTCGGGGATGGCGCCTTTGAAGTCGCACCAGTGGAGGTCGCCCGTGGGGTCGGGCAGGCGCGCGCGCTGGGACGAGGTGAGGAGCGGAACGGCGCCGACGGGCGCGAGCGGGTTCGCGGCGGCCTTGCGGAGGAGGGTGGAGAGCTGCTCGACAACGTAGGCGATGCGGACGGGGGAGAAGAGGAGAGAGTTGTAGAGAATGCGGAGGCTGATTTTGGGCGCGAGCGAGTGGTGGGTGGAGGCAGGGGGCCGCATGACGAAGATGGTGAGGTCAGAGGTGAGGCTCGTCGAGCGCACAAAGTGGTCCTTCTCGTCCGTCTCGTCGAAGAAGCGCACGCGGAAGAGCGGGCGCGTGCTGTCATCTCCTGTGCCCGATCCTGAGGCCTTGCCGAGCGCGCGGAGGATGTCGTCGTACGGTACAAGATCGGCTTCGGCCTCGGCTTCTGCTTGCTGAACCTTGCGCACGACGGCCCAGAAGGGATCGGTAGGGTCGACGCCTAATCGGAGGAGGAGCGGGTCGCGTGAGGAGGCGGAGGAGGAGGCAATGACGAGGTCGGTGTCGCCCGTGTAGCGGTGGAGGAGGACGGAGAAGGCGGCCAGGAGGAGATGGAAGGCGGAGGGCGTGTTGGGAGCGGAGGTGGAGGTGCCCTCGCCGTCGTCCGCATCGTCGTCTTCGTTCTCGGTGAAGACGGTGAGCTTGAGGAGGCTGCGCGAGGTCTGCTCGGGGAGCTCGGCGGCGTGAACGGCCTCGACGACGCGCTGGCCGTCGGATGGCCGTGGATAGTCCGTCGGGAGCGCGATCGCGGGCAGATTTTGGAGGCGGGCGACGACCCGGGCGAGTTTTTCGCTCGTCATTTTGCTGGTTTTGCGTATCTAGCCTGCAACGCGGCGTGAACGGCCAGAGTGCGAAGGCAAGCCTGGTTTTTCCCCTGTGCGGGCGAAGAGCCGGCAAGGAAATTTGGACGAGGGGGAGAGCAGGGGCCGGTGCTAATCATCGCGAATCGAGTCGAAGATGAAAAAGGCCGACGCAAAGCCGATCCGTCGCAGTACCGAGCGCCTTCACTTCGACCTCCACCTTCATCTCGTCTTCAGCTCTTGCATCCTTCATGTTGCCCCTTGTTGTCGCCGGGACAGATATGCTCTGACTGACGCATCTCTCCGGCTTGATCTATAACGGCGTCGCCACCACATACTCACGTCAGTCCACCAGCGCTCGCACGGAACGCTACAAACGTCGTCGTTGGGATGAGAGGCTTCAAAAGGCCATAATATGTGTACTCTCAAGGATGCCCAGCAGACCGCCCCACGAACGAGATGCACCTGAACTTCTCCACCCTTATCATGTTTCTCTTCATCGTGGGCGCGCCCTCTCTCGCCCACCTTATGGTTAGCAAATCCGACGCAGGCGACCTCCCTATTAGGACAGACTGTTGTCTACCGATCTGCCACCTGCAGGGCCCCGAACACTCTCCAGCGCAGTGCCTGTGCTGCTAACCCGACGAATGCGAGCGCTAAGGTACGGCCATCTACCTTCTTCATCCTATCAGATGGCTGACGGACCTAAGCAGGGCATCCGGGCGGTGTAGTTCGGTACTCGGTGTGCCTACAAGACCCGGGCGATACCATTGTGATGAACGTAGATCCCCGCATCATCAACAACGTGCTGCACCTCATTCCATCTCGTACAGTGCCGGCTTGGCTATATCCGCGCCGCACTTATGCCTATATACCGTTGTTATCCAAAGAGCTATGATAAATCGCTGTTCCGTCCTATCCCCGACCTTGCCCGTAGGTCGTATGAATACGCGAGTGTTGCTATCAACATCTCAGGCTGCGCCGCACACGTCAAGCTGCGTCAGCCGTGCTCGATGGCACAGCCCGGCAGCGTCCTCGATATGTTCCACCGTCAAGAGGCTCATACGCCTGTCGCAGATGCACGATTCATACCGACCGGATCATCGCAACGCCCACTCAACCACGGGCCCTGTCTCCTCTATCGCCGCCCGAAGGCAAACCGGCTGCCAAATCCACCTCACTCGAATAGGGTGGCGTGTTGCTAATCCAATCACGGGTCGCATAAAACCAAGCCTCCGTCTCCGCACGACATCGAGAGCGCTGAATCCCAAACGCAGGAGAATAGACAGGATGGCTGCGGGTCCGTGACAGCGCTATTGGACACGGCGGTGCCCGAACACTTTGGGGGATAGGTTACATTATTGCGATACATTTCTCGCAGCCGGGACCGAAGCAATGTCGTCCCGATTCTACAACCTGAATGCGCCACACACTCAGGCGTACACTCCATGACCTTCATCCCGCAACTCAAAGGACACTGTCATCATGCAGGCTCTCCGAAGTGCCTCGTGCCATCCTGTGGCGCACTTGGGAGTCACCACGCCTACCTTCTGCTTCCACGCTTCCCTCTCCAGCGCAGGTCCCATGACCTCGGAAATAGGCCACGCTATCCCTTCGCCAAGGCAACGCCCGTATTCGCTCGCTCATTCTGTCGGGCGGTATCACCATGAGCGGATACGCCGCGACTCCAGACCACTCTAGTGTGTGATGTGCGTACGCATCATTTGTCGATGCTCTCATGCACGTAGAGCGCCGAACCGCGCCTGCCCTCGGCGCGACGGTATAAACGCTGCCGCGCGCGGCCTGCTTACTGCCCACCACAAAGGCTAAGCACGATCCAGCCATGCTGTTATCAGTCTACCGCTGGAGACCGCCGCGGAAGATAAGTTTTGTCCTAGATCCATTTCGTGCCCAAGAACCCTCAACGTTATTGCATCGCTCGCTCTTTCGCCGTCCTATCGAGCAGCCACCGGTGTCGTGTATCGGTCCACTTGCCCAGATACCGGCGCCCACCCGATACGGGAACCGACCCTGAGACGTTTCGCCATATTCACCCATGTCCGCCTGCCCACAGTCATTATACCCACCGCCCAGGGAACTGACGCACGGATCCGCTTCTTCGTGCCTCCTCCCCGCCCCGCTTCCTCGGACGGACGGATACGTAGGAAGGCAACGCTCGGGCTTCGCCTCGCACGGCGTTCTGAATCACGAGCAGAAAATAGCTTTTGGCTTTAAGAGAACGCGCTCGACCCTATCGATATCTGCCACTCGCGCTCATCCGTGCACTCCGGTCATCATGCGGGCTGGCGCCGCCATCAACCTCGCTGCTATCATCGTGCCAATGATAGTCGCCTCTGGTGCTGCAGCATATCCTAGTCCGAACCTCGGCGCGCTGCTTCCCATACCTCTCGAGGAGGGCCCGGCGGCGCGGATGATGTCCCGTTCCAAGTGCTGTCAGAGCGTTTGCACACCGCAGCAGGTCATCAGCTTCAATCCGCCGACGAAATGCTCTTGCTGCTGACGTCGCTTGTGAGATCGGGCTGGTTTCCATATCGTGAGTGTACGACGCATTTCTGAGGCTTTCGGCTGAGTTGAGGGGTATTAGATCGGCTCCTCGAGCGGGGGTCATACCGGCGACGTTGCGGGCGACTTTGACGGTTTCTCCAAAATCACACCGCTCTTACACGTCAAACACGATCGTGCTGGGAGCACTCGAGTGCCTGCGTGCGGGGTAATGAGGGAAGGGCGCCGATCTTGTATATCACAGAGAGAATCGTCCCTGGCGAACAGCGCACGGTGGGCAGCTGTCTTCCTCACCGCGCATCAGTCGTGTACGAACGGAGGACTCGCGCTCCCATACTATCACCATCGGTTTTTTTTGCTTTCTGTTCTTTGACCAGCTATCTTTCTATCTTCGTACAAGCGTAGAACTATCTCTCATCCGGCAACCTTGCATGTCGATGAACATAACCCACTAGTTCGTGCTTATCCAACACGGTCTTGCGCAAGAATACTGTTTGGGTATATATATATACCGCCGTGTGCGCACATACGCAGAATGTACAACACACAGCAATAGAAGAACCTGATATATAACCCCATCCCTTACTCCCTGTTAACAGCGTCCCATTTACCTCCATGCGCGCGCCTACAATGCACTTCTCACTAAGCCAAGCCGTCACCGTCTTATTCTTTCTATTATCAGCATCCACCGCTGCACACGCGCAAGGGAGACCTCCCGTCGACTGCTGTCAAGAGGAGTGCGGGGGCGTGTTGGATCCTGGAGAGCGTTCGTGCTCATGCTGTTGATGAGGTAAGGTGTTCTCCCGATTCTCCCGATCGTCAGATCACAATGAGACTAGGCTCGTTCACAAGCGGTGAGCAGCGCGTGCATCCAGAGCGGGCAAATCCGTAATGGCCTTGAGCCAGTAGTATTCGCTCCCTGGAACAATTAATCAGCGCGGATGCACGTCCGATGTACACGATATGGAGTGTAATACTATTTTCCCACCGCATTCCGTTCGATACCAGTGGATCGCGCTTCGCCCACCTACCACGTAATGCGAATAGAGTCACGAAGTGTTCCTATACACCAGCGCTATCATTAGTGCTCCGCCTTGTGATACCAACAATGAATTGTTTACATTCAGCGATTGATTATAACATGAACCGCCAATTGCCTGGGTCCTTCGGTGTTGAATATCATGTTCATGGAAGGCACGCCCCAGCTATTGAGAGACGTACTCGGGTCTAAACCATGTTCTCGGAAATCGACTATTGGCGAGGTACCGCCCTCCCAAATCCGTAAGAGGATTGATATCGTCACATCATGGTTCACTATTGGTAGGAAGCATGGCGGTTCAGCTATAATTTGGAACCCAGCACTAGATTTGTGCGCGAGCTCCTCTGTCGCCTTCCTCTTACGCACGCAACACGTGAATAATGCTCCGTTGGTTCAAGCCCTATCGAGTACACAATCCGGAAATTGGTCACTCCGTCGTCTGGGTGGGTCGGACCTTGCTCGCCCACTGAAGATAGGAGTATACTCCCAGCACCACCGTGCTCAGCATCGTCTGCAGGCGCTGTGGGGCATCGGGTCCGTCGTGGCTGCACAGGGCAAAGTCATTGGTCGCCTCGCGGCCTATATCAGCGATGATTGTCGAGAGGGTCCTCTCGTAAGTCCAGGAGAGCCCTTCGGGATTGAGATCGTCGAGTACCTGCCACAACGGAGCTATGTCGCTAACGAGCGCATGCCATACGTTGAGTTTGCCTATCGCTTCCGGTGACAGATATTCGTCGGGGTGGTCCCGACACCAGGTAGCTTGCCTGACCAGCGCGGAGTAACAGTGTTTCCAAGCGGGCACCATCTGTTTAGAAACGATGAAACGGTTGAACGCCGTATTGAAGCGGATAGAGCAATCCCGGCCTACCGCCTCGGTCCGAGGTTCATTCTCAATGCTATGCACGACGCTCATCATGTACTCTTCAATATTGACCGCCATCCTAAGTCTCTAAATGACAGTCAATGCAAGGAGGACCTGCAAAACGTGAGAATTCGGACCAACTCGAAACCCTGTCGGCTGCCTGTCATCGGTAACGCATGCCGGGTGATGTCAGGTTTTCGTATGCTCCGGTGCCACAGCAGGAACGAGTGTGTCGAGGCTGCGGCCACTCTGAGTGACTCTTGGATGGGGTCCTCCTCGTCGCTGTCGCGTCCATGGGTCACGGAGAGCACGTAGGCCTCGCGTGCGACCAGACTCAGAAGTGTGTCGCGATTCACGGCCACACGTCGCCAAGGGGGTTCATCGCGACCCGCCAAAGCATTCCATGCAGCAGCGAGCCCCACCACCTCCGGGTCAAACTGCTGGCCTGCAGAATATGGCGGCATGCACGCTTCGTAGGCAGCAACATGCGCTCGGGCGTAGGCGTCGTCCCAAGGTCGCTGTCGGCATCGGTTCAGAGCAGGGTTCGACTTGGGGACCATTTAGGGACACAACGCACCGTTTCCTCGCGGCCTAGAGCCAGGTCTTGGAGAAACTCGTAAAAAGCTGCCTCAGACTCTACGCCGTGACCAGTTTCCGTCACATAGTCTGGAGGGTCGTAATCATCCATAGCGGTGGAAGATCAGCCTTCCGAGAGAGAGACGATAACTTGAGGCCCACAACTTGAATGGCCTGTGGCTCAAGGATCGCACGGAAAACAAAGGAACCCGCGCGTGTTGTGATATTTGTGATTGAAGCTGCTCAAAGCTATGGCATGGAGGGAAAGAGGGGCTGTCCACCTGATACCAAAGCACGACGACTCGTTCGGGTGAACAATGAGGCTTCGGGTACAGCCGTCCATGCTCCGGGAGTTATTACTCGGTATATCGGGAGCCATGGGAAGGCAAAGGGTGCGTGCAAGATCCGATGTCGTTGGGTAAAAAGACGAGTTGCGACGAAATTGGCAGAGGGCATTAGACATCGAACGTTATCCCGGTTGAGACGCATCTTGAGTGGGCTCGGACGCGAACAAAACCGGATGTGCATCAACAGGACCAGATCGCACAGCTGCTCGTATAACCGCTGGAGAGCTGAAGCCCAGGCGTCAAACGGTCAATTCGAGTCAGGTCTTCGTCGTTTAGCAACACAGAGCTGTCAAAAGACCGTATGGGTAGCTAGGTAAATGTATGCAGCCAGCGGTCCGGACATATGATAGAGTGCCTTGGCAAAGCACGAACGTACGAAACCGAACACAGTGTAACAGTCGGAAATTGCCGAGATAGGACAACGCCGGGGTTCTCCATAGTAACCGCACTGAGTCAAGGGAAATAGCCAGCTGGCGCCCACATGGCAAATTGTAAGTACCGAAAGGAGCGCCCCGCTTTCTGCTTACCATCCAGGCATCACGCGACGCGACATATGAGAAAAAAATGGCATTGTAGGGAGACCCGCTAGAGATACAGCCTGATAAAGGTCACTCCATGACCTTGCGTGCTACTAATACATCACAATTCATCGCTCGATGACCCAGAAAAGCCCTTGACTGGATGAAGGAGGAGAGGGCACACCAAAAGCCAGACGACGTAGTCGTCGTTGTTCAACAAGGGTATGACAGGGAAGCACGGGGTAACATCCACGTCGCGGTAGATCGAACTGGGGCGAAGTGAAGGACGAACCGATACCGGGATCAGGTGGTACCAGTAAGACCCCCCGTTGCACCCGTCGCAGCGATACGCGCCTCGGCATCGCTCTGCGAGTCGCACGTGAGGCTCGTACCGGCCTTGTTCACGAGCGGGAGCGCGAAGCATGACGTGCCTGCCGCGCACTGCGACACCGTCCACGTGCCGCCGACGCACTGCGCGAACGAGCCGGAGACGCAAGCTTGCTCGCCGTCTGTTGATAGGCGCTCAGCGTCAGCAAACAAAACTTATTCAAACGCGAAAGCGGGACGTACCGGAGCAGGAATCGCTCGAGGTCAGCGAGGCGAACTTGGCATTGAGCGCCTGGGCGTCCTTGCCATTCTGGAGGTGGAAGTCGGAAGAGCTAGAGCTCGCACTCGCACTCGCGGAGGTAGTCGCGGCCGGAGCTGCTAATGATGCTGCCACGTCCGCATCCGCGTTGGTGTCAGCGGAAGTCGCGGTAGCGCTAGATGACGAGGCCGAGCCGGAGCCCGTCAAGCCGCCCGTTGCGCCGGTGGCTGCGATCCGCGTCTCCGCGTCGGATTGTGTGTCGCAAGTGACGCTCGTGCCGGCCTTGTTCACGAGCGGGAGTGCGACGCAGGTGAGCCCGCCGGAACACGGGGAGAGGGTCCACTTTCCCGCGACGCACTGCGCGAACGAGCCGGAAACGCATGCCTGGTCACCATCTGTAACGAGAGTGAAATGAAAATGAGAGGTGAGCGGGTCGGAGCGTTGAGAGCGGACGCACCTGAGCAAGCGTCGGTCGAGGCGAGCGTCGTGAACTTGGCATTGAGGGTTTGTGCGTCCAGTCCGTTCTGGAGGTGGAAGTCGGAGGAGGTCGAGCTGGCGGAGGCGGAGGATGCGGGGGCGGCTGCCGCCGTGGTGGCCACTGCTGCTGCGTTGGCGGCCGCGCTGGTTGGCGCCGGAGACGAAGATGCACCGGAGCCGAAGCCGGTCAAGCCGCCCGTCGCCCCTGTGGCCGCAATGCGGGTCTCGGCATCGGCTTGCGTGTCGCATGTAATGCTTGTGCCGGCTTTGTTAACGAGGGGCAGAGCGACGCAGGTGGTCCCGCCAGTGCACGGGGTAAGAGCCCATGCGCCGGTGACACATTGCGCGAAGGAGCCGGAGACGCACGCTTCCTCGCCATCTAGGGCGCAGCAATGCGTGAGACCGGGACGCATACGAACGTGGGTGAACCAAACGCACCTGTGCACGAGTCCGTTGATGCAAGCGAGGTGAACTTTGCATTCAGGGCTTGAGCATCTATCCCGTTCTGCAGGTGGAAGTCCGAGGCGCTCGCAACAGGAACCGGAGCCGCGTTGACAATCGAAGAGGCCCCGATGAGGGCGATCACAAGAGATGAAAACATTGCTGTGAGATGGAGTGTCGCTGGTTTAATATCGCGGAAGGTGTAGTGGCAGGCCGAAGCGAAGGATCGTCGATGAAATGAGGGCACAGGCTAGCTGAAGCAATGAACGTGTAATCGTCTGCGCGCAGCGCACTGGGCAGGCTGGACCGAGAGCGGGGGAGAAAGGATGGAAGGAATGCTCATCTCCGTTCGGCCTTCTGAGACTTATGAGACGGAGGACGGCGCACGTGGTGGTGGTGGTTCGAATGGAAGCCTGAGCTCCGATTCCGACAAAGACGAGTATTCTTGGTGGCTACTCACGCATGGTCGGTGCACGCTCGGCATTGTTCCATATTTTGATGTTACATTGTGTGTAGTTCTACAGCGAGTCTTCATCGGCGTAGTTGCATGCCCAGAACTCCAGGACTCAGCCATTGAACTTGCTCCCACATCGGCTGCGCGTTATTAGTAGGACTGGATGCTGGATATCGAGCCAACACGACAACAGGGTCGCCACTACCCTGGCAACGAACGATGCGCTGTGGTGTCAACTCACACCCAGGAGGCCGCAAAGTATTCACGGAGGGCTTGAAGGTATCCGGTGCTATGAGCTGATACATAGCCCACACCATGTCCGCGAGGCATTCTGGCGAGTAGGAGACGTCCGAGTAAGCCATCATATCGAAGGTCAGCGTGCAAGTCAATCGTCGTCAAGTTTGAGAACATCGAACCTTCTCAAGTTAACGCGCATGTTGCGGACCCTTGCTTCGATAACCGGGACCCCACCCGAACCCATCCTCATGAAGTGGTATACAGGCTTACAGCGCACGGACGTTCTACATAAGCCAGGCCATGACGCGGCGCGGTTCGATATGCTATCTCTACGATAATTATGGTATAGATCGAATGTATGTACACCTCTGCCGACAGAGGACGTCCAGGACTTAGAATAGTGATAAATAAGGTCACTCCGATAGCACACGAGCCTATCGACAACGAAGTGAGTATCTGTTACGCAAGCTATTATATGAGCAGCACGGACTCATCCTGGTAGTCCATTATCTATGAAATCAGAATGACTTTCTCTTTCTTGGAACCCGCGTAATTTCCTCCCGTGAGGTCCCAATCCGACTCAGCTGCAGCGAGCTCGATGTCCATAATCTTCATGTGTCCGCCGGAGCCCGAGTCGAAGGAGATACCGCTCTCGTTGTGCCTCCGAGCCGGAAGACGAGGGGCAAGGGATTCGCGATCAGGACAATACGACTCGCGATCCTTGGCACGAGCCGAAGATTCTTCTTCGTGCTCGACAGCAGAGTTTGTCCAAACTCTGATGATGATGAAATTGAATGAGACCCCGGCGAGTTGTACGCTCTATTCACAAGGTGAAGTTCTGATACCTCATGAGGTGAGAAAGAGCTTACGGTGTCGGCAAAGATGTACACGGCGTTGCTCTTGCACGACGCGAGAACCGCGGACATCATGGTGAAGACACTGTATATCCAGGCGGACTCGACCATGGCTCGTAAAGCGGATTGGATGGGGTTGCCCCCGACGACCTGGCGCGATAGTCCGAGCCGGCGCTCTCTTCGTTGCGATAGGATGTACAGCCTCCTGATGAGCATTACTACGCATGTATCGTGAGTGAGGATGCGATGGGTACAACAACGACGGAAGGAAAGCACATCTCACCGGTTGTGGGGAAGTTGGAGATGAACACAGCCCAAGTGAAGGTGTCGGTCCATGTCGTGACGGTAGCATTGAGCGTGTTCGGAAATCGGGCCTCAATGACCGTAAATCCGATGGTGCTGGCGGCAGCGAAAGCCCAGAGTAGGCAGGGCACGATAATGAAGCGCCAATTGCGTTCATAGACGACATAGCATCGATATATCTGGCAGAGGGGAGGAATGTCAATGCGTGCTTGGGAGACGTTGCGACGAGACACGTACGAGCATCCCATCCCCCAGGAGCGCTGGTATTCCCATGAATAATATCTATCTCAACACGTCGGTCGCGTTCAAATCCTTTTCGGTAGAATGTCACTCACATGCACAGGGGCGATGAAGCCGGAATCCTGGAAGAAACCCGCGTCGGGACCTCCCGTACCGGCGTACAGCACTAAGCCATCGACCGCCAGCTTGAAGTGCATCAACACGTTCAACGTCCCGCATATAAAGAGCATGAACGCCACGGTGGCGAAAGGCCATCGCACTGGTCCGGGCTTGGGTGTTCGTCTCCTCCGTACCAAAGCTCTGAACGTGAAGAAGGATGTTGCCAAGAAGACACCATAAACGATAGACTCCACGAATAAAGCGGTGATCTTGGCCTCGGCGAACGTGAATGTCATTATGGTCGTGGTCCGCAAGGACTGGAGGGACTGGAATGTGGCAAGCTTAAGATGAAGGACGGGGCCGAACGCGCTAGGGGGGCGTCGCGACCGAATATTTACGCGTTTGATGGGGAGTGGAGAGATCTAGGGGGCGAGTATGCCGAAGGCAACCTCCTGACTAACGCGTACCTGTTTGGGGACACGCGAAGACGATACCTGGCGCCGTCGGAGCGCCACGAAGCACGATGAACGAATATTCAAACGACTTTGCCGTGGGTGTGAGAGCGTACCGATATCACGCTGACGACAGTGTACATCCATTCGTTGCCAAGTTCTCATCCTAGCTCGGGCTAAGCCCGTGTGTCATCGTTGGGCCGACGGTCGGTCGGTGTGAGAATGTGCGTCAATGCGTTGTATGATAAGCAGCTGCACAGTCTATGCGCGCACCGCCTTGCAGCGAGGCAGCGAGGAGATTCGCAGGATGGAGCATAGTAGATCTAGAACACTTTGCTGTTGAATATTGACATCGAACTTGCGGCCGCGGATCAGGAAGGGGTGCTTGTTAGACGGGATGACTCTCGTTGGAAGGGAGACAGTGTGAAATGGCTTACGACGAAGGGATCGCCGGTACTTATACATGTCAGTCGTGATAGTATTCCGCGGGCACGTCCTCAACGAAGTCGAAGTCGAGTTCAAAGAAAGGATCAGGCACAACCACCCATGTCAAGCTAAGCCCTTCCCTCTTTTCGAATTCCTCCTTGAACCGGATATCATCCTCGGTTTCCGGGATAAATCGACACGTGGAGGAAGTCGCGGTTGGGTCGCGTGCACTCCTTCGCGCAAGTAACAGGATGGAAGTTCCTGTAATTTCTTTCCCTTCGGAGTCGACACATCTATCCTGACCATTGACGCGATGAAACCTAGCCTTAGGCCAATCGGTGGGATAAAGCTTCGCGACGCGATTCATGCCCCGCTCGACCCAGACCTTCCGAATGCAATCGTATACAGATAAGTACTTGTTCGAGATCCAGTTGTTTTTCTTGGCCCAAGCTTCAGCGTCTTCAACGCTGAGCATATAGCCAGCTAGGACTAAAACTCGTCGACCCATTGGAGCTGGAACGCCCCCATGTCAGTTAGTACACGAACGAACGTGGGACGAGCAAGAGCATACCTGGATGGTTACTAATAGCTGTAATAATGACGCGTCTGATGATGCTCGTTGCCGTCGTGTCTCTTTCGGCAGATGATCCAGCTGGAGGAATGTTGACGGCGATACGGGAACACCCTGTCGCGCATCTGTACGAACCAGTCACGTGCCGGTGGGGTTCTCCATATGTAATTTAGTAGCTTACAACATGTCACCGCTGAATGGCGATGTTCTTCCTAAAAAGGTGCTGCAGTAAGAAGTTCTATGCTGGACGAATGCTGCATCATCAGGAAGGGGGCTTGCAAGCCATCCAAATGGTCCGTATATCGAGGTGCGTGTTCGTCTTTTGAAGGTTGTGATGGTCGACGCTGCGCAGAGATGGAGGCAGTTTCACCGGCGCCGGAGCTTAGAGGTAATAAGAATCTCGATGTCCCAATAAAAGTGCAGGCCAGTAGGGGTCGTTGGTCGCGGTCCTTGGGCCTTGAACCTAGCAGAGCGCGAACCGTCCAGGAGGACCCCTCTCGCTTTGCCGCTGGTTTCCGGACCCCCTGGCCAAGATGTCGCCAATTGACCGACCAGTGACGCCATCACCCTGAGCAACTCTGCAAAGGATCAATAATCGTTATCACTTTCAAATCAATCTAAGAAGCCCGAAGGCGTTCTCAGATCATCCAGTACTCCACTTCGTGATCACTTGGATCACATATGCATGAACTTCATGAGCTTCGCAGTGTTCGCAGCCGGGTTCGGTATACTTTATCAACGCTTCATGAACTATGACTTATCATGAAGCCATCTCCCCTTCTCAGATCATCCAGTGCTCCACTTCGTGATCACTTGGATCAAATATGCATGCACTTCATGAGCTTCGCAGTGTTCGGAGCCGGGTTCAGTATACTTTATCAACACCTCACGAATAAGGACTTATCATGAAGCCATCTCCCCTTCTCCCCAATGGCCGACCCCCTCGCAGAGGCAATCGCGCTGAAGAAAGCGGCGAGCATACCACTCTACGTTAGCGGTGAGCATTCTGTTATTCTTGAACCAATATATCCTGATGAAGCTGGGCCAGTCGTCTCCTTGACGTGGGTCTTACACGATTACAGTGAGCCTTGCCCTTCGCCATCGGCGAGCGTTCACTCACCGCCTAATCCAGTCCTCACAGTACGCGATGAAGCTCGATACATCTGGGTATGTCACGACTGGCCTTCTTACACGCGCATCCTGACACTCTGTAGCCCGGGAAGTGGAACCTTGGCAAATTCCTATTCTTCTGGGTATGTTGTAGCGGATGAGGTGTTTGGACAAAATCGTTGATCACCTTTCTTGCCTGGGATTAGGTCCGCTACTACACGATCGCGCTGGCACTGTTCGATGTCGCGCAGATACACTCCTTCGCGACGTTCCAGCCAAGCCTTACAACGTCCGTCCGGGCTATCTTGCCTTCGTTCCTATTTCAAGGCCCTCATTATATGATAGTTGCGTCGTTATGGACGCCATGATCCGCGTGGTCGGTGCGCTCAGCTTATGGGCAATCGAAATAGTGATGCAACTTCGTATCTATGCCATATTTCGCTGCTCAAAGCCGGTCAGCCGAGCATTGTCTCCACCGACTTCCAATCACGTTGCTCACTTCTTACCGTAACAGGTGGCCATTGTAAACATCGTCCTATTTCTGGCATCCGTAGGCGGCTTCATGTGGATTCTTGTTCACAACGCCCTCGGACGGGCCGCAGTCATCAAAACTGCTAAGGCACTGCCGATACCGGGATGTCCTGTGGTGCACACTGGGATAGAGTGGGCGCAATGGGTGCCAGGTGCGTTTAGATGGTTCAAGTTTCGAGTATTCGTCGAGTTTTGTTCGCTCTTACCGACCTTTCACAGCGACCGCGTACGAGGGTGTCCTGTTCTTGTTTGCGCTGTTTAAAACAGCCAGTCGCTATGTCAAGGATCTTCGCTCTCAGGGCGCCAGGCGGACACATACGAAGAAGACGCTGTACAACCTGATGTTGCAGGATAACCTCCTATACTTCTTCGGGTATTCTTGGTTTCTCCTTGGTCTTCAATTGCACGTGCTAATACACATGTGGCGATCCAGTATTGCCTGCATACTCGTTTTCAATAACCTGATGGTGGTCGTACGTTCATCTGGTGTTGTTCTTATTTGAGATTGCCCCTGAATCCATTCTATAGAACGTAACTCACATACCGTGGTTTAGCTACGGGTATTGTCGTTCATCATTTTGGTAAACGAAGGCTCACCGAATGATGCTACAGGCCTTTCCACGCTGTGACCGGGATCATGACATGCCGAATGCTCATCCACCTTCGCAAAGCGCTTGCGGAGGGGCCTATGGTTTCTGGCGTGTCTGTGGTATCCGCTAGCCGCGGCATAGCGTTCGCACCGGGTACTTCTCGGGCTACTAGCACGGGTCAATATGGATCCGAGACGGAAGAAGAAGTTCAACTCGGTTTATACTCCACTTCGCAGACGCTTCTGTTCGCCAAGGGAAAGACGAGCACCTTTGGATCTTCCGACGCAAGCACCGAGTCGTCGCCATGCGTAGCATACAGCCCACCCAAGCCATTTTCAAACCTTGATTCGATCATAACTCGATATCGCGTGTGCTGAGCTGTAGTTAGGAGAAAGATGGACGATAAGAAACTCGGATCCTGAAACCTGTAAATATGATTTTAACATTCTCAAACGGACATCCTGGGTTCGGTGCAGACACAGATCATCGGAATTAGACAATCCAGGTCAGGTCCCCTCCTCCCCCCCCCCCCCCGCCGCGCCAAGAGATGATATAATAATAGACCGAAGTAGGTCCCAACACCCAACATCTGCAATAATACGAAAGCAAACAAATACATAAGTTGAGGTAACGACGGTTACAGGCGTTGCGGACGTAAACTCGTATACATTCAATGGCACATCGACGGTCGCGTGAATTGCATGATGGTGTTTGGTTTGCGGTCAGTATCCATGCGAGGTAAATTCCAGTGCGGGTATCAGCATATGAAGAAAGGGGATGTAGAGACTATGCAAATAAGACGTGCGTGTCGATAAACGGATATCGGTTTGGATGCATGAGGCACGCTAAGCCCTTAATAAGCCGTGGCTGAACGCGAGCGACCGTGCGAGCAGATCTGACCAAGTTGGTAAGACAGCTCCTGTGCGTTCGGCCGTTCTTGCGGAGATCTGTCCCAGCACATGATCATCAGACTCCATAGACCGTCAGAGATGAGGTTCCCTTGCGGTGACGGCCGGAAGGGGCGGGTTGGCTTGTCGCCGGCTACTACCCTCGCGATAACCGCGAATCCGCTCGCAATGTCCGCAAAGGGTGCCCTTCCAGTGTAGGCCTGACCGTACGTCAATACGAGGTGGAGACCGTTACTAGAGCAAGCGGACCTCGAGGCATACGCAACCGAAGGAATATATGTCGCTCTCATGCGAGCGAATGACGCGGTCCCCCATAAGCAGCTCTGGCGCGTTCCACCTAGCAGAGCCTTCGGTGATGGTGATCGTATTCGCCATGCCAGCAGACAGACTGGCTAGCCCGAAGTCCGCCAACACCGCTTCGTCTCGGTCGTTGACGAGGATGTTTACCTAGGGCAATGTGAGATATTCCGCTGCCGCGGTAGCTGATGACGGGTATTTACGCATCGCATGTCACCGTGAACGACCCTTTGTGAATGCAGATATTCCAAGCCCCGAGCCGCATGGAACAGCTGTGGAGGCTTCAGAAAAGCACTCAACAGAAGTCAAAGAACGAGGTTGCTGACCAGCTCGTTGATCTTTCGCGATGAACACCGGTTTGTGCCGATATAGCTGAGAAGGTTGCAGTTTTTCATCCATGGGGAGACCATGCAGAGGCGACTCGGGAACGTGTCCTTGTCCACGCCGAGGAAAGGAAGGACGTGCTTATGGCTTAGCGCTTTCCACATGAAGATCTCGCGATGAAAGCGCTGACGAGAGAAAAAGGACGTAAGTCTTGTATAACATTGCAAGAGTCAAACACCGTGCACGAGCCTTGTCTAGTGCGTTAGAGTCGTGCCCTGGGAGAAACTCTCTGAAGCGTTTCAGCGCTACCTCTTGTCCTCGATGTGAAGCTTTGAAAATATCTGCAAAACCCCCTGCGTATATTGGGTCCGGGGACACGGACGTCACGTCGTGAACGAGAAGGCTTGACGGGATCCAGTTGAACCTGTGTGTCAGTCTCACGAGGAGCTTGATGAGCGTCTTGCGCAGAAGTAAGTCTTTGTCCTTCAGAGCAACCAGGGTTATGAGTTCCTAAAACAGAGTCAGGCAAGGTTCCCCATTGACGAAGTGGGAGATGGCACCAACGTCTTGTATGTCGTCGATGAGGGTCACAGCATTTCGACGCGAGATGGTCAGAGACATCTTGAATGTGTCCGATTCGGACAAGTTGGTCGTTACGCCTCTGTTCGATAAACTTGTGGTGTGTGCCTCGACAACATATTGAATACCTGTTCGGGTCGGGAAGTGTTCCTCTAATGTCCAAGATTCCTCGCTCGTGATCCCTGAATTCGAGGCGTTGAGTGATATCGTGCACGGGTCCTTGATATCTTCGGCTGCTCACCAATGGTAAGCGTTTCGTCGTCTTCGTCTTCAGAATCCAGCGCGACATCGTATCGATTCCCTTCGCCCACACCAGTCATAGCCAATGTTTTGAATATGGAATCTCCTCGTGCACTTCTCGGGTTATGAGGTAGGCTATTCGAAGAGAAGCGTTCGATAGGCATACTCCCGCTGCCACTGCTGACACCGATTGCCTCGGGATGAGGAGCGCTTCCAGTGAGCCAGGAGACATCACTTCCTCGTCGTCTGGTAGGCATGATTCGTTATGGAGTCCGGAGGGCGATCACGGCGCAGCTTTTGGGAGGGGATAACGGGCTTCAAGTGGTGACACTTTGGCAAATATTATCTATGATCGACCCGCGGCACATTGCGGTGCGTACCCACGTCGAAACACATTTACGGCGCCAAGCTGTTGAGCGGGAACATCGTCAAGTCACACGAATCACTGCCGTCGCGGTTCAGATAACGGTCATCGTATCGTTGCATGAGCTCACGATGAGCTCCCAGCTGCTTCAGCAAGAGGACAGTAAGTTGTCAACGAGATTGTTTGCCGTAGAGAATGTCGCTGAGGAAGAGGTTCCTGCGTAACGGCAGTGCAATGGCTGTGATCAGTGAGCGCCCGGGAAGCTAGTCAGCAAGGGTCAATGCGTTTCGGGCTGTGCGTTCAGTGAAGCCGGAAATTTGTCGTCCACGCCTTTCTTCACGCCCATCCTTATCACCCCTCAACATGCAGTCTACGGTCGGGGGGCCATGAATCTGTGGCGAAGACCGACGACCACGGCTCCGCTTTCGCTAGCAGCTCTACGCTTCGGCCATGATGGTCTTCTAGATAGTGGTGCGAGCTACACCCTTGACTCTTCCAGTAGCACTACGCTTGTCATCCTGATACTGCCCAATATATGCATGTGTGGATCTCACCTTACACTACATTCAAGGTCTTCAAGGTCTTCCCAGATTGTTTGCGTCTCGCAAGACTGCCTGCATAGATCGAGCGCCTATCGCCTCTTCCAACATGTCTGGTTTACCTGTTCTCCCTCCCTCCTTGGCGCCTGCAATCGCGCATATCGGCCGATCTAGCCGTGCTAATCATTAATCGTGACATCCTTTCGCGCACTGCCGTCCGACCGGAACTTACGTCTAAGGGACTGCTGCGGGCTCCCGTAGGCGGACTCGAGTCACTGCGATTGTGTCGCGAGGGATTGAAACCAGTCTCCCTTCTACAGACGTCCACCACCAGCCATACACCCACCTTTTTACCGAACGAGCATGTCGTTACCGAACGAGATCGAGAAGAAACAGATCGTGGTGTTGGGAGCAGGTGCGCTGGATTGCGCTCCTCGATTGAATCGTATATGCTCACTGCTCATCTCCGTAGGTGTCGTCGGACTGACCACGGCGCTGAAGATACAGGAGAAGGGCGAATACAATGTGACAATTGTCGCCGAGACGCTCCCATCCGATCCGAAGACGATCCGTTACACAAGCCACTGGGCGGTGCGCATACACTCGACATTCCTATATACCGCCCCTAACCTACGTTTGTATTACTAGGGCGCTCACCATGTCAGTCTGGCTGGCGACGACAAACGTCAACAAAGTATGCACGCGTTGACGTGTAGCCAGCGAGTGCATCGCCGCTGACCGGTCCACAGAGATGGACCAGGAAACGTTCCGCATCATGTGGGACCTCTCCGCCCCAGGCGGCGCAGCCGAGAACTGCTTCCTACGCCTTCCCCAGACCGAGTTCTACGTCGACGAGGCGCCGCGCCCACACTACCTCGAAATCATGCCCGACGTACGTGCGCACTTCGCCACTCTCTCGTGTCATCCGCCTCGCGCCATGGTAAACCTCCCATCACGTACTTACACGACGTGCGCTCGCAGTTCGAGTACGTCGAGAAAGACGCCATCCCGGCACCGTGCAAGACAGGCATCCAGTTCACGACGCTGACGATCGACACGCCCGTCTACCTCAACTGGCTCCTCGCCCGCTTCCTCGCCGCCGGCGGGACGATCGTCAAGGCCGCCGTGCAGCACATCTCGCAAGTCATCAGCGGCGGCGCGCACGTCTTCACCGGCCCCAGCAAACGCATCAGTGCGTAACCTCTCTTCCTGTCCTTCGTGTTTCTAGGGGCCTTGGTGTTGATGGCAGTGTTCCTACTCTTTAGGTCCGCCAGAGGCCGTGGTGGTATGTGCGGGTCTCGGCGCTAGGTTCTTGGGCGGCGTGGAGGACCGGGATGTATACCCGATCCGGGGACAGACCGTCCTCCTCCGTGCGCCCTGGGTCAAGTTTGGGCGCACGATCAGCAGCGTCGACGGCCTTTGGACGTATATAATCCCCCGCAAAGGCGGCGACGTGCGTCACATCCCCTCCTCTATATGCCACGATTATCCCTGAACTTCTCCTCTCATAGGTTATCGTAGGTGGTATCAAGACCCCGGACGACTGGTACCCGACCCCACGCCCAGACATCACGCTCGACATCCTCCAGCGCTCGCTCAAGCTCGCACCCGAGCTGGTTCCGCCCTCCGTCCGCGCGCATAAGCAAGATCCCGAGCTTACGGTCGACGACCTGCTCCCGCTCGTAATCGAAGAAGGATGCGGCCTGCGGCCCGCGCGCAAGGGCGGAATCAGGCTCGAGACCGAATGGGTCGCGCGCGGGGACGAAAAGGTGCCGGTCGTGTTCAACTACGGGTGTGCCCAACTTTTTCTCTTCCATCGCGTGGCCTCCAACGGATTTATCTAGACACGGCGGATATGGCTTCCAGTCGTCGTGGGGCTCAGCATCGATGGCGGTAGAGTTGCTCGAGAACGCGCTGGCGAAGAAGGCCTCGAACTCGGACGTTACCGTCGGACTCAGCGCAGAGAAGGGTTCTGACACGAAAAGAGAGGAAGCAGTGCGCTCCTGGTGATCGAGCTCCTCCGCGAGGAGAACAGCCATTGAGCGGAGGAATGTCAGCGCATTGAATAATATACATATAATGTACCGGAGGTCTCTTGCATATTCATACAGGTCGCGATCAAACTGGTATATCGAAGTGCTATCAATCGAGGAAAGCACTGTATGCTGAGAGCCACGCTTCCTTGCCCTTATCCTCGATCACATCCTGTTGGGATTATGAGAAGTACGTTTGAGCGACCGTTAAGTAGGCAAACTCACTCCATGGCAGGGTATGATCCTAGTGAAACCCCAGCCAGCGACCGTCTTCGCATCCCGTTTCATCGCCCTGCAGGAAATTATGAGCTCTTCATATATCATTCTGAATTAGGATATGGTCTTACTCAGTGTCGACTGCCTGTGACGAAGCAAACTTCTTATGCGCCCAGGTCCAGGGCGTCAGCATATCGCCGATCAGTGGTACCTTCCCGGAAGACCCTGATGAGGAGTACTATGCGCACAGCCGGTCAAATTCAGCAAAGAATATCAAGGCGAGAAATTAGGTGTGGCGAACCTGCTCTGTCGGAGGCAGATTGAAGAGTAAATCGGCCTCGATGAGCGATTTCGAGGCGGGGTGGAAGAACGCCACGTCCTTGTTTCTGAACCCCGAGAAGTAACTACAACGGCGGGGTTAAGCTGTGTATACAGCCATTAGGGATGTCGAGCACGAACCAGTGTTGAACCTGCGGAGGATTGGAAACCATGTGAGCGTGGAAGGAAGTCTCTAAGAAGTGGTAATCTTACGTCACTTTCGAACCCATATTGCGTCCCCGCAGGATCCTTTCCCCAAGCTATTGCAAGTGTCAACCGGAGCCTAATAAACTGAAAACTAGGGAATGCCTCCGTACCTCCATCCCACTGCAGATTCTGACTCTTCAGCTTGTCGATGGCCTCCTGCACCGCGATCAGCTTCGCATCGGGGTACGCTTTCTTGAATTCGCCTGCGTTTCATAGAATAGTAGCATTAGACACATGCACTACATATTTAGTGCTGGGGACGTACCAAGGTACAGATGATGAACCGCGTCAGCTCCGATGATCCACCTAGTTGTAACAAGTCGGTGTCAGCGGCGCATATGTGCAGAGCCAGTTCCCGGTTCGTACTTGACTGGGCCTATTTCATCGAGCTTGGACTTCGTCTTCTCGGTCAGGGGCGTCGATGCTAACACCCATACTCCTCCGTCCGAGAGCTTCACGGCGGTCGAGCGACCTCCCACAGGGAACACGCCAAAGCGCGCGAATGGCCTGCAAGAGCATCATCAAGCTACTTTACTGAGAATATGAAGCTAATGCTCACCGAGAGAAGATCCAGACACCGTTTGCGACCTCCCTGATGACAGTGGGATCCTGAGGGCTCATAATGTTGCTCGTGAACTCGGTAAGGTTGATGTTAGTGGAAGGTGTCGTCTGTGCGAAGAGACGACGTTCATGCACGCGTGCGTATGCCGGCTTTTTATGTGCAGCTTCGTGGAGGTGGCGACGTAGGTGTACGTAGTCCCTGGGATTTCAACATCGTGCGGCTTAGTCGACAGGAGGAATGCGCAATAGGTCACCGACGTCATCCGGGGCGTCCGGGGATCCTTGTACCCACGTGCTGAACCATGTAGCTGAGGATCAGAACCATGTTGGTCTTAGACTTCCGGGTCTACTCTCTACGTGTGTATGCAGATACCCAGCTTCGATGCAGCTCAGCGTTTTCGAGCTTGATTATTAGTTGCTGTGTACGTGAGGCAACGCTGCATGCGGTGGCAGCTATCTGTCTTCTCGCATCCGCAAGATCATCTGCTGGCGATCTTGTGGACGAGATCAGCATCCAGATATGTATGGTAGGTAGTCTTCGCAGGCGATATTTTCTTATGGGGTCAGCAGGACATACACACACACTTGGGTGCATATGATAAAGCGCGCGATAGGGTTGGAATAATGTACAGAATATATGTCGAGATACGGGACATGGTCATTGAGCCTTCTTGAGAAGATCCTGCCAGTCGATGGCAAGCTTCGTCAGTGTCTTGCTTCGAGCTATGGATGCATTAGTGCTGATTCCCAACCTCCATGATAAATCGATGCTTACCAAATATATTCAAAACTTCTTTCAGCAAGTCACGCTTTGAGATGCCGAGCACCGTCGGACACCAGGACTCGTCCTTACCTGGCCGCCTGCCGGATGGCTTAGTGCGAAGCACTGGACAAATCATTGTACAACACCTACCAGTAGACCGGCCCGAAAAGCTCTTTCACCAATTCCTCGGCTTTGCTCCTAAACCCCTCGTTGGCTATTCGCTGGGCGTACACCAACAGCACCTGCTTGTACTCTGACGGACTGTCCAGGACTTTGGCTGCAGACATCTTGCTTTCCAAATGCCCCAGCGTCAAGGCAGCATTCCACCACTCAGGTCGAGGCTTCTCGCCTGCCGCGGCCGCACCATTGTACGCGTCATTGTCGAGCACACCGGCTCCGCGCACGAGCTCGTTTATGCTCTGTTCGACCGCGGCGACGACGCCGTGTCCCCGAGCGCCCGTATTGTTGCCGCGCCCGCGGCCCTGCCACACGTCGGAGCCTTCCATCCACCATTTGTCGCTGAGCTTGATCCAGGTGGACAGACCAGGGTCGTAGGAATGCGCAACGCCGGTGGATAACTGGATGACGGGAGAGCCATTGGCGCGAACGGAGGCGGAGAGGACTTCGCATGCAGATGGCTGGAGGATCGGAAGAATCGATACCGGACTGTATACTGCGCGTTGTTGCTTCACATTCCTAGATGGTCGTGAGATCAAGCGAAGCGAACGAAACAAACATAACATACCACGCGTACAGCTGCCCTGACGACGTCAATGCCATCAGGGAATCCTCACAAGCATCGAGGTAGGAGCACGGCGATCCTAAGCTCAGCGTGGGCATTAACCTGTTGCGAATCACAATCAACATCCGTCTCCTACTCTATAAGCATGAAACTCCGCCTACCTGCGCCCTGTGTGGGAATAGATATTCACCGACCCATCCACCAAAGCCACCGCGCAGAAATGGCTCGATGCGGCCAAGATCGAAACAGGGGAAGGCAAGTAGTCCAACCACTGCGTTTGCTTTCCCTGTGCGAACAGCACCTCATTCGCACCTGCAGTCGAAAGATGAGATCGGACGATACGGGCAACTGGACTCTGGAATGCAGCTCACCACCATTCTCCGGATTCCTCCCTTCAAGCACCGCATCGGTCGACCCGCCTCCGGACACCTTCACCGCCACGCTCAGGAACGTCAGTAGCGGTGGTGTGGGTAAGTTGACGCCTAGCCCGGACCCTCCAGCGACCACGACGCTTCCCTGTGCTGGCTGCGCCATACCAAGCTGTTTGGGTCTCACAGCCTCCCGAGGCCGGTCTCCTCCCAGCGTCCTCGGCTTCGAGGTCTTTCCTCCCACGCCCAAACCTTCGTCGGGTTCTATAGCGCGCTTGCCTTTCTCATCCAGCGCGGCTATGCTCGCGTATCCCCTTCCGTCGACGTCCATGTCCGCTCCACCCATGCTCGAATCGAACAAGTCGCTCGACGTCGTCCGGAACGGGTCGGTGTGTAGAGATTCCTGGCGAGCGCGGCCCGCCCGCGAAAAGGTGCTCGCCAGAGGCGTACTCGTCCCCGACGCCTCGCCGAATCCAAAGGAATCACTCTCGGAGATGACTGATCCATTGGGGGCTAAGGGTTGTGGAGGCGGAGCCTGAGATACCGGAGCGCTCGAAATCGATGCGGAGGGCATCCCTGCGGAAGGCACGCTGGAGGGGTTGAACGGCCCGCTCTGCCGCCTCCTGAAGTCCTTGGGTTTCCTCTTCGCCACTAACTTGTTGATCGTCTCCGGTTGGGGTGTGATTACTCTCGGTGCCGCGGGCTGGCTGGTTTTGGTAGGTGACGGTCCGGTTTTGTTCTTCTCCCCGACGCTGTACCGCGAGGATGGATGCGGGACGTGCACGTATCCCTCTGGTAGCGGTGGAGGCACGAACTTGAATTTAGTGAGGTACTGCTCCTGGGCATCGAAGGGTGCGATACCCTCAAGCTCTTCCGGATCGAAGTCGAATGCAGCCAGTGTGCCGTCCGAGGAGACGGCGTACAGCGTGAGGCCATCCCAAGACCTTCGTGAGATGCAGAATGAGCGTCGTAGATTTGTCGCTGATTGAAAGAGTTTCACCAAGCAAGGTCCATGATCTGCCTCTCGAAAACCTCCTTTGCAACAATGATCGGTCTTGCTGACTTGGTCTGCCATACCGACACCGCTCTATCGTCCGCGCCCAGAGCAACAACGGAACATATGTTCGACGTCGATACTTCACCCGCCGGGTTCCGCAAAAAGACGTGAGGGTTATATGCCTATCATACAGAGGCATCAGTATATGCAATGAATATCCAAACAGCAATGACGAGCGGCGTACAGCAACTTCGACGGTATTTTCGTGCCCGACGAGACTGATGTCCGAGGTCCACACTGTGCGAGCAATCACAGCCGCGATAAACACGAAGCCTTTTGCGTTCACGGCGTTTGATGCGGTTATATGCGCGCCGTCTGGTGACCAACTATGACGTCGTCAGCCTCGAGCTACGAGAGATACAACGAGGACGACGAAGCACTGGATTCTGAGCCCCCGTCTAGACCATTCGGGGATTGGGCTCACCTGAGTCGTCTGAAGAAAGTCGAACCGGGAGAATGCTCGAACGGCTTCCTTATCTCAGCCTCCAGCTGCCAGTCGGTGGTGCGCCATATCTTGACGGTGCGATCGTCGGATTGGGTCGCGAGAAACTCGCCAACGGGATCCCAGCATACACCTTTGACGAATCCTTGATGCAGGTCGAGCTTACGAAGGCGCTCTGGAATTGAAACGAGTGAGCCTTCAGTACGAGGATCCAACAAACCAAGCGGAGAGCAGTTACAACCACTAACCGAGGGTGAAACCGCACCATATCATCACCAAGGAGTCAAGGCCGACAGAAGCCAGGTATCGGTCGCCCGGTGACCAAGCAACGTCCGTAACGTCTATATTTTCCGTTTCAGAATGAGCCCCAGGATGTATGCATGAAGTTGACTGACCACTCTCATGCCCCGGCAATCGTTTGAGAGGTTTCCAGCCTTCCACATTCACCTCGTTCGAGCCCCACACCATCCCTTTCGCACTCCTTAACACTCTTTCAGCCACGCAGCCACTAGAGGCAACCAAATAACAACGTACGGATCAAGGTCCCAAACGACGACCGTCGCATCGTCGCTCCCGCTCGCCAACCACCTCCCTGAATGTGCCCATCGCACGGTCAACACCGGTCCCACATGCATCGCCAACGTGCTCAACACCTTCGGGATCCTCCCCTTCTGCTCGCTCGCCTCGTTCAAGATCGGTTTCGTGCTCCATATCCGGACTTTGGAGTCCAACCCGCCTGTGGCGATACGCGAGTTGTCCGGGTGGACATGCACCGAGAAGATGGAGAGGCGCTTCGAGCTCTGGTCGTCGCGAGATGAAGTATCTATTCGCGTAACCGGGGTTATGGGGTGGTCGGACGAGTTGCACGAGCAAATGCGGACCTCTATGTGCGACCCAGGCTGGTTTCGTGAAACGCATAGCACGACAGGTAGCCTCAAGCACTTCGAGTAGACCAAAATATGCGTTGCCGCCGTCGAAGTAAATCGAAACTCAGGGATCACTAGTCACTAGTCACTGCAGACACTGAGTTGAAGCCAGGGTTCTCTGTGCAGACAGTACCACACTAATGCCGTTTCGCTATACAAAGCAGTGACAGCCGCTGAAAGATCAGTCCCAAGGATTTGTTTGATGTGATTGACGACGAAGGTCGCTCAGTGGCCGCGCCGAGGCTGGCAGGGCTGGTGACGGTCTGTGCGTAAGAACAATTCATTCCCTTGAGAAACCAAAACCGACGCGTTTCCGGGTCACCGCGTTTCACTTGCCCCTCCCCCCTTGCCCTCTCCCCCCCACCTATTGCCCAATCTTAACCCTTGGTCCCGTCAAAATTATGTCTGATAACGAGGCGCCAACTAAAAAATCTGGATATCGTTTGGAGTACGCGTCGTCGGCGCGCGCGAAGTGCAAAGGTAAGAACATGCTGTATCGCGTTGATGTCGTTGGCTCATGCTGTCGAACGCGTCTTGCAGGTCCCAAACCGTGCACCGGTACGTGCTTGTAGTGTAGCATTTGCTCTATAGAAGATACTTATTGATGCGATACGTGTTGCATAGGTACAAGCATTGGCAAGGGCGAGCTGCGCTGCGGTACGCTTATCGACTTCCAGGGTAACACCACCTTGTACGTCCATCGTCCTTCTGTACCTGAATCATCTAACTGATCTCGCGCATCAGCCAATGGCGTCACTGGGGCTGCGTCACGCCTACCATCATTAAAAACATGAAGAAATCCTTCGAGGATCCCGCGGACCTCGACGGGTTCGAAGATTTGAAGGAGGAGGACCAAGAGAAGGTCAAGCAAGCCTACGAAGACGGGCGCGTCGCTCCCGAGGACGTGCCTGAATCGGCGAGGAAGCCCGAAGCCGACGACGATGACGAGGAGAAACCCAAGAAGAAGCGAGCTCCAAGGAAGAAGAAGGATGCTGACGATGATGATGAGGAGCCCAAGCCTAAGAAGGCGAGGGCTCCGAGGAAGAAGAAGGCGGACGCTGAGGAGGATGGTGAGGAGGAGGAGAAACCCAAGAGGAAGAGGGCACTGCCCAAGAAGAAGGCTAAGGTCCATCTCTTCAGAGTTCTTACAGATGCACGAAGCTGATGGCTGTGTTAGGCTGATGATGAGGATGATGAGGAAGAGGAAGAAAAGCCGAAGAAGAAACGGGCACCACCAAAGAAAGCTGCCGAGAAAAAGGCGCCTGCCAAAAAGCGTATCACGAAGAAAAAGGTAGTGCACATATCCCCATGTATCCAATCGTATCGTCGAGTGCTTGCTTATGCCATCTCCCACGTAGGCTGAATCCGAAGATGAAGATGTTGAGGACTTCGGTGCAGAGTTGGACGCCGCTGACGATGCTGAGCCCGAGCCCGAGGCGGAGGAGACACCTGATGAAGAGGCCTCTGGGAGCAAGAAACGCAAGGTTCGTGTCTCTAATTAACACGCATGCAAGCCTTCGGTGGTCATGCGAGGTCAATGTGGAATGGAGGTTGACTGCTGCGTCCAGCGTCCGACGTCCAAGAAGACCGAGCCGAAGCGTTCGAGGTCGAAGAAGAGCAAGGAGGTTGTCTCAGAAGACGACGGCGACGAGTAAGCGACTACGTGTGTCCATCGCTTGCGACCGCGTGCATCGTCTCGGAACCATGCGCTCCGCTATCGACAGGATTCGTGGCAAGAGAAACACAACGGACCATGGAACATGAGGTCGGCTGCTCTGTGAATAATTTGGACCCTTCATCATGCAGTCCTTGCATTTCGTTTTTGTCGCCTTGTCCTCGGTCAAAAATGTACACATGGAACGAGTGGGGCATACTTGTCATAATATATGCCATTGTGATGCTATGCGTCCTCGATCGGTTGGCAAGGCCTCAAATTAGGATCAGACGACGGTAAACCGGGGCTTCGCAAGATTTTCATGCTTACATCACGATGGCCCTACGTCCACCTCGGAATGGGTTCAGAGGAAGATACGAGATAAGACACGAAGTACGTAGTTCCCTTAAGACGATCATAGCTCACTCCAGCATAAGTCAGCTAAAACCACTTTACACCGTTGCAGTCGTGCGTGCTGGAGCTGCACGGTTGTCCCAAGATATCCCAAGGGAAAGCTTCCCCTCGCGCTTCTTGGAAGGACTCTCCACCCAGTGATCCATACCTATCAATTCCTCATACCGGCGCAATACCTGTAATACCTCGTTCACGTTGAGGAATCTGTTGCTGAGGAGTACCTGCGGCCCAAGTTCCGGGTGGCACCGTCAGTGATTACGGCCAATGCAAGGCAGAGCAATGGTGAGACATACAAATAACCATGCGCGCAAAGCTCGCCACCCAGCGGCCATGTATATCATTTCCCAATATCGTTCCACGAAGGTCTTTGCCCCCTTAGTGTAGTCCTTCACGAACTCATTCCTAACCTCCAGTCGTCAGCACAAAGTCAGACGCGAGCAGCAGTCCAAATGAGTATCACGCAGGAGCGGACCTGTTCAGCATGATCCATCTTCCCCATAGCGCTGAAATGACCTTGTCCTCGTCGCGCCCATCGTCCATTTCGAAGATCTCCTCCTCTCTGTCGACTACCTGCCATATCAGAGGACCGAACTCGTCGAGCCTCAGGCAGGTGATGAGGTCGTATATCTTTTCTCCACCTGGGCGCGTAGAGAATTCGACCTTGCGATACCGCGCTTTCAGCTCCGGGTCAGCTTCGTAATGCTCCGTCGGCGGGAACGGCAAGTATGGCCGCTGTGCAGCAGGCCCCAGGGGATCATGCTCGGGAGGATCGGGTAGGTACACGGGCAGAGATGCCGGTCGCTTGTTTGACGGCGTCTTCCGTTGCGGTGTCGGATCGGGAGCGGCCCGAACGCTTGACATGGCATGTACCACGGGTTCCCTTGTCCCCCAGTCGAACTTCCACTTAGGGGCGGCGAGAGGCGACAGAGAGCGAGCTATCTGCGTTGCTGCGGCCTGGATTTGAGTTGTACCTGTAGCAGCTATGGTGCTATTCTGTGCGTCGATGGATAATTCGAGCCTGATATTGCGGTCAGTGGCGGTCAAAAGCCCCGAATGGAACTCGCCTTCGCTCTTCATCTTCGCTTGTGGTGGGCGCATCGGAATCATCATCTGATATCTCTATCGCCTTGCTGGGGGCTGAACCGGCGTTGGGGTATACTCGCTCGTTGCCTGAGTCCGAGATTTCTATGATATCGTGGACTTGCGAACCGCCAGTCTTGACTGGCTCTATATCCGAGATTTCGATGTGTTCGTCTTGGACGCCCTCGATTGCGCCGTCACTGTCCCTCGTGTCGTCATTTGTCCTCTCACTGCTCTCTCCCGATGGAAGGTAAACATCGATGTGCCACTTGTACGGCTAGAACACCAAGCACATAAGCCCATCTTCCGCAGCTGATGCATGAAGGCAATTGGCGTACGGTAGGTTTTGTAGCTTGGATTCTGACGTCCAAGTGAGTTCGCTCCAGGTGCAGGGAGAGTATATCCCTGGTTGGGAACGATCCGTGCAGGTCGCACAGAGGGCAGCACCATGCGTCTAGTGTCTTGCGCAGAGTAGGCGGCCTTGGGAATGCGCTTGCGTCCTCGAGCTGGAACGTGACCGTATAATCGATCGTAGGATCTTCTTGCCCACTGCGGCTGGTTTCTTGCGATGAGAGATTGCGGACGCGGCACTCAGTTAGGAACTCTTTGCGTATATTGCGTACCATGAACAAGGGTGGGCGGCGTGCCCTCACCGTGGCTTGGCGGAGGATGTTTCGCTCAATAGCGGCTTCCAGCATTTCAAAAGCTTCCGGATCTTTGCGGTCGAGAACATGAGCGTTATTAGACTGCATGGGAGGAGCAGGGGCAGGAGCAGGAGCAGGCGGCCGAGGATCGGCGGCGCGTTTGACGGTCTTGACGCCGTAGCCATCCTGCATTTTCCTGGCTGCTTTATTCAACGGGCGGTCCTGATGAGTCGGCTCCCTGCGCAACAAGCTTTACCATTACCTGAAGCGGAAGAGCCAATACTTAGACTCACGCATCCGAAGAATCAGAAGTCTCATCCGAAGATTCGTCACCTTCGTCCGCCTCCTCCGAGGCCGATTCTTCTGGGGACGAGCCTCCGCTGCTGGGTAAATCCAAGGATGCGCCGTGCGCAGCTGTTTTAGGCCGCATCGGGACCATCATAGTCGGTCTGCGCGGCGATTGATCCGTGGCTTTACGGGAAACCGACCTCTTCGATGTCAAAGGTGAGGGAAGCGCGGCCGTTTTCGACGCGGCCTTGGAGATGGAACTGGTGTTGGCATGGTGCCGCTTGCGTGCAGACCTGGGGGGAACTGTCTCGTCCTGAATCGCTATCAAGGACCTCAACGGAAGGGATTTCGAGATTTGAGCGCCGGAAGGACGCCGGATGGCTAGGCTAGATCGGGCGAACGGTTCACGGCTTGATTTCGAAAGGACGGTGTCTAGCGTATGTGTGAGAAAAGCATCGTAGACTTCATGTCCTTAAGGAACGAGCGTACTTGCACGTTTGGATGGTAGAGATTTCGTTGGCTAGACGAGACTCACCGTCATCACAAAGCCAGACGATCCAGGAATGTTTGACAGTGTGCTTACGGTACTGTACGCCTGACGATCTCGAGAAAACATGGCAGAGGGCGCTTTATCTGGGAGATCCACATCTTCTAAACCTTGAGCTTTCTTCCGGGCGGCTTTTCTAGGCCTACTGCTTGATGGTACTATGGACTTGTTGAACATCGCCAGAGTACACCGATGCCCAAGTTCGAGTGTTCAGCGCTCAGGCCGTAAGGAGATGCTACGATATCGATATCGCGACAAGCCACACATGTTCACTCGCACCGAATTTACGTCAACTAAGCGATACGCACGACCGCACGAAGACAAATGTACGGGTGAGCAGTGCCTGTAAACAGGCAGGACGCAGTGATCATATTAACCTGGGAATCCGTCAAGTACGTTCCAACAATATCAAGCGCTCCGTGGACCGTAACCAGTGCTCCGAGCAGTATAATACGGCGATGCCGACGAAAGCAGGTCGACGTGCGACGGAAGTCAGTCGGTTGAGGTCACACTACATCACTCCCGCCTTGTCACGGACGCGACTTCCCTGCGTACACATTCACCAGTCGTCGAACAGACTTCCAGTGCCAGCTTAACACAACTGCGCTGCTAATCACTAATATGAATGTCAAATATTGCCTTGATCTGCAAGAACTACGATGAGCTCGGCCCCAGTCGTCCCCCAAAGTTATCAGGATTCATTCACGAAGGCTAGCGAAGGCAACGAACTTCCATGGATAAGCTTCGTGTCGACGACACCATACACGAACGGTACGTGCTCTTAAGACCCATGTAACACGCTGATAGCGTGTCGTTCGCATGCTGAATCTGAAGACGAGGGACCGAGATGGACGCTGCTGGTGTCGCTGAGGACGAGTTGGAGCTTGCAGAAGATGCCCTTGAGGCCTGAGTCCTTGCTTAGTACACGGGGCGGATTGTGGACAGGTGGGATGATTGCTCTGCACCGCAGCTCCCGGCGCGGTAGCGGTCGAAGGAACACGAGGAGGTCGTCTTATGGAGCGACGATGACAAGTTAACAAGTGATGGTGTCCCCTGCTCCCGGTCGCGCACGGCGTCTCGGGACTATGATGATATAGCTTCTATCGACGACGTTCGTCCGAGAAGAACAGACCGTCGACTGCTATGTGGGTACTGTATCCCAGACCCTCGACTGTGCTGTGCTCGCTCTCCGATTCTGGCCCTCTGTCCTTGGTCGAATGCACAAGCAAGATGGCTGGTACATACCCGCCATGATAAGATATGCCCTGCCTTCACGCTTCTGCGATCGGCTAGCAAGACCTCATGCTTGGATCAGGCGACGTCAATCCAGGGTATCACGACAGTAAGCGTGTTCGAGTCTGGGTCAATAAAGTACCATCTCTAACCATGTATCGCAGGGAACACACCGATAGGAGATCCATCCGCCGATACCTAGTCCCGCGTGATGAGCGGTATATGCGAATCACAGATCAACCCATGGTGTCCTCCTTGTGACGAACATGTCATATCACAAGGTTGTGTTCATCGTCGCCCGCCCGCACCGTGATGGCTCCCATGAGTCTGCAATGCACGTTGACTTCAAGGTCAGCACAGGGAAAGATACGAAATTCAGCAGTCAAGAACAGGGTTCTGTGAAGGCGTGAGCACAGTTCAGGGTATATCGATGTGGCCGTGCACTTTGTAACAACTTCGGCGTTCTCAGCGGGCGGACAGTCATCTTCGCAGGAGGCTGGATGAAATCTTGACTCTGCTCGTAGGAAGGTGTCAAGTCAATCCATCGCGCTGACATCCTCTTTTCGTATCCGGTGATATCGGTTGTTCGAGCCCGAGATATCCATGGCAGTCGACCTGCGGAGTGGCGATCGTGGCGTGCACACTGTGAGTGCGGTGCCCTCACTTGTGATTTCTCCTTACATACAGTAATCCTCATCAAGCAGGTCATTTCAGCTCTCCAAATCCATAACTATGTTCATTCGATAGTGATTGTTATGGTGCCTTCCTTGCTCCCGAGTATCTCTAAGCTGCGGGTGCGAAATGTCTCAGAATTTCGTCGATAGCAATTCCGACGGTGAATGCTCCTAAATTATCGCCGAAGGTGGTTGTCCTCATGACAGTCCGAATATGGCCACGCTGACAAGGATCCCTGCTTCTAGCCCTTGACCCTCGTCCGGTCAAACAACGGCCGTGACATGGGTACTTCGCCCCCTTCAGTCGTAGGCGGCCATCAGTCCCGAAAATAGCACGCGACCCGTAGGGTTGCTCTATCAATAACCCGCCAAAGAAAAACGGCCATGTTCATTGCAAAACCTGATTGACAGGTGAGAAAGCGGCGGCGTATCTGGTACGGACACGACCTGAATGCGCTCTGACCATTATCTTCGTTGACAGCCTGAGATCTGCAACAAAGGTTCATCATCCGTGCGGTATTGCTACAGCGCAACACATCGCCGGAGGGCCGAACGCGGTGGCGAACCTCCAGATGCAAGGTATAAAATGCATGAGAGTACGCTTGGAGCTTGCAGGGCTGCGACAATATTCCTCCGACTTCACATCTAAATTCCGAAGCTCGGTTGACATGAAGTTCGCATCACCCCAAACCGTCGCCCTCGGGCTCATCGCGTCAATCATTACGATGACGAGCGCTCTGCCCATGGCCGAGGTCGCTCGCCATGTCGAGCTCGACGACCGCGCGTCGATCTGCCTCATCTGCAAGACGAACAATTTCTCTTGCACAATCAGCGTTGGGTTCACGATTTCGATCTGCATCGAAGACGTAAGCCTGCTACTCATTTATTCTCGCGGATCCCATCAGGGTAATAACACGTATCGTACTTGCAGCGTGCTGCTCCAACCCCGGCTATCCGTGCCGAAGATAATCCCTGGGTAGAGGCATACATTACGGCCGCCTGAGCGTGCTACATTGGAGGAAACTACGGGAAGAGGGGTGCTTATTCGTGTGAAGCGGGTAGCATGTAATGAACTGCATCATTTCCTGACGACGATTGCGACTGTATGGCTGAGTCTTGTTGCCAATGACATTCATAAATCTGCTAAAAAGCTGGCTTTTGCCGTCATGGCCATCATTTGGCAAAAATCGTCGGTCCCATTGAACGCTCTGTCCATACAGGAATGGTGATCATGATCTGATGTTGGTGGTTTTCCTTACAGTGGATAACTCTGGACGTGACAATTGTCGGACAGCCGGCCCGGGGATGCCGAGTCAAAAAGGCATTCGTGGCTCCAGACACATCCCCTGACATAAACGAAGGTGCAGCCGATTATCATGAGCCCGACGCCCACCGAATATCTGGCATCATCTTATTCTCCTCGTCTCGTGTCGGTCTCCTGCTCTCTTCCCCCATCATGCTCTCCGCCGGTGCTCTCATATGGGTGTCCCTCAGACCCCTCATCCGACTGTACGCCAAGAGCTTAGCGTCGAGAGAGTTCCCGCTGAACGTGACGTATTGCAGGGTACTAGCCACGTCCTTCGGGTTCGCGATAACGAAGGCGGATATCTTCCCTGCGGTTGCAGCGAGGGGAGCGGGTCAGATTATGCTTGTAAGCGCCTTGCCAGTAGCCTCGGAGTGACGCTCACACCTCATTAGAACATCGCTTTGCCATGCCTGATGTTCTCCAAAATCGTCCCGGCTTTCACGACTCAGAATATCTCTGCCCTTGGTACGCTGCGTTCGGTCCTCGCATTATTCAACACACCTAACCAAGCATGTGCAGGTCCTCTTGTCCTGGTTGCAATCATTTACCAGGCCTTGGGTGTCGCCTTCGCCTGGGCCATCAAACAGGTCTTCTGGGTCCCGCATCGCTTCCGATACGGCATTCTCGTTGCGGGCGGCTTCGGTAACACTGGCGATATCCGTGAGCAGACGGTGTCCTGCGCGATTCCACGCGCCCTGCCCTGGCCCATCCAACTCACGCCCGTGATTTTGTCTGCTCTGATCCGTTGACCTTGTGATGTTCTCCCAAACCTCGAAGCGACGGCCGTCGTCATGAGTATAGCAGGCAACGCGCCTTTCAACGGCACAGAGGATCAGAATCTCGCAGTCGCATACATCGCTGCATTCATCCTCGTTTTCTTCGTAAGATGTCCCTTCTCTGTGGAACGATCTTTTATTTCAAATGCGTTATCAGGTGCTTCTCTTTCCCGCGGGAGGCCACCGATTGATAGCATGGGACTACATTGGACCAGACGTCGAGGACGAGGAAGTCCGGGAAGCCACTAGGATCAATCGCAGAAATCTTTTCTTGGCCCCGCTCTCCTCCCTACGGAAGCGGGTTCGATCGACGCCGGAGAAAACCCCTGAGCCAGCGACAGACGACGATGTGGAGAAAGGCGTCCAACAGCCCCAGTCGACATCGCAGAAACTGGCGTCAGGCGCGGCTCCAGAGTGCCCGCCCTTTCATCGCTCTGCCACCAGCAAACACGTCTCGTTCTTCGACGACGAACCGGACGTCGAGGGCACCACCGTGTTCGCTCGTTCACCCGCCACGACGCTGCACGCAACATCCCGTGTCACCTCCCCCGCACCCACGGTTACCCATATTGACGGAGACGACCAACCGGGCCCCAGCGGGAACTCCACTAAATCGCCTCCAGTACCCGCCTTATCGACTCCGGCCCCGCCTCCACCACCCCGACGCCGACACCCCCTCCTAAGGCACTCCCAAACCTTCCTCAAATCCCTCCTCACGCCCTCCTCCATCTCCATCATCCTCGCCTTCATCATCGCGCTCGTTAACCCGCTCAAAGCGCTCTTCGTCACCGTCGACGGCTGGACGGGCACGCGCATCCCCAATGCGCCCGACGGCCAGCCGCCGCTCGCCTTCGTCATGGACACGGCCAGCTTCGTCGGCGCCGCCAGCGTGCCCCTCGGCCTCACCTGCCTCGGCTCTGCCCTGGCGCGACTGAAGATCCCGAGTGGGGAGTGGAAAAACCTGCCGCTGGGGGCCATCAGCAGCCTCGCCGTCGCGCGGATGATCCTCATCCCCGTCATTGGAGTGATCATGTGTCAAGGGTTGGCCACGGCCGGAGTCATCGATCCAAACGACAAGGTGTTGCGATTCGTGTGCATGTAAGGGTCCAGAAGCTTCGTATATTCGAATGACGCGGAACTAAGCTGCTCGTCGTCTAGATTCTTGGCCTGCTTGCCGACGGCGACAACTCAAGTATGACTGTGCATTGGTGGTGTCATAACCCGCTGATACCGGTTTCTCATTCAGGTGTTCCTCACGCAAGTCTACAGCGGAACCGGCGACGCCAGCGTCCTCTCAGGTTCGTCCAAAGTGGAATATCCCGTTCGTGAAGCTCACCCACCGGCGGTTCATCAGCATTCCTCATACCGCAATACGCGATCATGGTGGTATCGATGACCGCCCTAACGGCGTACACGATCACCTTGATCTTCTAAAACATTGGTCCCGCCTGCACCATTTTTGCAAACCAACGACTTATCCACAGGTCACCACTAGATGCGCCTGTTTACGTATAGACACCGCCCTGACGATAGACGGCCTCTTCACGATTCCATCAATTCCTTTATTTGACGTCTGACCTTGCTACGTTCCTACATGAGAGCGTACGTTTACTTGCGTCTCCTTTCTATACAATGCCGATGTTGCTGTTGTACACGCAATGCGAGAGTTCCTGCCTCATCCGCTAGTGATACAAGATGGTCGTAAAGGTGTTCGTAAGGAGATTTCGTCCACTGGAACCTTAGGCGGCCAGATCGAGCTTGAACAGGCAATACAGCAGCGTCGGAACATTGCACACCGGGCACTTGGACGCGCTGACGATGCTTTCCGTGATACAGCTGTAGACGACAAGTGGGCGGTCAGAAGCGATGGCGCATAGTATGAGGGGAGGGCGACGGACGAGTTGCAGAATATGTGCCCGCAGAATGTTGCGGTAGGTTCCTTGCACGGGTCGACCAGACAGAGCCTGCAGTGCAGTTTGGAGGAGCCGACCTGTGGCTCCGGCTCGCGGGTGGAGGATGGCGGGGACGGGGCGTCTAGGACTGCAGACTGAGGCCCTGCTACGGATTGCGGTGAGTGGACAGGTCACGGTAGAAACATCTGGTGAACACAGTTACCTGCCAACCCGTTCTCGCGTACGACGTGCTCTACGAGCGCCTCCACGATGGGCGAGTCCGCGGTGGGTAGGTTCTGGAGTGACTCGGCGGGCGAGCGCAGGAGCTGAGAGTATTTGCGGCTCGGAACGTCCATCTTCGTGCTCAGTGCGGAGGAGGGCAGGGGCGAGTCCGCGCGCTGCAGCTGCTGTCTTATAGCGAGCAGTGGCTTGAGTGGCCGCGTCGGTGGCAGGTGTTTGGACGGTGGCGGGGTGGGCACGTGCGGGAACGTCTCCGCTTGGAGCTCGCTGAGCCCCTGGGCGCCGTTCGTGAACTTCTCGAGGAGGGCGTTGAACGAAAGGAGGGTGGAGGACTCGATGTCGGTCGCGGTCGCGGCGTAGTCGCGCGGGGGAGGCTCGTGCAGGAGGCTGAGATCCTCTTCTTCCTCGTGGTGAAGTGGCGCGGTGGCGTCGTCAGCGAGATCATCGAGCGAGTACGGCGGGCTCGCCGGGAGAGCGATGGTTTGCGGGTCGCCGCTCCTTGCGTCGTGGATCGCATCCTCGGCCTCTTCGTCCAATGGCGTCGGAAGCGAGGCCGAGAGATTGTGGCGCATCAGCTTGTAGTAGTCCCAAGGAGGCAGGAAGGACGAGGCCGAATGCGGCGGGCAGGAAGACGTGGGCGAGTCGATTGGCCTGATGCTGGGTAGCCGTTCGAGCTCGGGGCTTTCGATGACAGGGCTTCGGCGAGGAGGCAGCAACTCGTATGTGGCGGCAGCTTTGAAAGTCTGCATCACATCTTCCGGAGAAGGCGCACTACATGGGGGAGATGAGCCGGTATAGAAGGGTGCTGTCGCAGAGAATCTTACCTGATTTGCACAGTAGGGGCGGCGGTAACCTGATCCGTAGCCGAGACAGGGGTGAAGTACGCAGATGAAGCGGCGGTCTGGTCGGAGGTGTGGACGCTCAGCAGTGGAGGCGACGCGGGAGGTGAAACAGGTAATGCGGTTCGCAATGCAACGTGGGGGATTGCAGAAGCGACTTCAGGCTGGCAGTTTTGAGCAACCAGTGCAGATGAGCCATTAGGCTGCCTGTTAGGCTTCCGTCGCCTTACTGGAGATCCGTCCGTGGACGAGCGATCTTCATGAATACGAACTCGTGGAACGTCTGCACGAGCCTCGCGAGCGCCTCTCGCATGTGTAGCCTGAGTAGGGGGCACGCTCTGCACGACCGCGTTACCACTCTGTGAAACTGTCAAGGCACTGTGCACAATGATGTCGCGCATATGCTCACAAGTTCGTCGTGATAATACATCGGTTCTGCGGTGATCCACGAATGGTAACTATTCCTATGCTTTTTGACGAATATCATCAGCACGAGGGATCCTAGAGTGTTTGGCTATAATCACCTTCTCGTATTCCGCTTCATTCTCGAATCCTTTAGGGAACGTACAGTATGCACACAAGGGATGTTTCGGGGAGGTACGATAGTGTTCCTCGAGGCTGTCTATCGATACCATCTCTCGACAGCTTGTGCATGACCGGCGCGAGTGGCGTTCCCTTAGGTGCTAAAACATGCGGTGTTGATAATCCTGTACTCCACAGAGCAAAGCATCGCAAACGCAAAGCTCACCTTGTCCCTCACTTGCACCGACTTGAAGCCTTTCTGGCAAATGTCGCAGTTCGGGTGTTGGTCTGACACATAGTAGTGCTGAGCGAGGGCGTTCAACGTCCTGAATTTCTTGTCGCAGCAGCGATGGAGGAATGGGTGCTTAGTATCGCAGTGCTACAGCGTCGAAAACCTCAGTTCCACCTTTCCGTTTATCGTTATGGTCGTGTGACTCACGGAGAGGTATCCCTGGTAGTCCGCGAAGAAGCGATCGCAGTCGCTGCAGTACGGGTGCCCAGGCGAGTCCCGGACATGCTGCTGGAGCGCCTCCTTGGTGTCAAAACGTCGCTCACGACAGTGCTGGCAAGATAACATGGTAGCGGTAGCGGTGGTGGTTCATTCGAGAGTGGATGTTATTGGCCAATCGCGGGGAGGGGCCCTCTTTCATATAATGCATCCTGCGCCTCGTGTTTTCCGTGTGGACGTGGGTGGAAATGTCGAAGCAGGGCTTTCATTACATTCCAGAACTCCATACGATGTTGGATGGGATAGGTGATGGAAAGAGCATGGAGGGCTCATATTTCGAGCGGAACAGGTTACAGAGGTCGGTCCATTTACACATCCTTTCTCCCAAGAGCAGATGCCACCGCTAGGGAGAGCGAGACCCACACGGTGAGTGGGACTTGTAGGGCGTCAGTCACGTGCATCATTGACTCGAGCGGCAGTCTTGCCCGCTTGCCGCGAAGACGGGGGTTCTTGCCTGCTTTCATGACAGCTACTCTCAGAACGATAGACGAATGCGACTGCGCTCGGTTCGTCCGCCGTTGGATGCCGAGCTCCAACAGAAGCGGACACGAGGTCCAAGAAGTGGGGGTCCCGTTCTCTGCGTGGACCCACACCGCTGTTATACCACGACCACCCCTCCGTGTCGCTCACCATGATATACTCCCCTGACGGCTGATCCTACGACAACATTCACGCCCTCCGTGTAATACTGAGAGTTAGAGGTATGTCTGTCATTGAATTGCAATACATAGTGGAGGCTCACCCCGTCGTCAGGGTCCCTCGGCTACGTCTACCTGTGGAGTCAATATATTCGATTTATCGCCTATTCCGATGCCAGCGACGGCGAACTACTCGTGAAATGCGTGAAAGGGGGCGAAAATGTGTGTAGAGAGACCGAATACGCCCTCGATGACGTTGTCCAAGCACGACACAGTATAAAGGAGAGAGACGGTGTGTCGAAGTGAGTACATCAAACATGGATCCTAACAATAATCCCGACTTCCCTGTTCTTAGTATCACTCGCGCTGAGCAACTCTGGCAATATTGGGCGATGCGCAGGGCGCACTGGCCTCGGACTGTCCCTAGTGCACCTGTCGGTCTGCCCGGTCTGCCAGGTGTGTACCCTGCGCCTCTCGGACCGCCCGGCTTCGCTCCCCCAATGCACCCGCCCTATCCCGCTCCTCAGATTGCTCCGACACATCAGGTTGCTCCGGTCCCTCAAGTCACGCCGGTCCCTCAGGCCCTGCCGGCCCCTCAGGTTGCGCCTGCGCCCCAGATCGCAGTGGCTCCTCGCGTTGCGGCGGCGCCCCAGGTTGCAGCGGCACCCCAGGTTGCGGGCATTCCCCAGCCGCCGCCAGGTTTGGATGCTCGTGGTAAGTCTGTATTCCGTTTCTTTACTCGAATCCACTGACAACCGAACAAAGATGAACCCTCAACCTTGTTCGTGTCGGTGCCCCGGAGATCTGGTGCCGGCAGCTCTGCAGTCCGCCATACGATCACAATTCCTGTAGACCTCGATTGGCTGGACTTCTACGACCGAATGTGCGCACAGATGGATTTGCATCCGTCGACCGCGGAGCTTGGATACAAGTTTCATAATGAGCGTGCACGCGATCCCAAACATCGTCTCCAAGACGAGAATGATTATCGCGAGGCTATGGAGACCGGCATCGGCCTTATGCGACGGGCCCGGTCCCGTCGTGTCATCATGGAGGTGTATAACCTGGTACGTGTGTATTCTTATTCGGCGTGTACTATGTCTGAGCCTTGTTCCCAGCGCTCCGACACACCACCGCCTTCTGGCAATCCGAAGAAGCGAAAGAGCTCCGGACCGGACGAGAACACGGACGAGCTGTGTGCGACCATCAGCTTTGTGGACGAGCTTCGCCAGCTGAAGGAGCATACCTTCTGTGCTCGTCACAACCAGCACTGCTACATTGACCCTGTCAACGCCAACCACCACCACCTCGATATTGCAAAGCTAACCTTCTGGGGCAAAATGATAGTGCGTTCGTGATACTCTATGTCTGACGCTACGCTCATCACCAGCTAATCCAGTGTTTCAGAGAAGCTACCGTTCGCACTCCTCCGAACGGTCTCAACTTCGACCATGTGTCCAAGCGTCCCCGTCGCAGTGGAGCTCAGTATCTCCATCCGAACATGCCGGAGATCCATGTCCACGTCAATGGCCTACCATCGCAGCCGCTTGGTCAACACGAGGCAAATCTGCCAGCGTCGAGCTCTCGTGTGCTTGAAGCCCTGGACAGATTATCGCTGGAGGACATGGCCGGGCCGTCAGACACTGACACTGACAACTGGACTGAGATTGAAGACGAAGAGATTGCTTGAAGTTCTGTAGTACATTATGATCTGGTTGTACTGTCTTTGCATAGATTGCAATCACAGCGACCTCCACTCCCTCGCTCGTTATAGTTGAAGATGTATTAATCATGCTAAGTAACCAGAATGTCTATACCATCCCTCCGCATTTTCGGGAGTACCTACGTCAAACACTGCCTCCCACAGTATCTGGTATGGATTACAGCGCATGCCACCGTTGAGTTCAGGCCGCACACGATCCGTGTTCCTGCGTAGCCAGGCCTTCATAGCGGAGAACATTTCCTCTATCGGATTGTAGTCTGGAGAGTAAGGGGGCAAAAACTCAATGCACATACCACTGGTCACTTCGTGTTATACCCTGGCTCTGAAATACTGAGGATACAGCTTACCGAGACTCAACAAGCTCGACAAGAGCATCAGACTTGTGAATGGATGCATTATCCATCACAAGGACAGATTTCGGATTCGGAAAAGGCTCCATTTCGTCAAGAAGAGCTTCGATAAACTCGTTGAAAAGTGCGGCTGTATATGCCCGCTCCTGGATGTCAAGATGGAGAATCCCCCCTAACCACAGCGCCGGCAATATGGAATATCGCTGCCCACGGATGAAGTGATCATGCCTCCGTGCCCGCGAACCCAATTGTGCCCATGCTGTCTGCCTCTCAGGTGTATGCCGGTTGAATGCTGACTCGTCAACAAATACCAGCTGCTCGGCATTATAATTTTCTGCCATATGCAGTTGGTACATTGTACGACGGTCTTCATTCCGCTCTAAGGCCATGCGCGAGACCTGTAAAGGTATTCAGAAGGTTATACCGTATCAAAATGGGAACTTCTCATCCATACATGTTTACGCGTCCATCCTTTATGTTTCAAGGTCCGAGAGATTGTATTAATCGAGACTGCAACATGACATAGCTCGAGAAGCTCTTGCTGAAGCTCCTCGAGGTAGAGGTCTGGTCTGCGCTCAAGACAGCCCTCGAGAAACTGACGAATTCAATTGGGCCTGTGAGCACTGGCAATGGGATAATGGGCTCAACTGAGACATACAGCACAGTGAACTCCAGTCAATATACGAGGTCTTCCTGCCTGAAATGGCTTGTTCTCCACCCTTCCCGTACGGTAGGCTAGCGACCACACTCTATTGACTGTTCTCTGGCTGCATTCCACTATCCGAGCGGTAGTCTTTGAGTCATGCCCTCGGACGATCAGGCTGACGATGAGCTCTTTCAGCTCTGCTGGTATGTGCCGACGATTGCCTGGCATGAGTAAGGGTAGATGCGGAAGAGTTGGATGTGCTACACGCCCAGCTCTCCGGTGGGGTAGCAAACGGACCCCTCCTTCCACATATGGCAGGAGTGGGGCTCGGCGGACTGCGGCAGACTGCGGCTCACGAACCGAACACGATCACATTCGTCTATCGTTCTGAGAGTAGCTGGAATCATCTCCCTCAGGACGATCACCGATATCGCTCAATCTCTGCTCTGCGAAGGCATCGGCAGTCGATGCGTGTGTCGATGCGGAGGCCCAGTGATGCTACGGCAGGGTTGGTACCGATGCTGGGGATTCGAGTTCGTTGATTGGGGAACGAGGATCTTGGTCTACTTGAACTCGATGTTGGGGCAATTCGTTTGCGAGCCCGGATACCCAGACCTCCTGCAACTACGGCTCGCGTCGCGCACTCGACGCTCCTTCCGATCACTACGTGGACCATCCTCCACCTGTGCTGAGTAAAACAGATACGGCTTGATAAGCTACATCGCAGCAGTCAAGACTTACTCATCCCGGCAGCGATCGTTGCTTGGATGGCGCCTTCCTCGCTAAACGATTGTGTGAAGTGAAATCCCGTCTAGTTTAAAATGCGTCGAGAAGGAGCGAATGCATGAACTGCCCCCGCATCCTATCTTCAGACACCCATTCATACATCTCTACATTCAAATGCCCACCGAAACGAAGAAGCTCATATTGGCACGTCTTCCTGCAGATCATCACGCGTTACCTCGTGTACTCCATATTCACATTCGCACTTCTAGGTGACCGGGATCTCCGGTTTCGTTGGTGGACACATAGTGCACCAGCTGGTCCAGCACGGTTATCGCGTGCGAGGGTAAGTGACCACGTTTTGTGCAGTGGTATGTCTAGAGATTGAAAAGCAACCTTCCTCAGAACCGTGCGAACGCCGAAGTTCGAGTCGTACCGGAAGAACCTTGCCTTCTACGGCGACGACGTTGAGGTTATCGCCGTCGACGACCTCGTCCGATACGACTGGACGGACGCCCTCAAAGGTACGCTCGCTCCCCCTTCTACGAAAATCGGGTCTGAACCATGTCTTCCTCCGCAGGCGTTGATGGCGTTATACACAACGCGGCGCCCCTTCCGGGTGCGATGGCGCCTGAGGCTGCACTCGAGGTACGTGGCCAGCATGGCGTCCTTCTGCACGCTGCCCGGTTGACCGACGTGCTCTTCGTAGTTCACGGTCAGCAGCACGACGAACATCCTGCACGCTGCGGAGAAAGCGGGAATCAAGAAGTTCGTGATCACGAGCAGTATCATCACTGTGGTCAACCCATTCGGTTACGAAGGCGATTACAAACTGAACGCCAACAGTGAGCCGTCTTTGCTCTTTATATTCCACTCGTATCTGACAGCAGATGTGATCTAGCCGACTGGAACCCGATCACCAAGGAGCAGACGCTGGACCCTCAAACGGTCCCGTTGCTCGTGTATCAGGGGTACAAGAAGCTGGCAGAACAGGCCATTTGGGACTTCGAGGAGAAGCATCCCCACGTTAACATCACCGCCAGTACGTCTCCATCCTCCCCCCGAATACTTCTCCGGCAATTACTCACTCCGTTCTCAGTCCTCCCAGGTTACATCTACGGTCCTTTCGCTCCGGAAGTCAAAGTCGGCCCGACCGAGCTCGGCACGAACAAGGTGCTGTACGACTCCTTGAAGCCTGATGGCCTCTTCGGGTACGAGATGTACGTCGACGTTCGCGATACCGCCCGCGCGCTCGTACTCGGTCTCGAAGCCCCGGCATCGATCAAGCGCAAGCGCGTGCTCGTGCTCGCCGAGCCCGAGCTCGACTGGAAGCAGGTCGTGCCCTACCTGATCGAGCAGCGCCCGGAGCTGAAGGATCGTCTCCCCGACCCTGCAAAGGCGAACCCGACCGCGCCCTTCCGGGTCACGGACAACAACCTGCAGGATTACCTGCACTTTGGCGAGTATCTCCCGTGGCAGAAGACGATCCTCGATACCGTGGATAACCTGTTGGCGCTCGAGAAAGAGTGGGCCGCTGCTAAGCAGTGATCCGCTTACACATGCATGCACGCACGGACGACGTGGTTCTCTCGATTAAACCATCTCTTCTACTGCGCATCCACCCCTAATGCAACGCGTGTTGCATTAGGGTTATATCTCCCTCAAATCAGCTCAAAATTGCCCGAAACTTTGGTAGTAGGTAGCTAGGATGCTATAAATATGCCATCCAGCGTCTCAAATCCTTTGGTTGAGCCTCAACTCTGCCAGCGAGATGCCGGCGAGACGAAGTGAGGACCAGCCAAAGTTGCGAGATCATCACACGCGGTCACGAATTGCCGAGGTGCCGAACTAGGACAGGCTGCAGTGCAACGCAGGGCTCAAGCGGCTCAGGCCAATCAACGCAGGCGGAGTTTGAACTCATCCGTCACGCCAACACCGTCCTTTGTGTTGAACATCCTCCTACAGCAGCATTATTACAGCAATCGCAAATCGGGATGGCGTAGCAGATAGGATACAAGGTATTGAGTACTACTCAATATTCCCATGAATTTTGCGTTACCGATCCGGCGAAGCGAGGCCGTGGAGTACTCGCGACATGTTGCATCAACTCACTCGAGCAGTCCTAATGTTTTTCTGTAGCCCGAACCAAGCCTCGTTCCTACTTCATCTCTTACATACAGTATTTATAGATGTTTGAGAGTATATATATTTCTTAGACGAACAGCTGAGCAGGAAAGGAACGGGAGAGGAATTTGTGTCGATGTTGCATTAGGGGTGGATGCACAGTATACAAATCTGTCCGAACAACCTATTTATCGTACAAAAATACTACCATTATCTAGACGGCGGCGATAGATCTCCAGCAAATACCAAGAAACGAATTCACCGATGCTACGCCCCAAACGACAACGGATCCGCACCAGCGTCGAAATGTCCGAAAGAACTGCTCTTACTCTCACTACCACGGGTGGGGGAGAGGGGTATCTGCGGGCTGGGGTACGCGTCAAGCTCGTCCTCTTCGTCCAGGCTCATAGCGGTGATTGAGCGTGCGCCGGGGCTGAACGCGAGCGACTGGCTGACGGTCATCCGAGAGGCCGGGGGTCCGACTTCCAGCGCTTTCCGTAGGTGGATAAGCATTCGGCCGGTCACGATGCCCGTCACGGCATGGAACGGTCTAACGTCCGGATCAGCGTCCGACATGAAGCGAATTTGGCGGCGCCACCTACCCGTAGCTGAACCACGGTATATGGGTGACGTGCTATGGAAAAAGCGAATCTGAGAAGTTCATTTCCTGGAGCGGGAAAGCGAGTGGATACGCACGGTAACCATGAGATTATTGAAGACGAGTATACACGCAATTCTGAACCGCAACAGATCAGCAAGGAGGCGAGACATGTGAGAAAGAACTTATTAAGACCGTACCCGAAAAAGTACAACAGATTATCTTGTAACATTTGGTGATACAACGTCTTGCTTGTATGTGTGCGCTTCGCTGCTCGTGAGCGGAGAGCCTGCATGAATTTGGCCAACGTCTTGTATATGGCGAATCCAAACAAGATGCCTTCGTAAAGAGTCGCTGAAGAACGTGTTTGATAAGAAAGGGCCGGGGCTGGCAGCTGGAACGAAATGGCTTACCTGGCACCCACTGTGCCCACTCAATCCCAGTATGTACGACTGGACAACCGGGAATCGGCAGCGCTTTCGCCGTCTTGATCACGGCCGCTCGTCCAAGGGCGTTATGTATCAGAATGTAGAGGAAGCCCGCCACGGATGCCGCGAACAGGACCGCGTTCACGACTGCGACCTGAATAAGGGTTTGATTTGTGAGATACGCGCCGCAATTGAAGAGGAAGAGGAGTATCTGACCCGCTTCGAACATCGGAAGATGGCGAACACCCGGAGTTGCATGACGATTTCGATCGCCCATAAGCTAAGGGCTCCAACTACGCGAATCATCGCGTCCATCACGACGCAGCTACATTTCGTAGGATGTTTCAGTGGTGTTCTGTAGGAGGGATACGATGACCAGGAAGTAAACGACGTACGTGTTCAAACTGGGCCGGAACGTCGCGAAAGAGTGGATTTGTGCTATGTCAAACAGTGCCAGCGCGATCGTGTAGTAGCGGACCTAAGATGGGACGAAATGATCACCAGGTAAACGTCCCTGACACCAGTTGCTCCGCGTTGGCTCATACCCAGAAAAATATGAATTTGCCGAAGTTCCATTTTCCGGGCTACAGGAGGCACCGAGTCAGAACGCTCGTACGGCGATCCATGGTATGCTGCTGAGACTTGCCCACATGTACCGGACTTCATCTTTCAACGTGATAACTGTAGGATTCCGTCGGTGAGTGGGATACCCAAACGACGGGCATACAAGTGAGACCAACCGTAGTCGTGCAGTACCCAAGTCAGAGAGACGACTTGATAACATGATAGGGTCGGTAAGCCCCGGAAAAGGCAGCATGTCAAATATACTCACCGCTAACGTAGAGCGGGATGCGCGCAGCCTCCTTCAGGGCGATGACCTCTTCTTCGAGAGGATCGGCCATTTGTAAGGAGCAGAGAGAGGTCCCGCGTTATAGCGAAAGGGGGTACATGTCGCCGTCGGGCACTGAAATCCAAGCTTAAGCTAGTGCAAGGGGGTGGCGAAGTCAGAAGCACACCGTATCAGACCCATCACGTCGATCACCATGGGCACACGGTGGATGGCGCGTGATATGTTGGCTAGAGCCTTCGTCCGCAACGGTCGCAGAACGTCGATGTCGATGCGATATGTTGATAGGGTCAGCGAAGTTCACGATGACAAGCGAGACCATCACGCCTTCAACTTCCATGCGACTCACTGCAAAGAGAGGGTAGCCAAAACCAATGACGTAATTTGGCTTATCTTGTGCTTTTAGTGGGATCTGATCCTTAGGTTGTTGCACCAACGCTCGTGCTTTGATTTTGCCCTGCTGGACCCTGGCCCTCCCTAGTATGGTATGGTATGGTATGGAATTACCCGGCACATTCCCACCATGAAGGAGAAAAGCCACCTCTTTCACGCCATTGATGAGAACCTACTCGAGCACAACACCATACAGGCTTCGTCTCAGTGGTAATCAAACCTTGTACGTTCGTCGACGATAAAGTGGGAAGGCGATAAGCTCGTGAACCCGCCTCCATTAAGGGCAAGAAGACAATCGCCCTCTTCACAGATATCGTTCAACCCGCATGCGAATGGAGCCCCTTTCCCCAACATTCCTGTTCGGAGCTGCGGTCTCTCAGGTGAGATCTACGGTCTGCGTCCCCCTGGCTACGGCGACAAAATCGGCCGGCACGACCTCGGTACGAACGCAACGTTATACGTCAGGCTGAAACCCGTCGCACGCCTCGAATGAGATGGGACTTGTCGAATATCTCGCCAAGGAGCGACAGAAGCTGAGAGGACGCCTCCCCGATCACGAGCTCCGCGCAGCCGGTTTTGCCTTGGTAAAAGACAATGCTGGATACAGTGGACGCGCCGTTACAGCTTGAGAAGGGCGATAATCTTTTGCTTGTCCTCTAAGATGATAATCGTGGAATACTGAGGATCATATGGAACGGGAGTTCAGCCTTGTGCTTTTTCTGGAGTCCCAAACCACCATTTGCGAATCTTGCCGAAGCCCTCCTCGAAATCCACGCGACCCGCGAAAGGCTTATTTGCTAAGAGCAGCGGAAACCAGTACTGATCATCTTCCCATAGCTTGTCCCAAGGGATAGTAGGATATGCATGGGTTGTAGAGCTTGCGTCCGCAAGGAGGTAGCTTGTGCTCGTCTGTCCTAATGAAGCTTCGTACTCTTGCCTACTTGGCATTGCAAACCAGGCCGGGCGCATCTCCTCCGTCCTACGAGCGGTAAGATAGGATTGTGAGATCAGCATTGTATCTTTGTCGACGAAAGAAAACGAGTAAACTCCGTTGCTAATGCTCACTCGGACGGGGTGCCGTCGTAAGACGAGGCACGGTAGTAGTCGACGTGCAAGGCGACATCTGCGCCCTTGCTCACAAAATAGATCGTGGCGCAGTGTTCGAGGTTAGAGGTGATACACGCTTCTTCCTGTCGTAGCAGCAGGGTCAAATACCCGAAGTTTGAAGTTGAGGCGTGCCGACCTGCAGCTCGCGTACCGCCGCTTGCCAAGGCTGTTCTCCCGGGTCTACCTTACCGCCGAACCCGTTCCATCTGAAGAGAGTCATGTTCAGTTGAGCGGGATCAGCACCAGGGATCGAGATCCAAGTACGACTCACTTTCCGACCCCAAACCCACGCTTTTTCAAGCCAAGCAGTATCTACTGAGCCATCTAGGAAGCACATCACAACTAACATATCAGGACGTACTCACCCGATCTTTTTGTACAATGAAGGCTACATTTACGATAAGTGTAAGCCCCTAAGTTAATTCTTGAAACCGCGTACCATTCGTATATGGTTTGGTCGACACGAAGCCTACCCATGGGAGGTCGGTACCTCCACTGGAAACTTCGCGATAGCCCTCGGGAATGCCTGGAATCATCCTAGTTCTAACTTCAGGGAGTAGATTGAGATCCGTGCTGAGTCCTAGCTATGCAGGTGTATTGTGCTCCCAACCTGCCACCCTGCAGGATGTCGCTCGACGAAGATCGCGATTGAGTCATAACGCGTTTGTTATGAGCGTGATAAGTTAGGCGTGATGGAGTGTGACCTCACGCGACACCCGGTCCGTCAACACAACTCTATAACCCACAACGGGATACACCCCGCATACTACATACCTACGCGGTCCTCCCCAACATGATACCCTGGGCCCGGGCCCTGCTGCACAACCGCCGTACTTGCTGTTCCTGTCGACTTGGTACTACGAAGGTGACCCGGAGCTGAGCAAAACTCTCTTCGTGTGCAAATGAACGAGTTGGTTACAGGGAATTTGCATGTAGCTATGAGCCACCTTTTCTGTGATATGATCATCAACGAGCTCGAGAATCTTCTACCAGCAGTCGCGGACCATTGTCGTGTTCCGCCTTCTGTGGTTTCATTCACTACGCACAGAATTTAGCTTACTTCGAGTTTACAGGATGAGTATGCGCATTCATAGACGATGGGTAATCGGAGCTGGGTCCGCAAAAGGCCTCGGGTGGGATGAAAGGAATAAAAAAGGTTATGAAGGTTATCATTCGAGGACGATTCCGACGTCCTATAAGTGATCGGTGACGTGGGGATTCCATCGGACGAGCACCAGACGCACGGCATTTCGGCATCATTCGCTATTCACAAGCAAGGCTGAGAGCAGGAGATCGTCCTCATAGGCGATCGCTACAAAGACTCGAATCAGTGACCTCGAATCAGTGACGACCCGCAGTCCCGATACGAGACAGAATACACGCTGCCATCCCGATGCTGCCTGGCGGGAATCGGTACTGCCGATACCGAGTTGATGTCCAGCCGTCATTCCGCAACTGGATACAGCCAGCTCGCCGACAGGATCCGGATCATTTGACTGGGGTACAGGCGAACAGGGGGGGTGTCGTGTCTCAGGAAGCGCAATCCCTTCAAGGCTTGCCAGTCGCTGTGGTCCTCCTCCCAGGGAATGCGTCGACGGCCGTTCACCGGTCGCTTACGCACGTTCGCCAAGTACTCGCCTTAGTGCCCTTGAATCATTTTGGAGTCTGTCCCAGTTTTTCTGGTTCCCTTGTCTAAGCGCTAGAATGACGTTGTCGTATCCTGCGGCCCTTGTGCCCCGCTGCCAAGGGCCAGGGACGGATTCCTGGCCGTGCTGCATGTAGGCCTCTATTCGGGTCATCTTCCGAACTAGTGAGCCATCGTTCTGCACTCCCCTTTTCGAACATTCGACAGCCCGGACGCTATCAAAGATCAAGACAAATAATATTCACCTGGAAAGGCATCAACATATCCGCAACGCCGTGGGTTTCTGGATAATGTGCCCGATGTCATCGTTGATGGCGCAAGTCCATGCTGTGAATAAAGTAAAGACGGGATCTCTGCCGTGATCCGGGCAGGTTGTCAGAACGGAGAACACAAGCAAGGAACATTGGTTGTACGAATGCAACAGAAAGATTTGTATCCTGCTTGGGTGCGTGGAGATGACGACACGGACGATAGAATACTTAGCGCAAGTTCACTAGTGGAACCGAAGGATGCCTTGAGACGTTTCCTAGCTGGCAAGGAGAAAGTACGCGAAGTCGGCGACAGCGGTCGTTGTCGACGAGGAAGTAGCGCAGTATCCACGGAGTTTTCCACGCCTGGATAAGCACCACAATATGCAATGTCTAACGGCGGCTGTCCTGCCTGATGACGCTGAATTGAGTCAGGGATGGGATTAAGCAGCACGAACTTCACTCACCGCTTGCCAACCACGTTCATTATTTGCAGGTCGAAGGTTGTCAAGACGCCACGTTAGCGTTCAACTCCTCCAGTGCCTGGATTTTCGATACCAGCGTTGCTCCGTTCTCTTCTGCGGTGCTCGCCTTGGTAGGACCAGGGCCTGTAGGATAGTCTGATGGAGAGAGAACTCGAGTGATGCTGAGGGCGGATGTCTCAGGGGCACATGCAACACGTCCTGCGACAGAAAGGACATCCGCACCAGGTGTTCGCACGATTCTGCTTAAAAGAGCCTGTCTGGAATGCGACGAGTCAATGAATAATATACGCAAATGCCGATGGAGCAGGGATGAATGATACAATGCGGACGTTACTTAGCAATAGATGGAGGGGAGGCGAGCAAAGACGAAAGCGAACATTAGCAGCGCGCAGAAGCCGCCGGTCGTGGTACGATTGGGGTTTTTTTGAAGGGGGGATATGCAATCCGAATCACAGCAGGGTCAAAGCGAAGTGCAAGAATATGAGCGGGGTCCGTATGGTATATGGATAACGACGACCGTCCTGGTCGCAACGTCTCGTCAAGCTTTAAGCGATAGGAATGGCGGTTGGGCGTTCGCGAGGCATCGGTTGTCCGATTGGTATCCTGAGAGTCAGTATCCCGTCCCTCATCTCGGCGGCGACTGTATCCGCCTGCGAACAGTGAGGACGTTCGTCAGGTCGGCCTACATGCATCAATGCTCAATCAAACGACGCACCCTTGTCTCGGGCGGCACAACGATCATCCTCGAGAACGTTCCAAATTTCCTCTCCCGGACAGTCCACCCCAGCGACCCTTCAGGCCACACAGATTGGTTGCGCCCGGCGACGGTGAGCTGCCTGACCCGGGTGTACGGACAGGTCGAGATGACCAGCGACAAGTCCGACTTCTTTATGCCCGGCAATTCCAGCATCGCCGTCATCAGCCCGGCACCCTCATCGAAGTGCACGTCCGTCCGTATAACAAAGCGACGCAAGCTCGAGGCGGCAGCAGCACCGGCGACACCACCTGACCCTCCTGCCTCCACTCCGACCGTGGCTTGAGGACTCGTGGTGGACGTCGCCGATGGCGGCACGCTGCACCGGCACCGTCACCCACGACCAAAACAAAAACCCTCGACCGCGACAGATGCACGCACCTGGCTCTCGCACGTACTTGCTCTTGCTCTTGACGCCCCGTTTGTCCAGGACAAGGAATTGAACGACTTGGGCCAAGATTCCGAAACACTTCCTCGGCCGCGGTTCTCAAACGAAGACTCTGCCTCTGCGGCTGCGACGGCGTCGCCGTCGCGGGCTGGTGGTGGTGCGCATGAACAGCAGCAACCACCCCGCCTGCGCTCTGCGTACTCGTCGCTCTGGTCATCGCTGGCGCGGAGCTCTCAGCTGCAGACTGACGTCTATACGGATGTGAAACATCTCTCGCGCGCGCCCTGCTGGCCGGCCGACGCGATGGCCCGGGCGCACCCGCCGCAGAAGGCCCTGCAGCGCCGGGAGCAGCGCCTATCGGCGCGCTCGCCGGACGCGTATGCGCTGCAACTCGCTGGTCTAAGCCAAGCTCGTCTCTTTCGTCAATAGCGGGGAGCGTGGCGGCTGACGGCTGCGCGGCGTGCTCACTGCTAACCGCGCCGCGATACGAAGCAACAGAAGATGAAGGAGGCAGTTGGGCACGCTCGTGAAGGTGTATGGTGGTTGCAGGTGGTGGATATTGAGGCTCTTGGGCTTGAGGTTGGGCTTGAGGTTGCTGAGCTTGAGGATCCCACGTGAACACTTGATGCGCGCTGCCGGGCGTTGAGGGTGTTGTCGCATACTGGTCACCGTAGGGGTATGGATTCGAATATGACATTTGGGCGGGAATGGTGGGAGGCAAGCTGGATGGCCGTCGTCGCGCACTGCCCGCCTTTTATATTCGGCCGAGAACAATGGTGACTCGTGAGAGGCCCGGTCCCGCCCCGTCGGGAGGCCCAGGCGGTCCAAAAATGGCAAAACCCGACATGAGGCGGTGGCGCGCATTGTGCTCCGCGCTTCGGTTTCTCTCACGCCTGTCGCCGCCGCTCGGCGACGGCGGCAGAACGGCGGCCGTGCCGCGTTTAGCTCTCTGCAAGCACTGCGACGACTGAGGACTCTACAACTCGACATTAGAGTGTATCTGCAGCACGGCAAAGTGGGGCGGAACTTTTACCATGCACTGCAATTTTCGGCGGGGCTCCCCGCGGACATCTTTGACCACTGCGGAGAACTTTTACCACCTGCAGATACACTCTATTCTTCGGATTTGTTTTCGTTAAACGTCAGCTTCAGCGGAAAGCAGACGATGATAGCACGACCTAGCCTCGGGACATCCGACGCCGAGCATAGGGATATGCCAGCTTGCAAACAGGCGACTGGTGGAAGAAAGCTACATGGATCGTGTTAGTATTGGCTGGTGAGCGCACGTCGCAGGTTTTCGACGAGTTACGACCTTGGGGCGATTACCCCGCACTGATCGACAAGAGATCTACTCGCGACTAACGCCGGGTCAACGTTTATCTCAGGGTCGTACCGTGATGACCGGATTGCGGGGTAGACGCGAGCATGGGTGGCATGGGTGTGCGGTTGGCGTGACTCAGCCATAGCGTAGGCGGTGAGAATAGGATGTTTCTCCCCTTTGCTTGTTAACCATGACGTGGAGCGGGAAAGTCTGGCTTATCACTGGTGCGTACTCGCAGCTATGAGAGACACCTACTGATCGCCGTCAAGGTTGCTCACTCGGAAGTTTGGGACGACACATCGTTGAATCTGCGCTAGCCCGCAACGACAAGGTGATCGCTACTGGGCGCAAGCTATCATCCGTTCAGGACCTGCAGTCCGAGTCGTGCAAGGTCTTGCAGCTGGATGTCGACGAACCATTCAGCGCGCTGCAGGAGAAAGCTAAAGAAGCAATCTCGCTCTTTGGACATGTAGATGTTCTCGTGAACAATAGCGGTACATACTATCTCGAGCTCCAACCATGCAGCTATCGCTGATTGAAACGTATGCATAGGTTTTGGCCTTTTCGGAAGCATCGAGGAACTCGGGTGAACGAAACTTGCTGGCAAGGCTGAGCTGACGGGCTAACACGAACGTCAGCGCCGAACGTTTCATGCATCAATTCCAAACCAACTTCTTGGGCGTCATGAACCTCACTAATGCGTTCCTTCCCCACTTCCGATCACGACGAGATGGCACGATCGTGAATATCGGGAGTCGTTCTGTGTGGCGAGACAATGTGCCGGTTAGTATCAGTGCGCCTTACTGGGTGTATTCAGCTGATGTCCTTCCGTCGTAGTTCATGGGTGAGAATTGACCCCGAATCCCGATGACCGTTTACGCTCAAACCAACTCGTCGCAGGACCCTACGTGACCTCCAAAGCAGCTTTGCACGGTGAGTTTCCCTGCCCTTTTCGATGCCCCACCTGTTGATATTCAAGAACAACAAAGGTTTGACAGGAGTCTTGGCCGCAGAGGTGGCGGCTTTCAACGTGCGAGTCTTGCTCGTTCAGCCCGGCGGCCTCCGCACTGGAGCGTGGCGCAACGCGCGGAATCCACTCGACGAGTCCACGACTATCCACGACTACGACGAGCTTCGCGATCACGCGAAGAAGTTTGGGGCATCCCAGGGCGGGACGGCGCTCGGCGACCCGGTCAAGGTCGCGAACGTCATCCTCGACGTTGTCCGGGGAGAGGGCGTTGCGACCGGTCGGCCGTGGCCCGGCACGCTAGTCCTTGGTGAGGACGCGGAGAGGGACGTGCGCGCGAAGTGCGAACAGATGCTAAGCATGCTAGACGAGTGGAAAGACGTCGTGAGGTCTACCCGGGTAGACGAAGGGGCGCCGGAGAAAGTTGACTTTGCCTACAACAACATCAAGTAGATGCCCTCTTCATGTCCCCGAGGTTGACGCGGTGCGGTTCCTTATGATTCAGGATTGTGTTCGAAAGATGTCATGCATTAGGCTCAAGAATATCTCGAGCATCGAGTGCTAAGTGAGGAAGAAATGTTACACGTGTTGTACAAAGGTCGCATTGGGCATACTGCCGACGTAGAAAGAATCACTCGGGGCCGTCCTCCTTACCTTCGCTCTCTTCCGGCAGCGGTCCCACTTCCATGGCAGACCCGATGCTCCCGTGCCGGCTCCGATTGCGCGCCAGACTCCCCGTCTCGGCCACCCTCGCCCCGCGCTCGACGCTCTCCCGCCGGCTTTGACTCCCGCTGCTCATCCCGCCGCGGCTCGCGCTTCGTCGGAGGTTTCCCGACTCCGCCACGCGCCACTCCGCGCTGCCCCGCCGAGGGAGAGGGATCCCTCGCCGCTCCACGGGGGAGGCTGACTGATCTCGCGAGGGCGGGAAGTGGAACGGCGTCTGAGGTGAACCGAAGGATGATGACAGAGACGGAGGCGGGACGGAGGGATAGGATAGGATTCGCGCGGGCGTGGCGGAGTTCGCGCCGGGAGGGGTGTTGTGCAGCGAGGCGGAGGAGGCGGGTGTGGTGAGCACGGTCCCGTTGCTCATCAGAGACGCGGGATTCCCGAGCGACGTGAGCATGGGGGAGGTCACGGGAGAGAAGGGGAATGGAGAAGGAGGATGAGAATCGGAGGAGGACGAGACGGGGGTAGTTGCCTCGGAGAGGGGATTGCTGGGACGATATATCCGCGAGGATGGCCGCGGGATGGGGACGCCGTTTATGGGGACGCCGCCGACAGGTCGGGAGGGAGGTTGAGCTTGTGTTCCGGCAGCCGACATGTTGGAAAATGAGCGGCGGTGGGTGGGCTGTGAGTACGGGTCGTTAGGTGTCGGCAGCCCTATGAGGTTGTCCACGGGCAATCCCAGCTGAGAACCTGTCAGATCATGACGAGCGCGATACGGTGGCGCACGTACCCGTCTTCTGAGATCAATCAACTCCTCCCGGTAGATGTCGTTGAGCCGTACGACGCGGATGTAGTTGCGTTCGGTATCGACCAGCCTGCTCCGTAACTGTTCGTTCTCCCGCTTCATCGCGTCTAGCATGGTCTCCGCCGAGGGTGGCGCAGTCGAGCCGGTCCAGAACGCATTCCATCCTGGTCCTGTCCGCGCGTCCGGGGAGGCGCTGACAGAACCGTTAGCGATCGTTCCGTTTTGTTGTTGCTGCTGTTGCTGTTGAGCGAGTCGAAGGACCGTCAACTCCCGCGAGAGCCTGTTCACATGCGATTCGGACTCGGCCTCGAGCGCGTTCTCGAGCTCAATCTTCTCCTCTCGCAGCTAGGCAAACCGTTTTTTTTTCAGCATACATCCGGGACCGTTCCTTGTAGATGCGGGTGACCTGACCTTCTCCAGCTTGCGCGAGAGGAGGTTGATGATGCGTTCCTCCTCTGCCTCGTATGCATTGATGAGTTCTTCTTCCCGCTTGCTCGAGGTAGACAACCGCCTGATGGGAGGAGAGACCGACATGGAGATTCGGGCAATGGTGAGGGCCAAGCTGAAACCTTTAGAGGAGTATAGGAGACGACACAAGACCAGCTCAGCAGCCAAAGAACTGCGAATCAGAATGAAGTCACAGAAGCCGGCGTGCCCGGAACAACGGGGTCCGCGCCCGACTGCCGCAAAAGCAGCGAGAAATACACTTCATATTTCTTTGCACGAGCATCGAGCACCCATGTTTCCACAACACATTCATCAATAATATCGAATACGAAAAAAACGCATCGCATAGCAATAAGTACAGGAGGCCCGTCCAAGACTCAGAAGTTGTGCCCCTCCACCTTGAACACCGTTCCATAGTGCAAGAAGCTCTCCATGATCTTCAAGATCGGTTCGGGGAGGCTCATACTCATGAGCGTGTACGATATTTTGGCATGGCCGTGCATCTGGCCAAGCTTGAAGAAACACCTCGCGATGAGGGTAGGATACTGCCAGGAAGCACCGTCAGCACAATTCCTTGGTCGTAGACACGATGGTACGCACTGTCATCTCGGTATAGTCCCCGTACTGGTACGCCGCTACCCGGATCGCAGCTTGCAGCGTCCGCGGCAAGTCTCCCTCCTCGGTGTACGTCTCCATCAGCTTCATCCACGGCTTGTACGAGTACCGCGGCGTGTCGAGGCACCTCTGGTACGCCTCCTTCGCCTCTTCCTTATGGTGCAGCCGCAGCCCGAGATCGCCCAAGATCTCCCACTCCATGCCCGTCTTGCGGTATGCTATGTGCTGGGTCTTGAAATGCGCCACTTCGGCGCGGAAGATGGTCCACACCCGGAGATCCTGGATACAAAGTACGCAAAAAAATGAGATGGACGGCAAGAACAAGCCATCAAACGGAGCCGCACCTCATACAGAACCATGAACAAGTTATCCAACCACCGTTCGCAGAGACGCTTGTTGCTGAACGAGAACGCCTCCTGCCCCGCCCCGGGATTCGGCGACTTGAGTGCATCTTCATCGCCTGCCTCGCCTGTGCCCGCCGCAGCCTGCACAGGACGCTCGAGCCCGCCCGCACCGTTCACGCCGTTCGCCTCCGCCTCCGCCTGCGCGTGCGCCTTCGCCTTCTCCTCCGCCTCCTCTTTCTCCTTCTCCTTCTCCCGCTCCCGCTCAAGCCGGTGCGTGCGATCCGACTCGCTCGATATCCTGATCGTCGGGATCCCCGCCTGCAGGTCCTCCACGTCCGCGTCCGACGCGCTGACGGCGGGCGACACCACGCCGCGCGTGCTCGCGTCGTCGTCGTCTCCGTTCGGGTCCGCCTTGCCCTTTCCCTTTCCCTTTCCCTGCGCCGCGTCCGGCGCGAGCGACCCGTCGTGGCCGACGACGGTGCTCTCCGCGTCCGCGTCCTTGCTCGCCGTCCGCGCGTGCTGGTGGATGTCGGACGCGGCCTTCTGCATGCGGTACTCTTCCTCCATGACGAAGACGGCGCTCCTCGTCTTCAGGAGCTCGTCCCAACCTATGTGCGACGCCAGCTTGGTCAGCAAGGTGTAGGCCCGTGCCCAGGTTCCTCGCAGGCCGGGGGCCGGAAGGCGCAGCAACGCTGGGTCGGCCTGAGACCATTGACGAGGTCAATCCTGAGTTCGCACTGCTTAAAACGCTTAAAACGATGGTGTTCTCACCTCGTCGTCCTCCGTTCGCGTCCGATCCGGTAGGATCTCCACAATCGGTCCCTTCGGTGGCAGGTGCACCCGCGCGGGTTGAAGCGGTCTGTGCTGGTCTCGGCCGTTGAAGGTGAACATCGGACACGAGTTGAGCGTGAGCAGCGCCTGCGTTCGCATTGCCATCAGGGACGTGCCTAGGCACAGCGTGTGGAGTGGCGGGACGTACGGATTCGTACTCCCCGAGCTCGATGTAGACCTCCGTTAGCTTTTCCCAGGTGACGAACTCGCTCGGCGCGCAGTTGACCGCCTGCTTGGCGAGTTTTAGCGCCCAATCGTACCGGCCTTTGGAGCGGAGGTAGTCGCATTGCACGTGGAGGAGAGTGTAGGATTGCGGCGTCTGCTTCATCGCGGCGGACATGATCTGAACCGCTTTGACTTCCTCGTCTGGAACGCGGATAGGATCAGCTACGATAGCGGGAGGAGCGAGGAAAAGAAGAGAGAAGACGCACTCATGCCGAGGTAGCTCTTGGCAAGCAGAGACGCGACTTCCGGATCTCGCGCGGATATCTTCTCGAATAGGTTCGCAGCCTGCTGCCACCTGAAGCTGTCCCCGAAGTACTTCATGATGGCCGCCGTCAGATGGTTGGACACGACGGTCGCGACTTGTATCTCCGGGTCGGACCCAACCTGCCAGCCTGCTCTATAGGTAAACATACGGTCCGGAAGAAGACAACAGGGGAAGACCGGAATCACCCTTCATGAACAGATGCTCGGCCGCCTGCAGGAACCGGAGTTCGCCTTCTGGGGTAGTGATGGGGTCGAGCTTGCGCCATGCGTCGATCCAGTAGGTGGGGTCGTCCGAGTAGAGCACCGCGCGCAGGATGGCAGAGACGTAGGTTTCTTGCCATATCTCGGGGGTCGCTTCGTGTCTGGCGCGATAGGATCAGCTGGGTCGTAGCCGGTCGTCGTGCGCGCTCACCTCTCGCCCCGCAGATCAATCACGTATGCGTGGACGCCGCCCGGTATGCGCACGTCGACGCGTACATCCACTCTCGAGAACGCGTTGAAGCAGCTGGACGCAGTCCGGGGTGTGAGCACTGGTGATACGCGAGGGAACGAGCAACCGAAACGGACCAGTACGACCCGTTCTTGATCTTCCACGCGGCGCTCTTGCTGAACCACGCCGAGTTGTCCTCGATGGCGTACGTGAGCGAATTGATGTACGCGGCCAGGGACGCGGACGACGACGCGTCCACGCCGGACACGAAGTGGTACGAGCCCAGATCGCGCTGCCCGCTCCGGCCCGTCGTCTTCACGATGTGGCACAGGTCCGGTGGGCCGAGCTCGCGGAAGTTGGCTGTCGGGTCGGCGAGGGTCAGCGCGCGCTCGCGGTAGACGGCAGAGAGCGGGGGCATATTTACAGAGCACTTCCGTCCGGGCGGTCAGCGCCTCGCCGAGCTCGTTCTGCAAAACGTAATGAGACACGGGTGTGAGCGAATAGAGCGGCTGCCGCGGTAGGACGACGGGTTGGCGCACCTCGAACAGTTCCGGGATGTCCTTGAAGGCGGAGCCCGATTCCGCCATGGTGCGCGTTGGGGTACGTCCGCGCTGAAGCTTGTTGTCGTTCGGGTCGTCTCGGACAGCGTCCAGCTAGCGAGAGAACAGCAGTTCGATGAACTGAATGCGCTGCGCAATGGCCAACTCGACGTGATGTGGCCCGCGTCTAGGGATCACACTGCCACACTCCGGGAAACTCAGGGGGTAGCTTTAGCAGCGTACGCGAATTAATCTAACGTTTGCTCGCGCCCGTTCGATAAGCTCCAAATCTCATTCTCTCGCTGGAAACAGAATCTCTGCGATTCGTCTATGTTCCCTAACGACGACAGCGGCAACCTTTTGCAATTCACTATATCTTCGACAGCAGCGCCTTCAACCTCTCCAGCACCGTCCGCGTCTCCTGCTCGCTTCCGACCGTGATCCGTAGACACGCCAGACAACCCGGTTCGTTCCCCCTGAAACGAACCACTACCCCCTCCTCCTCCGCGAGCACCTTGTACACCCGCTGTGCGCGCGCGTTATCCGGCTCGCCCGTTTCTCTCGACAGAATCGGTACCTACCGCTCGTCAGCCCACTGCATCGCGCAACGAAAAGGGGGGCTTATGCGAACATACCATGACGAAGTTGGCGTCGTTTCCGCCGATGGCGCTGCCCACGCCGAGAGCGCGCAGCTCCGGCGCCGCGAGCGCCTCGAGCAGCACGCCGCGCAGGCGGACGAGCGTCCCGACCTTTTCGCGCATCGCGTCGATCGACGTGGGCGCGAGCGCCGCCTGCGCGAGGAGAGCGGTGGGCGTCCCGATGTTGTACGGCGCCTTGGTGTTGGACAAGATCTGGATCAGCGCGGGCTGCGCGAGCGCGATGCCCAACCTACGCTAGCTTTGTCAGCGTCCGTTTTAAGGTATGCGGGAAGAGGCATAGGCGCACCGGATGGCGGCGAGCCCAAAAGACTTGCTGAGCGTCTGCATCACGCACACGTTCGCGTACTCGGACACGAGCGCCGCCGCGCTCGAGTCCTCGCCCGCAAAGTCGATGTAAGCCTCGTCGACGACGACGATGCCTTTGAACGACTCGTACTCGAGCAAGGCGCGGACGGTGGACAGCGGAATGAGGGTGCCGGTCGGGTTGCCGGGCGAGCAGAGGAAGATGAGTTTGATGCTCGGGTCGGCGTCGATCGCTTTCTTCATCTGTCGCTCGCCCCATCAGCATGCGATCGTGACTGTAAGCAGGTGGAATAAACGCCTCACACCTCCTCGAGCCTAACCGAGAACCGGCCGCGCTCCCCGCCCTCGCCGTGCTCTCCACCAAGCTCTAACGAACACTTGACCACGCCGACGTCGTTCACCTGCGCGCATACCGCGTACATCCCGTATGTCGGCGGCGTGATCAGGATCTTCTCCCCGCCCGGCTTGACGCACACACGCATGAGCAGGTCGATGACCTCGTCCGAGCCGACGCCGAGGAAGATGTATTCCGGGCCCGGGAGACCGCGCAGCGCGGCGATGCGGGACTTGATGAGCGGGTGCGAGGGGTCGGGGTAGCGGTGGAGATCCTGGTCGAGGGAGGCCGAGAGGGAGGGGTCAGAAGGGGAAGAGGAGGCAATGGAGTGCCCAAGCGCGTTCTCGTTTGCGTCGAGGAGGATTCCCTCTTGGTAATCATCCCGGGCGCAGCGGTAGGGATGCAACGCAAGGATGTTCGGCCGGATGACCTTTTCTATGTCGAAGTGCGCGGGTTTTGTGGGTGTGCTCGATGGCGCGAGTCCTAGGATGGCCATGGTAGTGGGTTCAGTGCCTGGAGCAATTTCTCCACAGCACAAGAAACGGTGTAAAGAATGCGTTGATGAGAGTAAGGGAAGGAATGGAGCCTTACAGAGTCTAGAGATAATGGCTAGGGAACGGAGTCACAACGGTCAAGACAAATCGGCTTACTTCTGCGTGAAGGATAGATAATCTACCTACCCACGGATTTCGGCCGATCCGAATGAGGAGTAGTGCAGTCAATCGCAGGTAGTTAACTTTAACCAGAAGGCTGCCCAACAGACGCGGGTAGAGCTGTCCATTGCCTATGACATTGTGCAGTAGAACAGAAGATGATCATCGCAATGGAACTGAACAGTGCGCCGCTTCCAAGTAGTAGATCGTCACATGCATGATAAATGCGTGCGTTGAGGCGGACACAGCATCGCCTGTTTGCATTCTCTTACCAAGTACATACACCATATCGATGCCAGTCATCGTGATTTATTGATGGAGGTAACTCGGAAGTAACAAACGGTGTCCGGAATTGAACCAAACCATACATTTTGAAGATGACCTCGATCAAGTGTTGCACATTGTACGGATGTATTGATACTAAGTGGATTCGTTTACACGGGCACATGGTGTAGTTGGTTTATCACGCTCGCTTAGCACCACTTGGACGTTGCGAGAGGTGTCCGGTTCAATTCCGGATGTGTCCAAATTTTCCTCATTTTCGCGTTTTTCTTCGCCGTTCTGGGGATATCTTGCTTGCTTTCGTGTCTATTGTATGCGAGGTGCTGGGATAATCCACGGAACCTGAGTTCAAGTGTAGCACTGATGATCATCGATTCCTGGAGACACGTAGTATGTACCACGCGACATTCTGAATCACATAGCTCATTTTCGGTTGCGTCTCCTCTCTCTTTCGTTCTCGAATCTCCACTGCTAAAGGGAGACTGAGCATTGACTCATTGGCGCGAAGGGATGTGTATATGCAGTGCGACAGTGCCAGATGTATGACAAATAAAATGTCCAAATCGTAGTCAAGCTCAGCCTTGCAGGTACAAAGCGGTGAGCAAGCCTGGGTATTATACGGGGGTATGATCCAGATTTCGGAGGCTCGAAGGCATCTACGGGATGCTGGTTGCCTTCACTGGCGCCTGCGTATCTGGAGGGTTGATGCAGCCAGCAGTGCCCCTGCGACCAGTCAGTTCAGGGTCAGTATCCGCAGGCATGGAAGATTACGGTATGCATGGTAGAGCCGGACCAGCCTCAACGACGGCTGACCTGAACAAACAGCACGCACGATGTAAGTACAGGCCTAGGGCATACATGACAAATCCAACACGTACATCGCGATGAGGAGAAGAGAGGTCAACGCAAGCTTTAGGTTGGGCTGTGCGTACATGGTGAACGTCGCGGTGAGAGAAGGATATAGGGATATGAGATGTGGATGTCCGAGTATCGGGCCCTGCTCCGCGGACGACACGCTCGTGGATATATAACCGCCTTGGAGGCTGCGCAAGATTTCAGGCCTCTCACCAGATTTCAGCGCGGCCTCTCGGGTCTCGCTTGTGATATGGAAAGAGATCAATTCTATGGCATGTTCGCGGCACACGACGAAGACGGCGGGTCGGTGGGCTGTCCGAGTGACAGGGGTAACCTCGCGGAGACCGTATTGCACGCACACGCTGACGCAGGCTGCACAGGTCAAACATGTCGAAGCAGCGGAAGCATCACGTTCGCGATATGTTGGAGTACAGGTTATCAATCGTCCGCAAACCTGGTGGCCAGCGTCCACAGACCGGAATATCCTTGAGACCATGTTCCACGACTGCATTGCTCGGATATCGGACATCACGGATTCTTTGACAGGTGGAGCTTGGGCGGTGAATTGCGCTGGAAGCCCGACAGACACCGTGGCCGACAATTTCGTGATAGCGAGGCATGGAAACGCATCGCTTGCGTTATTCCTCGGGATGTTGCGGTCCGTAGTCGTGTTACCACGTTCTTCCAGTTCTACTGCCACGGTAGATGCAATAATGATGGTAGTATTCTTCTGTGTTCTGGACGTTTGTTGGGTGTCGTCGTCGAGACACAGACCGATAGACTTTGGCCCCGGAGATGGGAGAAAGCTGACCACGTGCGCATTCAGTGTGCGAAGTCGCGCCCAGGGCGACTGAGACTCTGTCTCGAACGTCGACTTCGCGAATATTACTTCCGAAATATGCAGCCATCTAGGAAGGACGTGTCGAAACCTGACGATGACGACGATGAAGATGATACCGACTATGTTCCTCCCGCTGCTCGGGCAGGTTGGTAGATCCGAATTCAGACACAGCCAACCGAACTTGATATACCAGCCTCGGATGTTTCAGATTCCCCGGACGACTCATCTGACTCTGAGGATGGGAAGCCAGGACCAAGCGTGAAGCGGCGCAAGACGTCCCCAGACTCTGCAGCAGAGCAAGTAGACGCCAAAAGCCAGAAGAAGTGAGGTGCAGCCGATCTCATGTCTTCACCCGCATGCTCCCGTTCTCATCATCAAGTGGTGATGTTGTAGCGCCCGCGATGCCCTGTGGGCCGAGTTTCAGAGCACAGTCGCGAACCCACGTCCAAAAGAGGGACCTCCTGCGAGGAGACGGATAAAGGTAGAGAAAATATATCGCTTTGCGGGAGAAGATGTATGGTGAGCCCACGCCGTTCTTGCCACGCCGCATCGACTTCATCGGCCCGTGTTCTCATACGGTCGTCATAGCGAAGTGGTGGAGGTGGACGAAGACTCGGAGGATGCCAAAAGGTGGCCTCTGTGGCGTCCCTCAGTGGACAACTCCGGTGCTACCACCTCTGAACCGGCATCGAAGGCGGCGATACCCAACCCAGCCCACTCGGAAGTAAACGCAACTTCCGCATCTCCTGCATCAACGCCGACTGTACATTCCGGTTCCGTCGCATCCGCAACCGCATCCACCCCTGCTCCCAACCCCCAGCCAAAACCCCCCGCAAAACGCCTCGGCCCGCGCAAATCCAAGCTATCGTTGAGCTCCCTCCCAGACCCTTCCTCGTCCACATCCAAACCGAAGAAGCTCTCGACGCTCGACAAGTCCGCGATGGACTGGCAAGCGCACCTAGCCTCAGCCGGTGCGGATAAGGACGCCCTCGAGGCGAACCGGCGCGGCGGAGGCTACCTTGACAAAGTTGAGTTCCTTGAGCGCGTCTCGGAACGGCGCGAGGATGCGCTCGAGAAGAGCAAGCCATCCAAGAGGCGGCGGTGATTGTTCGGGGCGGCTGCGTTGCCGGTTCTTGTCGTACGCCATGGCGTCACTGCGGTGTTTGGTCTTGTACACATGCATCGTCGAACTCTCTCTACCTTCTTCTACGGTTCGTCCACTTTAGACCGCTTTGCGACTTCTCCGTTACGTGCACCCGTGCCATCTTTCCGGCATCACCTTCTTCGGATGGTCTCTCACAGGCTCATGGGAACCCGTACTATTGTCAATGCGATTTTTCTCATGGAATGCCCTGCGGCCTGAAGGGGTGCAAGGCGCATAGCCGCGAACTTAGTTACAGTTGTGATTCCGTGTACCAAAGCTCCGGGAGCATGACATCTTGCATTGCGATGTCAGGTCCGTTTTAGCTAGCCAAGTCGTGTATTATGATTAGTATTCGAGAGCACTATAACATCGAACTAAGTGTAAGGAAAGTCCATCGAAACCAACGAATGAAAGACGAGAAAAAGCTCGTCAGCAACAAGTTCAAACAGTAATCTTCCATCCGCCAGCGAGGCCCATGACGTTCTTCGGGTCAACCCTCGCCTTGACCGCCTTCATCTTCGCCAGGTTGCTGCCGTAGATGTCCTCGAGGTCCGAGTCGAAGATGGCGTAGTTACCGTACAGGGGAAGGCCCGCGACGTTCTGGCCCTCGGCCTCGGCGGCGGCCAGCAGACGCTGCTGGCTTTGCTTGATAGCGGAGTGCATCACATCGTCTGCGAGCTCGGAGGACCAGGCGTAGTAGAGGTTGGTGGGGTACATCTTGCGCCGAACGGGGGGCCAGGCGGAGCTGGAGACGCTCGCCTTGGTGAAGGCGGATTCAAGGAAGGGTTCGAGGTCGTAGGAGATAAAGAGGCCCGATTGCAGGACCAAGTCATTGCCCCAGAACTGGAGGACGAGAGCGTCAGCTGTCGTCGTGGTGGAAAGATAGATGAGGAAGACTCACGATCGTCTCGTTCTTGACGATCTCTAGGAACGTGTCCGAGTAGTCCGTGACGCCAACCGTGTGGAACACGCCACGCGTGCCCGCGGTCGCGTCGGACGGGGACGATTGCACGAGGCTGACAAAGTCCCGGGTGGATACGTCCTCGCTAAAGTGAGGGATGGCGAGGAACTCGTCGAAGATGCCGTCAGGAGGCGTCGGGCCGTCGTAGAAGAGGAGCTGGGAGATGCCAGGCTGCGAAGCGATAACCTCAGCGTATGTCACCTTTTTGAGACGAGCGTTTGTAACTTACCAGCCCCACGATTAGGCCGCTGATCGAGTTCATGGTGGTGATAATGGCCGCCTAAGCGAACAAGATCAGAGGGCAGGTCTTCATCCGGTACATGAAACTCGTACCTTAGGATCGGTATTCTTCGCCGCGAAGTTCATCGTAGCGTTCACCACCTTGTCCATCTGATCGACCGTGAAGGTGATCAATCCGCCCTGTTGACAGATAAGGTCCCGATCCGACGCAGCCAACAAACGTTGCACGTACCCAAACGTCGGTCTGAGGGAATGTCTTGAGGGTAAATCTAGTCACGATCCCGAAGTTGTTGAAACCTCCCTTTAGACTCAGTTCGTCAGAATCGAGCAGAACACGAAGCTAATCGGGTCGCTTACCTTGAGCGCCCAGAACAGATCGGGGTCGGATGTCTCCGTGACGTTCTTAACGGTGCCCGTGGGCAGTACCAGCTCGTACTTGGTGATAGTGTCGATAGTCAGTCCATACTGGTTGGACTTCCAGCTCAATCCTGCGTATCGGAGGTCCGGATCAGTACGAGCCCCGGATCACGGGAAGGACCGATGTACCGCCTCCGAGAGTGAAACCCGCGACGCCGACGTTCTTCAAATTGATGTCAGTATGCCGTTCGCACCATCGCAGGTGAGTATACTACTGACGGTGACACGGCCTCCGACGACGTTCACGCCGAGCGGGACAAGGGCCGAGTAGACGTCATCCCACACGAGGCCACTGCCGAATGTCGCCGTTCCAGATGCCGCATCGTACACAACGTCATCGAACCGGGTCATGGAGATGTGCACGCCGGTCTAAACCGTCGGCCCCGCATCAGTGCCTGCCGAGTATCATGTCAAACAGATTAGATAACGCACGGTCGACGAGAAGCCGGGGTTCGAGGCATGACCGCCTCCCTTCACAGCGAAGGGGTGCGAGTTGTTTCCAAGGATCTGGAGCTGCAGAGGGACGTCGGTACAGTCGAGTTGCCAAAGATGTTATGCTCTTCAGCTTACGATCGTCGCGATATCTTCAGGCGTTCCAGGCTCCACGGTGCACTCGGACGACTGCGAACTAGACACAGCCCAATGCTGGAGGTCGGTAGCATAATTGATAGTCCCAAGCACGTAGACGTCCGAGGCGGACGAGACGGCGCTCGAGATCTTTCCGCAGACCGAGTCCGGGCTGAGGACCGTCCGAGGAATCTTGGGCGCGCCCAACACGCAGGGCAGCGCAAGGGTAGCGAATGTGGCGGCCGCAAAGGCTTTGGTCGAGAAGACCATACTGGCGGAGACGCGTTCGACGACGACGGCAACGAGTGGACAGCAGCAGGAGGTGTTGCGCGAGGGCACGCTGGGTCACCCCCGAGCCCCCCTCGTATTTAAAGCAAACGCCCGAAAAGCAGGTCCGGATCCGGAGATGTGGGTGTCATGGTTGGCGTTTCAATATCCGGCCCTTGGCGTGTTCCGATGGGATCACTTGCCGCGAGCCGCTCGGGAAATATCTGGCCGCAGCCAGAAGAAGGCGAACCTGAGGGGGCGTCATTCGGCCTCAGTGCGCTGACTTCGGATCCGTGGTTCGTCAGAGAAAGCGTGCGCAAATGGGGAGAGTGCGGCCCTCCAGCTTTCTCACGTAGTCGATCCTCGCGCGACTTCGTGGCGCCCAGCGAGGCGAATATATGATCGGACGAGGCGTATCCAACTCCGAACGTTGAGATACCAAGAAATCGCCCTGGCCTTGGCCAGAGGAGGAAAAAGAAATTCAGGCACGGGCGGGCTGAGGAAAGAGCGATCAATGAGTGCGATGTCATAGGATCCGGGTATAGGGAACAACATCATCGCGCGCATCGATATGAGCAGCACTCGCCTTGCGAAATCCCGACATATCGCTCTAAAGCATCCGAGATGGAGCTGTATGTCCTGGATAATATGTTGGACGTGTTGCTGTACGCGCGTACTCACCGTTGTTCGGAGGCGAAAGGAAGCGCGCTATGTCCGCAAAGAAGACGAAGCTTAACGTGGGACAATAAGTCTAATTTAAAGGGTGATCACAGTTCGAATACATCACATACATCACAGTACATCATCGCACGTGTCGTCCGATCGTTTATTTACTCCACAAAGCTGATGCCGGACGTCACAAAAAATACACTGTGTGGATGATACGGTGTGTAATCTGCGCGCACACAGATCGTCTGACGATCCGTACTCGGAACCGGGAGGAAATACAGCACCGACAGGATCTATCAGAGGATCCACCAGCGCGCCTAGCTCGATCAAGCGACCTTGCAGGCCGCTCCGATGGGAACGAGTCGGGCGCGAGGCCGGTGTGGGGACGCGAACTCCATACAATGCCCACGCATGACGTTGCAACTTATATCCGCTCGTACATGCAGATGTACGCCTTCGCCTTGAGAACCTCGTCGAGCGTCGTCAGCCGGACGACCGTGTCGCTGACGTACGCCCACTCTCGCTGCGCCTCGGCCCCTGACTCCTTGCTATGCCGCGATGTCGCCGAGTCGTCGCGCGGCGTGCCTTCTGACGAGGGGGAGGACACGGGCGCGTCCTTGCGCGAGGGCGGGAGCGCGACGTACGCAACGTAGTGGCCCCCGAGCTGCGGGAAGGCTCAGTATAGACACAGATCTAAGATGTATACGGGGCTTCCTACCATGTTACCCAGGTGCTGGACGACAGCGTACAGCCGGTACATACACTTTCCCGACTTGTCCCTGCTCGGTAACGATGGTGCAGCAGTACCAGCGTGCCCTGAACGATGATGTTTCGAGCCGAGACCAAATTCCTCCCTGTTCGGCGCCAGGTATGGGGTGAGGTCGAGATACTCGGGAAAGGCCACGTAGTCGTCCAGCTTCTTGAATCCGGAAGAGAACGAAAGAGCAGGAACCTTGGAGATCTGCTGGAATCTCTTGAGATGAATCACGAGCACCGGAGGGGGGACCGCGATGAGGTACCGCTTAAAAGACCGGCGCATGATGACCTGTTTAGAGCGAGGGATCTTTGACTGGGTGCGCTGCGCCTTCGCGGGCGCCAGCCGCTCCTGCGACGCGCTAGGCGATACCATGGGCGACGCTACCGGGGACGCTGCAGCGGACACGTCCGAGTAGGTGTACGTCGAGTTGGTCTCGTCGCTGTCCGAGTCGTCCTGGCTCGTCGGCTCGCTGTCCTCGGCGCCGTCTTTGAGGCCCGGAGGTCTCCGTCGACGACCGTCAGGCGCGCGCAGAGAGTCCCGCGAGCTCGACGCCAAGAGCGACGTGCCCAGCCGTGGAGAAGGCACGGGCGGCGGTATACTCTCCGGTCTGGCAGTGGCGGGCGGAGATAAATACGGAGCGGGCGAATCGGGCGCGGTGGTCGAAATGGAGGGGATGATCTGCCCGCCGTACGTAGCGGGTTCATCGGCGTCCGGTATAGGTATGGGCGGTACCGGAGGGGGGGTTTTGGTAGGCTCCACAGACGAGATTGACGCGTCCGAGGGCGCATCGGCGAGCGTCGCGGAGGACGAGAGCACGTGCGAGGAGTCGGTCGCGGCGGTCGACGAGCTCGAACGCACGCTTCCTGAGCGGACCTTGACATACTCCTCATCGAGGGTGTCGTCGTCATCGCCATTCTCCTTAGCGTCCACCACGTCTCCAGCCGCTTCCACAGTTTCTTTCTCATCGCCGTCGTCACTCTCGGTCTCACTCTCACTGCTCGAGGCACCACCATTCGTCCGTGGCGGCCACAGTCCGTGCTCGATCTTCCAACAACGCCTGCACCCCACCATATTCTCCCCGTCGAGCACCTCGACGCTCGTGAACAGTCTTAGGCATTCCTCCAAGCTCGTCAGCTGCGCGAGCTTCGCCCATAGGTTCTGGGCGCCAGCCGCCGCCGTCGAAGACTGTGAGCCGGACAACGCGGACGGGCCCGGCTGCGGCGCTCGGAAAATCGCGAATGGGTTCGCGGACGGCCCACCGACGTCGGCGAGAATGCGATGGAGGTACTCCACTTCGCCCTTGCTCGGCTTGTATGACTTGTATGGCTTGTTATGGTGGTGCCGGTGGTGGTGCTTCCCATCCTTGGCCTTGTCCTTCTCGGAGAGGAGCACGGACGCGAGCGAGCTGGACAGCCGGCGAAAATCCGGGCGCTGCGAGGTCGACAGGTGCGGTGAGCCGATGCTAAGGGCGGGTGACGCCGTTCGCGGCGGCTCAGCACTGGCGGGCCGGACGTGTTTCAGATCCGGGCTGAGCGCGCGGCTCGCGTCGGACTGGCGCGGACTGGCGGAGAAAGTAGCAGCGTTCGGCGTCGCGGGGGAGGAGAAGGCGGGTTGGCCCTCGGGCAGGTGACCGAGGCTGACGGGCCGGCTGCGCTCACGCGAGCGGCTCCTCCTATTTCGCTCTTTGTCTTTCTCCTTCCGCCCGAACATGCTCAATCGCCGACCCAGGCGCGCCCAGCTATCGTCGTCCTTCTTCTCTCTCTCTTTCTCCTTCTCCTTCTTCTCCCTATCTGGCTTGCCAGCGTCAGAAAACTCGACATGTTCGCGAAGTTTCTTCTCCTCCTCGTGCGGCGAGGCATCTACAGCGTCCGTCACTAACGCGACATTCTCCCGCTGCTGCGCCGCAGACGGATCGGGGGTTCGAGTCCCTTCTGCTTGCGACTGCAAGTCGCGAGAATCACTGCCATCCACTTGTAGTACGGAAGAGATGGACGCCAAGGTTGGAAGGGGTTCGGAACCTTGCGCGGCAGCCCCTGCCACGTTGGGAGCGAGCCCGGGCGAGAGATCGATGCTCCGCCGCCGGGGTGTGCTCGCCGTCGCGACGAACGCAGAATCATCGATATCATCCGGTACACCCCCGCCACGCGCCTCCGAATTCCTTCGCATCGGACTCGGCGGTACACTCGACGCCCGCACCTCATCGCCATCGCCCCTTCCCAATCCCGATCCCGCAGCAGTGCCAAGGCCGAGGCCGGAACCGGTAGAGCCCATGGGCGACGACCGAAACTTGAACTTCTTGGCAAGCGTCTTGATACGGTCCCGCTTGCGCTCGCGCGCGTAGTCCTCGGGCTTTATGCTCAAGCTGAGGTCGTTGAAGTCTTCAAGGGTCCGGCTGACGTGGTTGCAGCGCTCGCAGACGACGAACGATTCCAGTTTACCGCCGAAGAGCATGTCGGAGAGCGATTGGAGGGCAAACGCTGTGGTAGCAGCCGGCGGTGGAGGCGATGTTGGGGTGGGATCAGACGAGGATGGCTGTGGTTCCTCTTGGGAATCGTGTGGGGGGTCGGAACTTGGTGGAAAGGAGGTGGTGGCAGATTCAGTAGATACAGGAGAGGAGGAGGGAGGTGGGGAGGCGGTGGATGGAGGCGTGGTAGAATCTGAGGGTAGGACAGGTGGTGAGGCGAGTGGGGAGACTGGTCGGGAGGGTCCGAGGGCGAGCGGGGATGTGGAACGCGACGGCCCTTGAGGCGTAGGTGGCTCGATCCGCCGCCGCCGCTTACGCTTGTCCTTCGCAGGCGGCGGTTGGCGCTTTTTGATGATCTGTGCGGAGTGTTAAGCATCATAGTAGTCTGGAAGGTGCGATGCGCGGACTGACGTCTAACTCCTCCATGCGCATCGCGTCGAGTAGCTGGCGCAGGAACTCGTGTGCGTCTTGTTGCCGGAAGTCGAGGTACTGATCGAACTTGGTGCCGATCGCAGTCAGAACTTCTCTGTGGCGGGTCTTCGTTAGAGAGGATAGAAGAAAGGTCCAGTCAATGATAGGGTCACGAACTTGGGACTCATGCTCGCCCTCGACTTCGAGTCCTGGATGTCCCACGCGCGCTGCATCACGCGCAGGAACGCGTCCCCGAGCGGCATGCCCTCCTCCCAGTCATGCTCGTACCCGCCGCCGAGACCGTGCCCATTCGTGAGCAATGGTGAGCGCTGGGCAAGGATGGGCAGCGCGGCGTACGTCTGCGCCGCGTCCGGGACGGGGTTGAAGTGTCCGAGCTCGTACAGAAATCGGGTGGCTATAAGCTGCACATTATCTCAGCACGCGCCCAAACCGACTAAATAAATAAAGACATGACCACTCACTCCTTGGAGGGTAGAGTTCATGAAGCAGGTGTTGCCGTGGTTGACGAGCCCCGGGGGGAGGTAGGCGGAGCGCTCCTTCGCCTCCCGCTCCTTCTTCTCGCGGTAGATCTCCTGTGGGGTCGGCTTCTTGCCCTTCGCCATAATATGTGTAGTTCTTCTAGGGGTATCGCCCGGGTTTCTTGTTTTATAGGATGTCGAAAGCGTCTAGTAGTTATCAGATCCCGCAGAGGTGCGCAGGTATATACACTGCAAAGCTCGACAGTGCGCAGCCGGTGCGGTGTGCACTGGTCGATCGCGTCGGCTGCTTCCTGGGGCCGTTATATTGGGTTGGCCTTGCCGTAGGTAGCCTGAGAGTATCGAGAAGGAGAGAAGGAGGAGGTGAATGGACAGTGGGGAACTGGATCAGCCTACGAACCAGGGTGACCCATGGGGTCCACAGGGGCGTGCGAACATCCCATCAGCTGTCCTTGAATCTTGCCACCAAACCACCACGGCCGCTGCTTCAACAAAGCAATACGATCATGGTCTTGTTACAAAGCACCTGCGATCATGCAATTATCGGTTCTCTGTGCTACTGTCGAACTCGAGTGTCGAGCGGTATATCGCTGCTGAACGCTCTATCGATGCCGACGTTTAACCGTTACTTAGCGTCGGCAGCCGGTTCAAAGCCGACTGCACACGGCATAGCCCAGCATCGATCCCGACCATGATATTGTTCAATAATACAGTTACATCCGACGCTTGATGTGCAAGCATCCCCAACACCGATAACAGGCGGTCCTTTCACTCTTTCAACTCGGGCGTGTCGGCGTACGCATACGACCTCCACACCTCCGGGTACCTCTCGATCACCGCCACCTCTGACTTGATCGCAATCTCGCGGATTTCCTGCACCTCCTCCGGCGTCAACTTCAGATTCAACGCCGCCAGGTTCTCGTCGAGGTTCTGACCATATGCCACGTCAGTACGCAAGACTCGCATACTACGTCGCCGCCGAGAAGAACCTCACCGCGATCTTGGTCGTGCCGGGGATCGGGATGATGTCCTCGCCCTGCGCGAGAAGCCACGCGAGCGCGACTTGGCCCGGCGTCGCGCTATACTTCTTCGCGATCGACTGGATCCCATCGACGAGCTTCAAGATGTTCGGGAAGTTCTCCTTGGAGAATCTATCCACAGGAACGGATATCAGTGTTTTGGCCAAGATGTTTCCGATCTCGCTTCTCCACCACTAACCGGGGCAACATCCGCCTCAAGTCCGTTGGCGCGAAATCATCGACGCTTTTCTGTGTCGTCCTTCAGCAACCCCGCATCGGCGGGCGGTTCAACAAGAAACTCACGTATTGCCCGGTCAAGATCCCACGCCCAAGCGGCGAGTACGCGAAGACCGTCACGCCGAGCTCACGCGCCGCTGCCAGTATTCCAATCTTCGGATCCTCAATCCCGAGCTCGAACGGCGAGTACTCGAGTTGGATCGCCGCGATTGGGTGCACGGCGTGCGCGCGACGCAGCGTCGCCGCCGACACCTCCGACAAGCCGAGGTACTTGACCTTGCCCTCCGTCACGAGCTCGGCCATGGCGCGCACGGTGAGCTCGATTGGCACCGACGGGTCCGCGCGGTGGAGATAGTACAGGTCGACGGTGTCGACCCCGAGCCGCTCCAGGCTCTTGTTGAACGCCTCGCGGACGTACTCCGGATCGGCGCGGACGACGCGCTTGGAGTCGCCGTGCGCGAGCCCGAACTTGGTCGCGAGGAAGATGTCGGCGCGCTTGCCGCTGCGTTTGAACCTGCCGCCGCGCATCAGAAGCATGTCTTAGGCTCGGCAGAGACAGCTAGGAAGGAACGCGACAGATACCATTTGCCCAGGAGCTCTTCATTGCCGGCGTAGCGATCCGCGGTGTCCCAGTTGCGCTCCCCGCGCGCGTACGCTTCGTCCAGGAACTGTCATTAGGCGTGCGATGAGTGAGGTACGAGAACGGATCTGATGCTCTTCACCTTCAATCGCTCCTCGTCGCTTGCGACGGGTCCATACGTGCCCGAGAGCGTCATCAGACCGAGGCCGATAGCCGCCACAGACGTGTCGCCGACTTTGCGTGTGGTGAGAGACATCAGTACAGTCGATACTCAATATACTGAGGTTTAACGAGAGATGCGTGGAATTGGACTGGAGTTGGTGCTACCCTCCGGTAACCAAACCTCTATTTATGCAATGGCGATACGATCATTCGCTGCCCAAAGTATGAGCGTGCTCGATGATCTCGCACCCGTGGCTAGCAAGCCGTTCAGACGCGTATGCACGAAAGAATCTTTGATCGTTCACGGCACGATGACGCGTGTACTGTACAGTGAAACGGTGCTGCCCATGGCGCTAACACATGCAGGTGCTCGGGGCGCTTACGAGAGTGCGGGAGTGTAATACAATGGCTAACTTCATGGCTAAGTACTTAAACAGAACTTGTTCTCAATCGCTTTCAACTCTCAAATGAAGGCATCGAACGCACGCTACTAGAGTGAGCATCGATGAGCGGAGCTTCCGAGCGGAAGCGAACAGGAACCGAAAACACCGGTTGGAAGGACCCAGGGGCTCGACCAAGGTTGTCGCCCTCGTCGCGAGTAGTTGTCACCCAGTGAGATGCGTGTGCTTGAAGCGGAAGCAAATATCGCTTCGAAGTGTACTGTTTTGTTCCGACTCGTATACGCGTTAGCACCATCCGCAACGGCTCACTGATGGTCGCAGGCTTGGGATAAAACCTTTCTAGAACATACAAATTCATCATTGCCTGTTCGTTGATACCACCTCAAGCTGCCTCGCCGTCGCCGACAAGTGATAATTGCGCCTATATTATAACCAACGTTTGCATCACCTCATCGTGATTGATTATTAGTCTTGTGAGCTTACATACGACGATGGAACTGGAGGCATCAGACCCATTTTGCCCCCTAACATTATACAGAAAGCTCTTCATTCCGGCACGCGGGCACTCAGTTCCCGTTCGAGCTCGACGCTGATCTTTCCTCACCGGCCTCCGTTTCCCCTTTCACAAGCTGGAGACCCAGTGCACCTCCCTGCGACGGTGACTGGGGTGTCGAGTTCCTCGAGCTATCGGAGGGTGCGCCCTCGACGCGCCTCCAAGGAAGTTCGGTTTGCAACGATGACCTGTTCGGCCTGGATGTCTTCGAAAAAGATGACTGTCGCGGCTTGGGCGATTGGTAGGGTGATATTAGCTTCGTCTGCTCGAACAGGCCCGGTATTCGCATGTCCGGTAAGTTCAGTTCTTTGATTTGGTACGCCATCTCCGATCCTTGATATCCATGTAAAAGAACGAGCTTGTGGCCTAAGCCGCGAGATACGATCTCATCTAGGTCGCGAGCGTAACCGCCGTCGTGACAGCCTGGAGTTGAAGTGAGATATTTATAGTGCATTACGTCGGCACGAAAGTGATCACCTGCGAAGAATACTAGAGGACAATGAGGCGAACTAATATGCTGGTGCAGGAGATCTGTGAAGGACGGATTCCAAAGGCACGTCAAAGGTCGCAAGTACATAATGACGCAGGCAACTCGAGTAAACCACTCACGTTTAAGCCTGTGATCCGCAGCTTCCTTCCCCTTGCCGACGTCAACCACGAAACATCTGGGGTCGGCTCGGTTGCACCCGCCAACAAATTCATCGTAGATGTCATGATCGATCTGCATGGTGTCGGCGATACCCCGCTTGCTGAAAGCACAATGTACCCAAATCTCGCAGTTAGGGTGCTCCTCTTCAGTCTTCCGCCGAATTGCGTCAAGGAGGATGCGAATGGCTTGAAGCCCGCCTTCGCCGCCTTTTTCTACGTGTTCCTTGGAAAAGATAGCACCATCACCGTCAACGAGGCACACGATACGACGCTAAGGTCATAGTGAACAAGAATGTGGACGAAATATCAACTCGTTGGTACCTGAGGCGCCTCCGCTTGTCGAAGGCGCTGTTCAAGTGTGTCATACTTCTTCTGCAGCCTGCTCAAGGTGATGTGATAAATGAAATCAGGCGGCAACAGTGCAGAACATACCTCACTCATCTGCGACGCGTGCTTATATAATATATCCTGCAACCCAGCAATATCGCCTACACATGACGCGTCGCACCATTAATCTGGTGCAGCAGGACGTACGAGCCATCTGCTGACCTTTTAGTCTGTTCAGGCTGCTACCCAGTCAGACTGGTCAGCTGCCACGCATCTGCAGAAGATGGATACATACGCATCGTCTCCCTCGGGCGATGTGCTGTCATGTGTGCGATCGCCCGCGCTCTCCACATGCGAGTCTATGGTCGACCGTAGGTGGAGGGAGCCGTCCATGTCTTATCACAATCGCGCGTCCTCAGATTGGCGTGCTCCTATGCAGAGACGCTCTCAGATGACCACCAAGTGCAAGACGATAATCCGTCCAGTGAAGGATGCCAGCGGCAGTTATTTCTCCCACTGGTCCCGCACTTAGGTGATCGCTGCCGTAACGTGTGTATACGACACACAGGACAAGGTTAGAGTTGGCGACCCGACTATCTCAAGACCGCGTAACTGGTAACGCCCACCTAGAAGCCAGCAAGACAAGAAGAGCCGTACGTGAAGCGCGGGGTGAAGGCCCGGGCCCCTGTCATATGATGATGGATGAGCTCTGGGATGTTCATTCGGCGTGGTACCAGTGACCGTATGGGTGAGGCACTGCTGGAAGTCGACCACAACCCGTGATTAAAGTCGAGTATAAACCACATCATGTCCATAAATCAGTATTGCTCAGAGCCCGATATGATACCGATTATGCGCAGCGAGGTGCTTGTTGGGCGTCGAAGCAAATGGGACGGCAAGAGCTACGGAAACGTGACAGTGACAGTATCGTGACTGCATCTACGTCACCTCCCGAATTCGCACGACAAGAAGCTTCTCCAAGTACCAGAGTATCTTTCGAGCACCTCGGCTTTGGGCAGCCTTTCCTCTACTCCTCCAGCTCCGGCGTGTCCGCGTACACGACCTGCATGGAAGCCTCCGGATAGCGGTTCACCGATGCCAACTCGGAGCGGGCTGCGAGTTCGCGGACTTGCTGCACGTCCTCCGGCGACAACTTGACAGACAATGCCCCGAGATTCTCCTCCAAGTTCTGCCCCGCCGAATCAACAAACCCATCGAGGCTCTGTAAAAAAAAATCCTACCTCGATCCTTCTCGTCCCAGGTATCGGAACGATGTCGTCGCCCTGCGCGAGTAGCCAAGCCAGCGCGACCTGGCCGGGGGTCGCGCCGCATCGCTGGGCGACTTCCCGGATTCCGTCGCAGATCTTCAGAATGCTAGGAAAGTTCTCCTTCGTGTACCTTCAGAACGAACTCTTGTCAGCTTTCGCGCCTCGCTCGGGACTCTTCACCGCCGTCAGGGGTACTGCTCACCGGGGCAGATATCGGCGCACGTCACCCTCAGCAAAGTCGTCAGGGCTTCTCTGCATAACTTCTTCTCAGGACCCTACTGCAGTGAGCGTCGTACGGGCGGACGCAAGCTCACGTATTTGCCAGTCAACATCCCGCGCCCGAGCGGCGAGTACGCGAACACCGTCGCCCCTACCTCGCGCGCCGCGGCCAACACCCCCAGCTCCCGGCTCTCGATCCCGATCTCGAACGCGGAGTTACTCGATCTGGACGGCCGCGATAGGGTGCACGGCGTGCGCGCGACGCAGCGTCGCCGCCGACATCTCCGACAAGCCGAGGTGCCTGACCTTGCCCTCCTTCACGAGCTCGGCCATGGCGCGCACGGTGAGCTCGATCGGCACGGACGGGTCCGCGCGGTGGAGATAATACAGGTCGACGTGGTCGACGCCCAGGCGCTGCAGGCTCTTGTCCAGCGCTTCCTTCACGTACTCGGGGTCGGCGCGGACGTGGCGCCCGGGAACGCCGTGCGCGGTGCCGAACTTGGTCGCGAGGAAGATGTCGGCGCGCTTGCCGGTGCGTCTGAACCTGTTCGACGACGACTTGGGGGGTGAGCTACGCGCCGGACGCTCGGGTGCGAGGGCCCCCATTCACCCACCATTTGCCCAGGAGCTCTTCCGAGTCGCCGTACCTGTCCGCGGTGTCCCAGTTGCGAGCGCCGCGCTCGTAAGCGTCGTCCAAGAACTAAAAGAAAACCCCGTACTCTGCAACGGCTTTTCGTTCCAACCCCAGAAACCATCTCAGCGCACCTTGAGCCGCGCCTCGTCGTCCCCGACGGGGCCGTAACCGCCCGACAAGCTGATCAGGCCGAGGCCGATGGCCACCACCGAGTCTTCGCCGACTTTGCGAGTGGGCAGAAGGTCGCGCGTCATTTGTTGCGTGTCCTTGGTCTCTGGGTGGGGGGGGGGGTTGGTTTACTGCTGTTTATTCAGCTTGGTGGAGTGTGGTCCTCCTTTATATCCTTCCATGCCGTCGTTTCGCCCTGCTGTCAGGCCGTGTTGACGCGCACACCGTTCCGGCCGCAACTTAATACTTGCACTACTTATAGACACTGCGAAGGGATGGTGCACGGCTATTTCGAGCCGCACGAACGCGTAGCACTCGTGCCGTGGATTTGAGTCGCATAGATGGCGTCGAAGTCGAAGAGAGTGGGTATAGCTTGCCGTCTTTCGGTAGCGCACCCACGTCGTTGGTCCTGCAATCATATATGACCCCGGAGAGTTTCCGGTGCGTCGTTGCCGAGTGGACGATGGACCTTCAGGGCTTCGAGACCAGCGTGCATCGATTACGTCCTCCCCCGGGAAAACGGGAGGAGCCCCATCTAAAGCGGACATGCGTTCAAATTCCTCCCGCGACGCCCAGCGTCGTCCGAGGATGCTCTACATTTTGTACCCTCGACTCGTAAAAAAAAAGAGAACCTCCATCCCGCCCCGCCCCGCCCCGTCCCGTCACACCGGACCCCCCTTCCCCCCCTCACTCGACCTTGTTGATCTCGACGCCGTCCGGGTCCACGAGCGTCTCCGTCTCGGACCCGTCCTCGTCCTTGCCCGCTTTCTCCGCTTCGCTCGCGGCGCGCTTGTAGCTGCGGAGACGCTTGGCGCGGGCGAAGATGCCGACGTCGGCGTCGCGGATGAAGTTGACGATGACCATCGGCCAGGAGGGGTGCGAGGGGATGGTGTCGTAGAACTCGGGCGCGAGCGCGCGGAGGGCGGGGAGGCGGGTCCAGGGTACGGAGGGGAAGTCGTGGTGCTCGTTGTGGTAGCCGACCTGCGACACGACCTCAGCGAAGGAGGGGGGGAGGGGAGGGGAGGGGGGGGGGCTTACGTTGTAGGCGAGGGCGTTGAGCGGGCCGTAGTAGGAGTAGGTCTCCTGCGCGAGGCCGTCCCAGAGGTAGTGCTCGGCGATGAAGTGGCCCGCGCAGGGGTGGAGGCTGCCGGCGAAGAAGCTGGACATGATCAGGTAGGCGAGCGGGGTCCAGCCGAGGGCGGAGACGAGGAGGTAGTCGAAGGTGAGTTGGGAGAAGAGGTTGAGGAGGTGCCAGCGGGTGAGGGTTTGGGCGCGGACGAAGGTCGGGCGGAGGGCGTAGAAGAGGATTTGGAAGGTGCTGTGGGAGGAGGGGGGGGGGGGTGTTTCAGTGTCGGGGCGGCGGCGCAGAGAGGGATGGGGGACGTACGCGAAGAAGGTTTTGCCGAGGACGTTGTTGAGGAGGAGGAGCTCGAGCCGGGTGGGGAGGTCGGTGTCGATCCCGTCTTCGCCTAGGTTCTTGTGGTGTTCGATGTGGTATTTCTAGGCGCATATAGCCGTGAATGAACGATGCGGCAAGGGTGGGAGCGGTAGGCACCGGTTTACCTTGAACGCGGCGGCGTAGGGGATGCCGATGGGCAGGTTGGCGAAGACGGCGAGGGCCTTGTTGGCGCGCACGCCGCGGAAGGCGAGGTTGTGCGTGATCTCGTGGATGGCGAGGAAGAGGTTGTGGTTCGCGGTCCCGCCGATCGCGTACGCGCAGAGCAGGAACTTGCACGAGAGCGGGTGCGTGTGCCGGAGGAGGTACGCGCACGTTAGCTGGAGGGACACGACGGCGGTCACGACGTATTTGGTGAGGGGTTCGTGGCCCATGAGCTTCGTCACCTAGCGTCGAAAGAGGACACGGAGGTGAGGACCGAGGATACGGGGTGAAGGAGATGCAGTCGGACGAAATGCGAACCTCGGGGTGCGCCTTCATGATGGCCATGCGCCGCGAGCGGTGCGGCTCTTCGGTCATGAGCCAAAGAAAGTCGGTCGGGTCCTGCGGCGGCGCGGGGTGCGACACGCCGTCGTCCTGCTGCGTCGGGCGGACGACGACGGTCCTGCGGGGGGCCCGGTGCGGCTTGCCTTCCGTGAGCGACTCGGCGCCCCCATAGAGGCTGAAATCTGTTCCAGCACATGAGCATACGATGGGATATGGAACACGGAGGGTTGGCTCACCAGGCTTTGCGGAAGACATCCAACGATGATCGCGGCGAGCACCCAAGCCGGCAGGTGCAGTCGGCAACGCGCTGCAACAAAGTCCAGGAAAGGCAAGTGTCGGATGAAAACACTAAAGCACGTGCTTCCCTTTTTGAAGAGTCTCCTGACTTTAGCCCGACGGAGTGATAATTTCCTGGACCTTGACGCCTTTATAGCGTTAGATGCTTGTCAGTATCCAATGCTATCAGCTTGAAAGTTAGTACCCAGGATGGGTCCTGTGTACTCTACGGTTTCCAACGGGCGCTTAGATGAGGCGTTTAAGCGCCCGTTGACACTGCCACTAAACAGTACGTTTGACCCCAAGAATGTCCAGAAAAGGAGATAAATCCCCTGGACTGCGCCCGGGAGATCGTTCCACTTTTGTGGGTGGTGCCATCGCCGTGCACTCCGGCCCCCTCGTCCTCCTGCCCATCGTACCGTTTCCTGTCTTGCCTAGAACATATCATCCCGCCTAGAACATCAACAACACCAACAACAGCGACGACGACGACAGACGCCCCTCACTCGTCGCGCACGATGGCGACCACGCTCGGCCTCGACCCGTCTGACCCGCTCAACCTGCTCATCCACAACGCGCACCCGGACACCTCGTCCTCCTCGTCTTCCTCTGAGGATGACTCGCAAGAATCGAGCGCAGGTGGCAGCCCGCCCTCGTGGAACGAGCTCTCCACCCTCTGGTCATCGTCGGAGCACGCCGACCTCTCGCCGTCGAAAGCAGGCGGGGAGCTGGGCACTGGCACGCTCGACTTGTTCGCGCCGATGGACATGGACTTCGACCCGCACCACCAGGACCTGTCCGTCGACCCCGCCGCGCTGCACTTCGACGCCCAGAAGCTCTTCGCCGCCGCCAACGACCCCACCGCCTACGCGAGCGCCAACCCCGACTTCGGGATGTTCGCCCCAGGCGACATCGACCTCGTCTCGATGCTGTCCTCCTTCACCAACGCACTCGGCACCGACGCCGACCCGTTCGCGCCCTCGCCCTTCACGACCACGCCCGACTTTGACTTTGCGTCGAGCATCGATCTCGGCCGACCGCGGCGTTCGAGCGTCACCTCGTCCTCCTCCTCGTCCGGCGCATCGCTCTCGCCCGTCATCGAGCCGCGCAGCTCCGCCTCCTCGGCGTCCTCCGTGCCTAACTCGGACATATCAACGGCAGCGTCGCCCGCCTCCGTCTCCGCAGCGGCCACCGCTGCCTCACAGCCGGCGCCTTCGCCCGCGTCCCCAGCCGACGCGCTCGTCGAAGAGCTCGCCCAACTAGTGCGGCAGAACGCCGGCGTGATGCTCGCCGTACCCACAGCTTCCCACCTCATACCACAAGGTCAGATCCCACCACCTTTCTACATGTACCATTCGCCCCCCTCAACTGACGACTACAATTTACCTAGACGCGACCTCCAAGCTCCCCATTCCCCACCTCCCGGCCTCCGCCTTCCTCACCCGCCCTTCCGCGTCCCCCGCACCCGCTTCCTCCTCCTCCCCCTCCTCCCCGCCCTGCTCCCGCGCCTCCTCCTCTCCCACGCCCACCCACTCTTCCAACGCTCCGAGCTCAAGCCCGGCGCCGGTGATCACCATCGGCCCCTCCGGCCGGCCCAAGACGGACCACACGACGATCGAGCGCCGCTACCGCACCAACCTCAACGCGCGCATCCAGTCTCTCAAAGCCGCCGTGCCCGCGCTCCGCGTCGTCGAGTTCCAAAAGCAGAACTCCAACCAGGTCCGTTTACCCACGCACGCGCGCCCGCCGCCTCGTCCTTTTCCTTTAAATGTTTTTTGACGTCGTTCCGCGTCGTTTTAGGTCAGCAGCAGCGCCGGGATCGTGAGCGGCCCGGTGGGCAACGAGTGGGGCGACGTGATCGACGACCGCGGGTTCGTCGACGGCGTCAAAGTCGCGCGAAAAATCAGCAAGGCGAACGTGCTCGGCAAAGCCGTCGAATACATCCGGTGCGTTCTCGCCCCTCGCCCCCCCCCCCCCCTTCCATTTTCATCCTCTCTCTCTCGTTCTCGCTTCCTCACCGATTCTTACGTGCACGACTCTCCACCACAGGGTGCTCAAGAAACGAGAGGCGCGGCTCGCCCGCGAACACGCCGGCCTCCGCGCGCTCGTGTGCGGGCTCGTCGGCGGCCCCGCGCTGCTGCGCGAGTGGGAACGCGAGTGGGTGGCCCGCTTCGGCGGGTGCGAGGCGGACGAGGTCGAGGGCGACGAGATGGAGGGCGACGACGAGGACGAGGACGACGGCGAGGACGACGAGGACGGCGGGCGGGCGCGGAAGCGGCCGAAGGTGGCGGCGAAGAGGGAGAGGCCGGTGAAGAAGGAGAAGCCGGCGCCGGCCGTCGTGCCGCCCGCCGTGCCCGGTGCGCCGGAGAAGAGGAAGAGGGGGAGGCCGAGGAAGAACCCGCTGCCCGCACCCGCCGCGCCCCCTGCGGCGCAAGCGACGGTCGCCCCGCCCGTGGAGATGGAGAGCTCGCCGTTCGTGGTGGCCGGGCAGCGGCAGTACGTCGCGATGCGGCCCCCGGCGGGCATGGAGGTGGAGATGATGAAGCGCGAAGACGACGGGGGTCAGTCGCGGGGCGCGCCGCGGTACCTCCTCGCGGCGTTCGCGTTCTTCTCCGTGTTCAACTCGCCGCTCGCGCCCTCGTACGCGTCCTCCGCGTCTTCGACTGCGGCGCATCACGCGCATACGGGCTCCGTGCGCACGCCCGCATCCGTACCGGCGGCGGCGGAGGTGCACGGATGGACGTGGCAGAGCGTGATACAGGCGTTCCACCTTCTCGTCTCTGCGCTCGTGCTGCTGAGCATCGTCCTGCCCTGGCTCCACCTCCCGAAGCGGCTGCGCGCGTCCAAGCTCGCGCTGTTCGCCTTGTCGCCGCTGGCGCTCGCCACGTCCTCGGCGGCCCCTCCGGCAGCGCGAGCCCGCCGGCGCGCTTCGACGTCGTCCGGCAGCGACTCCGACGGCGGCACACCCGCCCGCAAGCCGCGTTCTTACCAGGCCGTGGAGCTGCTCGACGCGCTCGCCCCGGCGCACCGCGGCGAAGCGGACGAGGCGCCGCGCCTGAGGCACGCGCTGGGCGTCAAAGCCGGCCTGCTCGGCCTCTTGCTGAACGGCGTGGGGGGCGCCAGCAAGAAGGAGCGCGGACGCGGCGTGTACGAGCTCCGCCAGCTCGAGCAGCGCGCGTGGGTCCGCCTGGGCGAGCTGGTCGCCGCTGACGGTACGTGCAAGCCTTTCGCTTTCGGCATCGCACGAAAAAAAACAAAACATAACAACGGATCGCTGACGACGTGTGACTTTGCTTCGATCGTTATAGATAACGCGTCGGCCGGCGTGCGCGTGCAGACGTACTGGTGCATGCGCTCGCGCATCTCGCCCTACTCGGCGTCGCCGTCGGATCTGTCCACGCTCGCGCTCGTCGTCCGCCCGCTGGCGGCCATGCGCGGGAAAGCGGACGCGCTCTGGGCGCGCGCGCTCCGCGCCGGGCTCGTGCGTCCGCACGAGCGGCTGGTGCTCGGCGCGATGTCCGTCGACGAGGCCGCGGCCGTGCTACGCGCCCGGCCGGCCGCTGCGAGGGCGGGGCAGAGCCCGCTCCGCGTCATCGCGGCGCACGTCGTGCGCGGGATGTTAAAGAGGCACGCGGCGCTTCTTTTCTCGAGAGCGGTGCTCGAGGACGAGGCGGATGATGGTGCCGGGGAGGACGCGGAGAAGGCGATGGAGGAGGAGGAGGAGGAGCGGAGGGTCGCGATCGCCGCCGGCGTGTCGCTCGGCGGAGAGACGGCGGAAGTCGCGGAGATGCTCGACGCGGCGTGGGCCTGCCGAGTCGGCGAGGACGAGTCGTCTGCGCTGCCGCTGGACCGCGATGGAGGTGATGAAGAAGACGACGTGAAGCCGCTCGTCCGCGCGCTGGCACTCTACCGTCACGTCTTCCCGTCGCGCATCTCGGCCGCGGACGCGCACGGCCCGGCGGTCGTGCTATCGCCACCTACCGCACCCGCGTTGGTGCGCCGCAGCCTAAGGCGGCTGCTCGACCTCGACTGCTTTGAGGGAGAGGGGATCGAGGATGCGAACTTGCGCGCCGCGCTCGGCGAGGCCAAGGACCGCGCAAACGATATGCTCGTCGAGCTCGAGCGGGCCGCTGCGCGCGCTGCGTTCTAGTTTATGGCCTTTGCTGCGAGTGCGTTGTGTCCTCGTCTCGTATAGAGTTCTGTGGATCTGATTCTGGGCGCGTGTATGTAGCGCATATATATCGTGGGACAGACGGATAAACGTCTGTTTGCGGTAGAGTACATAGGGACGCGCTGTATCTAATCGACTTGTCTTCGTTGTTCTAGTTATTTAAGGCTTGATTGCGATCTTGACAGCCGTGCGGCTGTTCATCTTCTCCAGCGCTTTCTCGTATTCTTCGAGCTTGAAGACGTCGGTCACCTGTGAAATTGGTGGGGGTGAGTCGAGGATGCTATCGGTGATGCCTCAGAGAACACCCACCATGCCCTTGACGTTGATCTTGCCCCCATCGAGATACGCTACCGCTCGAGGAAAGCAATGGACCTGCGCGAAGGATCCGATGATCTAGGCGGCCTGTTCTCAGTCTTATGTATGCACAAAGGCCTGGCTGTGATCACCTTGATTTCGTCCCCGAAGATCTTGGAAGGTGGCCAGTGCACGCGCGCCTTGTTCTCGTACACGCCGTACACGAGCAGGGTCCCGCCCCGTCGGACGTAGTTGATGGCCTGGTCAGCGACCTTCTCCGAACCCGTGGCTTCGACCTAAACGCGACGTCTTGTGAGCGCGCACGTCGAGAGCAAACATGAGGCTGCAAAAACTCACGACGATGTCGAACCCGTACGGGTGGTCCTTCTTGAGCTGCGCCCACTGCGCATCGGGGTCAGCGCGGTCGAGCTCGACGTACGTGTCCGCGCAGTCGAGCGATTTCGCCAGCTCCGTCTTGGGCCCTTCGTTGGCCGCGATGGTGACCTTGGTCGCGCCGTTCAGACGTAAGAGCTGTGCGAGAAGGAGGCCCGTTGGCCCAGCGCCGATGAGGAGGACTTCGGCGCCAACAGGCGCCTGAAGCCGGTCCATGCCGTGCACAGCGCATGCCAGGGGTTCAACCAGAACGGCTTCCTCGGGAGAGAGGTTGTTGACCTTGTACAGGCGCTTTGCCGGGCTGCGCACGGTAAGTCAGCGCGACCTGGAGGCGATTGAGAGGGCGATCATGACTTGCAAATCGACGTATTCGGCGAAGCCTCCATGGGAGGTGACGCCTCTACCGTCGAAGTTCTGGCAGAGCAGGAACTGGCCGCGCCTGCAATAGAAGCATTTGTCGCACTGACGGGGGGCGAAAGTGAGCCAGGCGGGTGAGATATCCGAGATGCATCACGGATGGACTGACGGTGGTCGCGTTGTCGGCGACGCACTTGTCGCCCACGACGAATTCCGTTACATCTCGGCCGACTTTGTCGACGATACCGTAGATTTCGTGGCCGGGGATAAGCTCGACAAATGAAGTTCAGCTTCGATCACGTCGGCTTCCAGGCGGCGTGACGGCCTACAGGAAACCTACAGAGGGTCGTCGTGGTGTCAGATCGAGTATGGCATCGAAAAAGCGTCAACCTACTTGGCTATGAACTCCCCGTCGTGAATGTGGCCATCTGTTCCGCAAACGCCTGCGGTGTCCACCGCTTTACTGCGTCCGCCCAACCGACAGGCCGAAGAGAGACGCACCGCAGGCAACCACTACGGGGTCCAGGATCAGAGCGTGAAGAATCCGCGATATCACTCTATAACGACGATACCTTTCAATAACACATCTTCAGGGCCGATATCCGGGATGGGGACTTCTTTGACCTCGAGTTGCCGGGGCTACGATATGCACAGTACGGCGATGTGAGGCATCCGTTACGCGTCCATGACAGGCAAAGCCCTCACGGCATGGTAATACAGCGCCTTCATCGCTGACAACGGGAGAGAGACGGAAAGATATACCAGATCGCGGCCATCGTCATCTTCCACGAGACATAGACACTGGATCTCGGGCCGGGTATGCCGATGGTAGCGTCTCGGGGATATCGGGACGTGAGACTGGCGAGTACGTAGTTACGAATGTCGTATGGTAGAGAGAGCTCGGCGAACAAACTTCGATCACTTGGGCTCCTTGACAGCCTGACAGGGTCACGGTAGAACTACATGGCACGCGTTATTACGAACACGCGCCCACGACCGAGTGTTACGCGTGTTCCACCGTTATCAGCCACCGTTCGACGAGACGGGGCAGGAACACGTCTACTTGGCCTCGTATGCAATCTGCACAAAGCGGCCTGTGCATGCAGTAGAGACCGCGGAGGCGCACGTTGCGCAGCTCCGGGAACATGTCGGGTCGGACTAGGCGCACGTCGATGGCGCCCCAGTCGAACACCGCCGGGCGCACGCGCACGGGAGGGTCGAACGTGACGCCGATTTCGGTCAAGTGGAGTGAGACTGGCAGGGTGACGAGGACGGCGTAGATGGCAAGGCCGATGGGCGCGATAGGGTCGAACTGCGCTCGTTCCGCGACCAGGTGGAGGCGCTCCAGCTCGGTGCAGCTATGAAGGCTCGGAAGATCTGCACGCCTCGCGAGATGAGCGACGGTGCGCGACGGTGCAGAGGGCTTGTCACTCACCGAATCTGTTGTAAGCTTGGATGCCGATCTCTAGTTCACGGAGCCCCTTCAGTCCTGTGATAAAAGAGGCCACTTCTTCCCAGTCATCGCGAACAATGCCGAGCAGGCTCAAGGAGTGGAGGCTTGAGGTGGTACGGGTGCGGGACAGCCACTGGAGCAGCGGGCTCGGAGTCGGGCAACGCTTTATCTTGAGTGAACGGAGATTTGTGGTCGGGTCCGCGCTCTTCGACTGGGTCCAATGCGCAGACCACGAGACGTCAACCAAGCTCAGGTGGGCGAGCTTGGGGAGTCCGCGGAGGACGTCGATGAGCCAGTTCAATGTCCCGACGGGACATCCGATCAGGGAGAGATCGGCGACGGACGAGAATTCGGAACAGTGCGCGAGCAGCGATACGTCGACGTCCTGGAATCCGTGCCGGCTGCCGCGGTTGTCCAGGCAGAGCGACTCCAGTCGCGGGAGGCGCGGGACAACCTCGTCGATCACTTCGCACATGTCGAGCGGCCATTCGTACTTGCTCCCGAGGAACTCGCCGACGATGCGCAGTGCGCGAACCCAGTGTGTGAGGCGGGGGATGGACTCCATGTATTCGTCAAATTGGGTAAGGCGCGCGGCGCTCTTGGAGACGGTGAGGGTACGCCAGATGCGCGGGCGAGCGGCACGGAGGCAAGCATGACTGATAAGGGAGAGCGCCCGCTGGTCGTCGTCGTCGGCGAATTGAATGATAATATCGATGAGCTCTTGAGGCAGAATTCGCGACATTGGGAGTGCGTTGGCGGACCACGATCGTTGCACCGCACGCAACCTCTCCTGTGACACGATGTTGTGAGCGTGGATCGAGATGATCTACCTTTGCGCTACACCAAGGTCCAAGGTCAAGGCATCGTAAGAGGAGAGGAACAGGATAGCATATTATCATAATACACATCGTCCTGACCTCATCACTGTCAGTGTAAGCGCCCGACGCGAACTCATCATTGGTCCGGCCCGTCCGGGTCACGTATAACGGCTATGCAGGACTCAATATTGAATCAAGCCTGGCGTCTTATGGCTGATGGCAAAACGAGCACAGCGCATCGTTCCGTTTCCACAGCGTAGAGGACGTTTGTCGGAGTGTGCAATCAAAAGCTGAAGAGGCCCCGCCAACAAGAAATTTAAACACCGGGAGGCAGGGTTACGTCAGCGACCTCTCCTTGTTCTCCAAGTTTTCCGGCATACGGAACTGTCTAACATGGCTTTTGCCCGTAAATCTGAGTAGAGCGATTTGAGAGAACAATGGCTGTATGAGATCGTGGCTCGCTGCGATATACAGCAGCTCGTAGTAGCCGACAACCCAGCAGCTGCAGTACTTAACGCCAGCCGCGGCGTCCAACGTTCCCTCTGCCCTTCTCTCTTCGACACCCATGTCCCCCACCCCACCCAAACGTCCCGCGCCTGACGCACCGGACGACGAACCCGCAAGTAAACGACCAGCCGTCTCTTCGCCTGAGGAAGGCGAGCTCGACGACGGCACGCCACCTCCGCCCCCAGTCGCGCGTTCGCCGACACCGACACCGGCTCCCAAAGCAACCGACAATAAACTGCCTGGGGTCAAGTTCCCGTTCAAGACTAAGGCTGGAGGCGCCGGGTCCGCCAACGGCAGCGCAAATGCGAACGGTTTCGGAGCCCGGGAGGTGGAGGCGAAGCTGGCGGATGCCGGTTCGGGCGAGCGGGACAACGAGCGGGTGATTTACGAGCGCTCGGAGGAGGAAGTGAGGAAGTGGGCCGACAATCCCAGGCGGGATAGCAGAGACAACAGGGATCACAACCGGCGGGGAGACCGCAACGCTGGGCGCTACCCGCCTCCGCGTCCCTACGACTCGTATCATCCATCCCGCTACGACGACCGGCCGCACTGGAACGGTTACCCCGAAGACCGGCATCGCCGCGACCGCGGTGCGACACGTCCACCCAGGGACGCTGCCGACGACCTCGCGCGCACGCCCTCGACGCGACACCTGTCGCCCACGCCCACGCCCGACCGCGACCCGCACCGCCAGCCCTCCCACCGCTCACCGACCGTCTCGTCGGACCAGCTCTCCCCGCGCCGCTCCGGGTCGTTCTATCGCCCGTCCGCCAACCCATACGCTCCTGATCGGCACGACTCGCGCCACCAGTACCATCGTGAAGAGGACGACTACTACTGGCGCCAGGCCGCCCGCCACCGCCCGCCGTCGCCTCAGTCATATAACGACCGACGCTACGACGGCCGTCGCGATCGAGGGTACGACCCTCGACGACCCCGCGACCGCGATCGCGAAGGATCCTACGGTAGCCGCGGCGTTCGCTATGACTCGTACAGGCCCGAGTCTCCACCCACCGCCCGTCCTGCCACCCCCGGTCTCGTCGATGCGCCCCCCGCGCCTCTGCACCCTCTCCCGCCAAGCCTGCCGCCTCACGTGGCGCGATCGCCGCCCCCGCTACGTACGCTGTCGCCGCTTCCACCTCCCACTCAAGCCCAGGGCGCAGGGTCGCAGCCCAAGCCGCCGTCGCCCGACCGGCGGCAGGTCAAGAGCGAGGTGCAACAAAAGTTGGAATCCCGGCCACCGCCGCGGAAGCGTCGCCCGCCCGTGCGCAGGACGCGCGAGGAGGAGAAGGAGGCGTACGGACGTGTGTTCGTCGGCTGCGGGCAACAGGACGATTATGTGCCGTTGACCAAGCTCGGCGAGGGTACCTTTGGGTGCGCGCTGTGTTCCACGGGAGAGAAACACCTTTTTGACCGCTTTCCTCTCCACGCAGTGAGGTCCACAAGGCGCGCCAGAACGCGACCAACAGGCTCGTCGCGCTTAAGCGGATCCTGATGCATAACGAGAAGGAGGGCATGCCGGTCACCGCGTTGCGCGAGATCAAGATTTTGAAGGCGCTCGATCATCCAAGTATCATCAAGATCCTGGACTTATTCGTTGTCAAGAGTAAGTTCCAGGTAAGGCCGCTCGCTGTCGACGACTGACAGCTCGCAGGTTCGGATAAGGATCCTCTCTCGGTGTACATGGTCTTCCCGTACATGGACCACGATCTTGCCGGTTTACTCGAGAACGACCGTGTCAAGCTCTCGCCCAGTCAGATCAAGCTTTACATGAAACAGCTGCTCGAGGGAACCGAGTATATGCATCGGGTAACTCCTCCTCATTTATCACCGGTGTCCGACTTGCCCTGACGCTTTTGCTCTAGAATCACATCCTCCACCGCGATATGAAGGCTGCAAACTTGCTAATCGACAACGAGGGCAACCTCCGCATCGCCGACTTCGGTCTTGCGCGCGCATTCGATCCGCAGGTCGCACTGCAGAATCCAGCAGTTGTTGCGAGGAATGGCCGACCGCCAAAGAAGTATACCAACTGCGTCGTTACGCGCTGGTATCGCCCACCCGAGCTGCTTCTTGGCGCGCGACACTATGGCGGCGAGATCGACCTGTGGGGCATCGGGTTCGTCAACGTATCATCTATGTTCCCGACGAGGTGACCAACCTCTTTGTCTCTGACAGCTGCGTCCTCGGCGAAATGTTCAATCGCCAGCCCATCCTCGCAGGCACGTCCGATATCGACCAGCTCGACAGGATCTGGAAATTGTGTGGAACGCCCAATCAACACACGTGGCCCAACTACGACCAGCTGCCTGGGTGCGAGGGCGTCAAGCAGTTCCAGCACTATCCACGTCGGGTCAAGCTCGTCTATGAGGAGTAGGGTCGCCGCGCCAAGCTCCGTGACTTGCTTGTTGATCAACTTTGCAGCATCGTGGGGCCCGAGACCGCCGACCTCCTCGACAAGCTGCTCACGTGTAACCCCCGGGAGCGCATCACGGCGAGCCAGGCGCTCGACCACGACTACTTCTGGTCCGACCCACTCCCTGCTGACCCGAAAACGTACGTGACTCCCGGCTGCATATATATCCCTTCGCCTTGTCCTGACTATCCGCAAACGCAGCCTCCCGAAGTACGAGGCCTCGCATGAGTACGACAAGCGCGGGCGGCGCCACGGCCCGCCCGCGGGCCCGCCGATGCCCGCCGAACCCCACGTTCCCCGCGCGCTCCCCCCTCCAACGACAGGCGGCGGAATGCGATACGGAGGACACCCGCCCCCGCCCCCGCCGCGCGACGTCTTCCGCCACGCCGGTTCGTTCCAAGGGCCGCCACCGATGCCATTCCCGCCGCCGCCCCAGCACTTCGGCAACGGCCCTCCTGGCCTCTACCCTCCTCCTGGTCCCCCGGGATACGCCCCCTACCCTCCCGGCCCGCACTCGTATGGCGGGGGCCCACCCCCACCGCAACACCATAGAGGCGGTCGGGGCGGCTACGGCGGGCGCGGCCCCCCAAGGCCGCCGTCGAATGCCTCGTTGCCAGCACGCCCCCCGCAGCCTCTGGGCCCGGACGGGCGTCCACCACCGTATACGTCTCGGGACCGCGGAGGTGCTCCTCCGTCCGGGCGCCCACCTCCACCGGAGGGTGGCCCTTCCTCGCTGAACTATGACTAATTTGCCTTAGATCTATCCTTTACACCGGCCGCCCTGCTCATTCTTGCTCGCGTCCGTCTCAGCAATCATCATCGTCAATGTTACCCGATTTCATTAGTACAATTCATGTCAATATTGTCTCTTCCACGCATGTAACCCCGTCGTCCTTCCCTTGTAGAGTTAGCACAAGAACTGTATATAATCATACTTGGCAAATCATCGCACCAGTTCTGCATGTCGGCACGCCGTTATGAATCAAGGCTTCCGTCTGGTGCATTGAAGAATGCCGTTCGTATATTGGGTACAGCATGCGTCGTGGAGGAAGAGATGCATTGGGTAATACATAGTAACATGCGAGGTGCGAGTGGAGGGAAGCTTAGACTTTGCCTGCTGCTGCAGCTGCCGCCTTGGCCTCCTCGGCGGCGGCAACTGCAGGGTTAACCTTCTTCCCGTCTTTCCACCGCACGCGGGGAGGCGGCGCGCGGTTGCGACGACCCTCGCGAGAGCGGACACGGACAACTATATACAGCATGTATCATCAGCGGCGATACGTTTCACCGGCGAGAATGGACTCACCGTGCGAGTGGATCGCGCACGACACGCAGTATGCGATTTTGAGGTAGAGCTTCGGCACAATGTACTCTGCGTGAGCAAGATGGTAAGGAAGGCCGGTCCTCTTTGCAATATCGCAGCTCGCGTACCCTGGTAGACGCTGGCCTCGCTGATATCACGAACAGCCGCGCTCTCCACCATGTTACGGACCGTGAAGCGCTTGATGGCCTTGTCCTTGCCAACGCAGCGCGAGCAGTTGGAGCAGCGGACGAAGTTCACATGGCCGCGACCCTTCTTGTTACGGCCGTTGTTTCTTCTCTTCTTGGTCTAAGGGGAGCAAGAAAGCAATTCAGCGTCGTGATGATCCCAGGAGCGGACGAGTAAAGGCCAGCGACGGAGCGTCATCCGAAGGACGAGAATGCCATCCAGCGGATCCAGCTCCCAAAACACACAGTTCATCATCGAGCGGCATTTCTTAGGCGTCGCAAAGCCCAAAGATGGTGTGTACGATGGACAACGATGCTCACCATGGTGGATGCGGCTTGTTGAGGACGGGCTGAGCGACGAGCTAGGCAGCCAAGTGGGAAAGCTGACCGGACGGAGATCGCCGATGGCGCGGGCTTATTCGGGAACACCCCTTTCAGTTGCCTCGTCGGTCCGACGTGGACTCGGTCGCGGATATCTATGGCCACAGCTGCGAAGGACGTTCTGCTCGTAGGATATGGAGCAGTCGGCGTGATCTGTGCGAGAACATGGCTACCTACCTCCCTCGAGCAGATACTTGACGATCACGGTCATTGCAGACTCGCACATCCTGAAACGCAGTGGACTTCACCTCAGTCACCGTCAGTCCAGCACCTTATTAGGTGTATCTCTCCACCAAGAAAGATAGACCTAATAAGGTCTAAAATCAGATGTCTTACCATTCTGGCATTGTGAGCATGGACTCTCCAGCAGCTTAGCTAGAAGAATGTGGTGCTCCCATCTACCTATGGGGTGTGTATACCCTTAAATTGTCTGGTATCGCTCTGGTGACCCTGTACAGTTAATCATAGCTATACCTTTCCTTGCCAATTATGCTTGTGTCTCAACAATGACAATAAATGCAGTATTGGCAGAGCTATGGTAGCTCCTGTGCAATTGGGTTTCTATTTTCTGCTCCAGATATGTGCATTAACGATGTTTCATGTTCATATATAGTTCCCTTCCATCGCCTATCTGCTGCACCTTGGCTGGACAGATGTATGTGGTTAGTTGACTGGTAGTTCCAGGGTTGTGTTGGTAACATGCCTGGTGGTACCGTAAATACTCTCACAAGGTGGTAATACCACGGGGGTGTCAGGGGTCTTTCAGCCTATATTTGCTATAAAATAGTACACTCATGGCAGGGCTATCATTTTGCTTTGTTGGCCTATGCAGA